GACAAACTATTGTGTCACCCGCTTGGCTCTGTATCGAGAACCACCTTACTGTTACGTACCGAAAGTAATCGGCGGCCACCTACCTTACCTAGGTAGGTGGACAGCCCACTCATGTACCTCTCAAGTACACCAGATTGTCCGAGGCTGGGTCCAGCGTCCCTCAATCCACAAATCATCAGCCGGACCCTCCCTCTTTCAGTGCTCCCATCCCCCCCCCCCCCCCCCCCAACTTACCCACCTGAATTGTGCAGCACTGCAGCTTCCTGGCAGCGATACGTTGGGAGAACCTTTACGATACCTACCTACCTTACTCTCTCACCCATGCGCCAAACCCCCGGGACCACACCTCTCTCGTTGGCTGGTCCACTCCCGTTGCTGCCCGTTCACTTCACCTCCATCCAAGCCCGTCCGTCTCTGCTCGTGTCCTGCCCGCTTCACTAATTCAACGTGCCGGTCCAAATTAACCTGGCGGGCTTCGTTTGTCTTAACCCCCCGTTCTATCGAACACCCTTTTTCCTTCATCTTTCTCTACGAAACACTCGGTATCTTGCCTCCAAAACCCTTCCTACCTCAACATATACCTCCATATCGGAACAGCCGACACGCTCCATCCTGATCTATCGAACCGAAGCAGCTACCATTCGGCATCGTCTCTAGCGCTTCTCCCGTGACGACATCATATCCTTCTACGATCGCACCACGAGTCCCTCGCACCCACGTCCCATATATACACGATCTACGACCAACATACGTGTCTCCAAAGTCGTCATTTGACTCAATTTTGGTGTCGAGAATATTCGACCAAACACGCAACCTTCCAAAGCCATCGTCCTTGGGGCAGAGCCGCCTCTGTAGACCATCGTGCAAAACCAGCATACTATCACCACCGAATACTAGCTGCCGCAGTCGAATAACTCGACTGGACTCTGGAAGAAGAAAACTACTGCGAGCCGAAAAGACGTCAAACTTGTGCCTGCTGCTGCTGCCGTTGACGACCTACTTGGTCTCACCGTGCGATGTGGCGGGGGAGGAGGACCTCGTGAACTGATATCGTAGGGATCGAGGTCGGAAGAGCCCATAACCTTCCTCGACCCGTCATTCGAACGCGCCTGGACTCGACAATAATCTCATGGGCGTGAGCAACATACCCGAACGATACCTTCTTCCAAAGGCTTTGTCGATACCCCCACTGGCGCTCTAACTCGATCACCCTCTGATCTCAATACACTCGCTTGCCGTCGTCCTTCGCTCATACACTTTGCGAACCTACATCCCGAACGTCCTCTGATTCCATTTGGTCCGAGCAATATACTGGGTTCCACACAACTGCTTCCGGGAATGGATCATCGGTTCCCCATCACCCGCGACGATCTCTTCAACATCCAGATGGATTTGAAGCAAATCCAACTGGTTCAGAGTAATCAGGGCGAAAGACTAATAAGGCTCGAAAGGCGCCAGGAACAAGATGCGAGCGTCAAGTCCGTGTGGCAACAGCATCCTTTTCCTGGCGTCCTTGCCGGAACCCCTCAGCAAGGTAATTAGATTATCTACAGGCGTCACTGCGTTTTGCTAACGTTCCACTTCCCAGGGCCGACTCACGTCTCACCCAACGACATGTTTGATGATTTCGACGAGCAAGGCCAGCATTTGCTGAGCTCCCTTCACCTAGGACCTGCCGAGGAGGAGCCTACCCGTCGGGGTGCTGCCTCTCGAGCCAACAGCGTACGATTCGATGAGAGTGCCTTGCGGGGCGCAGCAGATTGGTCTAGCCAGAGTAATCGACACTCTGGGGAATTTGGCCCTCCCCGACCGTCTAGCGGGTTGATGATGGAGCGATCATTGTCCCACAAGTCGGATGGACGCCATAGCTCTGCCGGCCACTCTGTTCACTCGTTTCATTCTGTGGCATCGGGCAGAGCGAGCAGCTTGGGGCTGGACACCAACTTTATGGTCAGCAGTCATGAAGACGACTCTCCGATAGATATGCCGGAGCCTCCGCCAGGCCTCTTCTTCCTGGGTTCTGTACCGACCATCATCCGATGTTGGCTTACAACTAGCTTCGCCCACGATACAGTCTTGTACGCTGATCTTTGTACGGGCTCCCAGAAATCCGTCGTGGACTATTCTGTCCTCAAGGATCTCGATCTGTTGGATGAGATTCAACAAGACATGGATGGCACCTACAAAGTTCGACTTCCGGTATACCTCGTTGAAGCCACTGTTTCCGAACGCAGCAGCCGGTCATCGAGTCCTGGGCATTCAATGCCCTGCCTCCTCGCAACTTTTGAAGTGTCTGGCATGGAGCAGTATGAAGGCGCCGAGCCGAAAAGGGGCATTCAGATTTTCATTGGCAGCGACACCCTCAGAGCTCATCAGGCCGATATTCTCCTCTCCCAGAACCGCATGTGTCTCTATGGCAGCGAGCGCGAGAAGCTGTCTGTTCCCTTTGTGCGCCCAGAGGACGAGGGCGCTTTCAAGCACATTAGCACAATCAATTACATTCCCGAAAAGCCTCGCCTCAACGCTAACGCGGCGCCTTTTGTGTCTGGAGACCCACGGCCTCAGGCCTCCATGACGCAAAGTGCATTGGAAAGCAGCCTGTCCAGCATGCAGCATGAAGATGCCGAGTCGCAGGGGCCCCTCTCGCCCATGGACAACCACTCTGTACCTAACAAGTCGATTGGAGCAAGCAACCTGTCTGAAAGTGGCGGGGAGAGTGAACGGCCTGGCAAGGATACCACCAGCGGGTCCGAATCAGGGGCAAAAGAGCACAACAGCACGGTCAGCGGAGAGGGCAACCGGCGCGAGTCTGCGGGCGGCATCTGGGGTTCGTGGCGCCAGGGCACTTCAGCAAATGGCGCCGAGAACGGGCAACGGGACGCCAATGGCCCGCTAAGCGGATATCAGCCCGCCGGGCGTGGAAGCCGGAATATGAAGGTGTTGAAGCCCCTGAAATCGGGTTCATCATCGTCTGCCCGAACTGGAGCTGCCTACGAGCCGCCGCCAGCGTCCAGAACCAGCGGAGAGCATCGACGAAAGAGCCAGGTTAGTGTAGCGGCAGAGGGAAACCCGCCGACAAACGTCCGCTGGGAACCCAAGAGGTCAGTCAGCAGCACCACGGTCAACAGCACAACGGAGGTCAAGGCCTCGCGCGAGGCGAAGAATGCGGGTCCAGCTTTGCCGCGGTCGGCAAACCCCATTGGTGGTGCCTCGGCTTTCTCCTGGATGAACCCAGCTGGCAAGGCAAAGCCCACGGCGACGGCGGAGTGATTGGAGGGGAGAGAACGCAAAGCCCCGGTGGCACTGGACGCGAAGATGGCCGAACATGGCCAGAGCAGTAATCTTCTTTTTCTTTGCTTTAACAAGACGACTCCCTCCAACATGAAGAGGTGAGATGGCAGGCTTCAAAACAACGCGAGCAAGGCCGACTAGTATGTAGCCATGTAGTGTCCCATAATAGATGGGCTTTACAGCACTGTGGCTATAAAAGTTCGCCCAGCGGAAATCAAACAACAAAAATCCAAGAGTTCACAGAGTGTCCAATATTTCTTTAAGAAACCTAGCTACGTCAAACCCGGATCGGCAACTAGGACGCCCACAGCATTAGCTGCATTGAGGATCTTCTTTGGTCCACCTCTGTGGGCCAAAAGCCTAGAAAGTGATATATCAGAGGTGACGCCGACTCTGCAGCTATCCAACCAGCCAGGAGATGATTGCTATTGCTGTAATGCAGGTACCTTGCGTTGGGCTGTTGGTTGCGGTCCCGTCATGGGCAGACCGCTGCGAGGTCATGTACATTGATTCTTCAATGCAAGTCTGCAGTGTCCCAAGGAGGCCCGGTCCGGCACTAAAATTACCCCACTTGGATGTGCCGGTTCCCCGCACTGCTCCAAGGCCGAGTGTGACGTGCCGAGTCTCTAAGCTCCGAGTCACGGAATGACTGAGACCTGGGTGAAGTTGAGTTTTTCCCTTTAGATTCTCTTGATGATCTGATTCTTGTATTCTTCCCCCGGGACATGTCGATTGCGAGAACTCTTCAGATACACCTGTCCTCTGCTCGATTATTCCAACCTCGACCGACCCGGCTTCTACTCCGACCCCGCTTCCTCACGACCGCGAGCATGTCCGACCCCGCGAATCGTCGCCTGCAAAGGCCGGTCATTTTGTGCGTTTGAATCGGCCCTTTCACCTACCCCTAGATTCTTTCGAGATTTTGCTACAATACGATGGCCTGCTAACAAATGTGATGTTGGTATATACAGCGTCTGCGACCTCCAAGACAAGTTCCGCAACGCAATCTTCGAATTCGACAAGGTCGTAAAAACAACCTCCAAACTCCTCCGCGCCGCCGAAACCCTCAAGATCCCAGTCTTCACCACGACACAGAACCGCGCGCGCCTAGGCGACACCGTCGCGGAACTCGCGCCCCTCCTCCGAGAATCAGACCTCGTTCGCCCGCCCGTGGATAAGACCAAGTTCAGCATGTGGGTTCCCGAGATTGCTGCGCAGTTTGAGGGGAAAGGCAGGCACGAGGTGCTGATTGTGGGGATCGAGTCGCATATCTGCGTCACGCAGACGGCGCTGGATTTGTTGGCCGAGGGGCATAGGGTGTATGTGTTGGCGGACGGGGTGAGTAGTTGTAATCGGGAGGAGGTGCCGATTGCGTTGGCGCGGTTGAGGGGGGAGGGGGTTGTTGTTACGACGAGCGAGAGTGTGATTTATGAGATGATGGGGGATGCGGCGCGGCCCGAGTTTAAGAGGATTGTTGGGTTGGTGAAGGAGACTGGGGGGGATACGAGGGAGGTTTTGCAGGCTTTGGCGCCCAAGATTTAGAATTTCCGGGTGGGGATTTGGTTTGGGTTGGCAAAGATTGGGTGGTTGGTTATAGATATACACATCTACGAAAGATTTCAAGAGTCTTGTTTGGTTTCTAAGAAACAGGCTTTTCTATCTTCATGTCCCAGATTGATCAAGCCGGATTTGATATCTGGACTTCCCTCTCACTCAACATCAACAACCTCAACCTTGGCCCCTTGCAACCACGTCAAGTCCCCCTCAACAGTAACCCTCCTCACCCTCGCAAGCTCATCAATAAACGCAGGCACAAACGTCCCCGGCCCTTGCACATCCTTCCTCACAGCGGCCCACTCCGCCGCAATCTCAAAATGCAACAGCCCCGCAAGCACAGCAAGCAACTTATCCTCGTCCGCCCACGCCGCCAACATGGCCGAGACAGTCGTGCCCAGAACACACCCCGTCCCCGTGATCTGGCCCAGCAGCTCGTGTCCGTTGTCCACGGCCAGTGTGCGGTTTCCGTCCGAGAGGTAATCCGTTTTCCCCGTCATGAGCACCACGTTCCTCTCCCTCCGTGCGAGATCCCGTACAAGCCTGGCTTTTTGTACGGCGGTAAGGGTAGATGATGAATCAACCCCCTTTTGCTGCTCCATGGCCCCCTCACCCCACACAGTCGCGATCTCCCCCTCGTTCCCCTTGATGAGATCCAGATACCCGCCCGCGAGAATCGTCTTGACGGCGTTCCGTCGAATCGACGTGGCGCCCGCGCCGACGGGGTCGAACACCACGGGCCTTCGGGCTGCGTTATAGGCCGCTAGCGCCTTGAGGTAGTTGGCGATACCGTCGGGCGTGACGGTGCCCATGTTGATGACGAGGCTTCCGCCCAGGCGCGCGAGGTCGGGCGCTTCTTCGCCGTAGTTTGCCATGATGGGGGAGGCGCCGACGGCGAGGGCGACGTTTGCGGCAAAGTTTTGGACGACTAGGTTTGTCATGTTGTGGGAGAGGGGGGAGGTTGTTGCTACGCGGGTGATTACGGAGGGGATTTGGGCGAGGAGCTGGGCGACGTCGGCGGAGGCGGCGGAGGCACCGGAGCCGGAGGAGGAGGAAAGGGAGGTGATGCTTCGGTAGGACGGGCTTGTTTTCACGAGCTCGAGGAGGCTGCGGGACGCGGATTCTGGGTCCGGGGCGGCGACGATGGCGCTGACGAGGGCGATCCCGTCGAGGGCTACTGCTGCGGGAGAGGGCGAGTCTGGGGTGGCGGACTGGTAGAGGACGCGCTGGATGTTGGAGGGGTTGAGGCCGCCGATGCAGACTGTCTTTACGCGGGGGAGGTGGCCTGCCGCGGCGAGTTTGGTGAGGATTGTGCGGAGGCCTGCGGTGCCGATGATGTGTTTTGTGTTTTCTTTGCTGGAGGGGTGTGTTAGTAGGTAAAGTAGAAGGAGTTTTGAAGTAAGTGGTCAGACGAGGTATATGATATTGGCTTGATAGAAACGGGAACCTGAGAGGGGCATGTGGTGAAAGGGACGTACGTTGATGTGGCAAAGACGGTGCCGATGCCTAGGTAGTCTGCTCCATCTTCACAGGCTTTGAGGGCCTCCTCGATGGTGCTGGCCGTGACGCCGATGATGGCGTCCGGGCCGAGGATTTTTCTTGCGGCAGTGAGTTCTGGTTGGATGTCAGTCCTGTCCTTTCTTGAAATATACTGCCATCTCAACATTGACGTATACAGAAGAAAACGAAATGAGTCATTACAAGAAAAGAAAGGAAAATTTCGAAGTAACAAATCTGAAAAGTCAAAAGAAAAGGAAGCATTCATAGCTCACCCATATCATCCTGCCCGATATGCACGCCCTCACACCCAACAGCAAGCGCAACATCGACCCGGTCGTTAATGAGCAGCGGCACGCCCGCGGCGCGGCAGACGGCGTGCAGCTTCCTGGCGTTGGCGACGAGCTCGCCCGTGTCGCTCGTCTTGTCGCGGTACTGCACGATGGTGACGCCGCCCCGGACGGCGGCCGCGACGACGGAAGACAGGTCGCGGTCGCCGAGGATGGCGGGGGTGGAGTCTGTGACGAGGTAGAGGGAGTAGTCTACTGTTGGTTTCGGCATCGTGGCTAGTGTTGATGGGGGGAGCTAATTATACTACTTCTATCTCAGGTGAGGGGAGGTTACAGAGGAGGGAGAGAAGATTATTGCCGGGTGAGGGAATTTGGACCGGAGGTGGGATGACTGGCGTTTGTTGGATCGGCGCCGGTTTTTTCAGTAGTGTAAATGCGGATACTTGCGGCCGAGGACGGAACGGCCGCTTCCCCGATGGCGCCGATGGCTGCGGGGCGCGGGTTATGGTGGGGTTTGTCGGTGATGACATCAACTATTTGGCTCATTGCACAAGAATCGGCACTCGTGATGCCGTCTGGATCTGTATTAGTGTCGCAACACATTCGTGGCTCCTATCGATTTATTAATGCACTCGCCAGCATCGAGAAACCGAGATAGTCGCTTCAACGCATCTAGAAGACACAATCGTGATTACTGATCGTTGGTATCTTTTGCGAACCTCTTCATCATGTCAGTGTTTTCACCAGTGTTTGATAAATTTCATATCAGAAATTGCCATGCGTCCCAAGTATATTACAACAAGAATGAAACCCGAGTAAACCAGCCAGACCCCCTATGAAAAACTCCAAAATACACAATGTCCTCTATTCTTGGCCTCCAAGTAGAGGGTAATCCGTTCCCGTATCTCCTTTTTCAGATCGGCAGTAGTGAGAGATGGTCCGTCGATATCAAACCGCACTCGTTCCCCCCCCTCCTCGGCATCCCTCTCTTCCTTGGTACTGTACCAACAACCCCTCAAGAGGGCGAGGATGGAACCCTGTCTCTCTCTTTTCCATGTCATAATTCGTCACATTCATATGCGTCAGTCCCTGTCGGTCCTCCGCCGGTGGTGGTGGTACACATCGTCTCCCGTCTCCATCACCCGGCCCGCGAATATCAAGTAGCAGTCCAGTCCATGGCAGGAAACATACTCCCAACATCCCACGTCCCAGCATCCTCCCCCAACACCCCCGTCCAAAACGACGCATCCAGATCCCGAATCATGGCCTGCGTGCCGTCCGACGAATTGGCAGGCAACTGAATCGGCTCCTGGATCGCCGGCTGCGACTTGAGCCCGCACAGCTCGCCTTTCACAATATTCTTGAAGTACCGCAACATCTCCGTCAACCTCAAAAACGGATCAACCACTTTCGGACCCGGCACGTCCGTCGCCGCCGCCGCCCCTTCTTCCCCCCTCGCAGCCGCCCTCCTAAACTTCCCACTCCGATGCGCCACAAAAACCTCCAAGTGCGCGACCTGGCTCTCGACGAACCCACCGAGGTCGAGGTGCTTCTGCACCAGAGGTAAATCCCACCCAGGTACCTGGTCGAGCGTCATGAGCTTTAGGCACACGATGAAGACGTACAAAAAGTCAGAGGAGCTGAGGCAGGTGAAGCGCGGCTGTAAGCTGAGGTGGTTCCGCGGGAAGCGCATCTCGAGAAACGTCTTTGCGGCGCTGCAGCAGCCCCAAAGGAGTTCGAGGCGTTCCGTGAACGAGATGAAGGACGCCGGGCCCCGGGCTTCGGGGATGCCGATTTCGTAGAGGAGGACTTGTGCTATGCTGATGTGGGCGAGGAGGCCGACTGAGTTTGTTTTTTGTCAGATATTCTATCTAAAATACGCATGTCCTTCGATAGTTTCAGAGGCGGGGTCTAACGTACCATTATCCTTGAGGTGCACCGGCAGCGACGTCTTGAAAATATCAAGCTGCTGCTGGAACGACTGAACAACCATAGTCAAGGGCAACTGCAGCGACTGGAAGCTCGTGCTCTCCGTCCCGAGCGTGAGGGAAATCGTCTGCGCGAGCTGCTGGATCTTGAAGAGGTGGACCAGGAGCGCGTCGCTGGGGTACTCTGCCGCCTCCTCGATCTGTCGGCAGCAGGACTCGAGGTACGTCGTGTTCATGAAGGCGTCTGGCCGCTTGTTTGTCGTGAAGACGCTTTTCTCATGGTCAGCCTCCATCTCTCCCGCTCCGTTGTTCGAAGAGAAAAAGAAAAAAAGAAACCCCCCCCCCCCCAGATTTTGACTTACAGCGTGTTGAGGTAATAGCACCCAGCAAAAGCCCGCATCAACTCCAACTGCGCCGAAATCTCCTCCTGCGTCTGCACCTTTCTCGCCTCATTCTCAGGCTTCTGAAAGCTGATACAGATGCCGCTCCCCTTGCCGCCGCGCTCGCCCATCTGCATGGGACTATCGTTGAACCCCAAACTCACACACATCGACCTCGCCAGAAACAACAGATTCGTAAGCTGGTAGCTGTTGATGTTGTAGTGATACCACGCAATCAGGAGCTGCAACCCCTGTAACACATCCAGACTCTTTTTCGGCTTCATAAACGCAGCCTGCACAATATCCTGTAACAGCTCCTCCCCCAACAGAACCTGCTTCGTCGCGTCCAAGTGACACGCCGTCATCATGATTCCCTTCCACAGGAAAGGCCTCTCCGCCGCCAGCTGCGTAGGACCCATGTGCGGCGGCACAATCACAAAGGGGTACAGCTCCTGCATTTCGTCCATGAACAACTTGAGAACTGTACTCTGCTCGTTGTTGAGCGGCCAAGGCGACTCGTTCGTCGTTGTCGATCCCGTCCCCGCGCCGCCGTTGTTATCGGCCTGGCTGCTCCCAACAGTATGGTGATCATCCGCCGTAGACGCGCTCGGCGCAGGCGACGTATCAGACCACCCCCCTTCGCCCCCGCCAACGACCTCCTCCGGCGGGAACAGGTGGTCGCAGTTAATCGGGATCTTGGCCGACGCCGGCGCGATGCTGCCGCTGGGCGGGAGAGGGGAATTTGCGCTCCCGACGACGGTCCCGTTGGCAACGATGGTCGCGACTTCTGTAGTGCTGCTGTTGCTGTTCCTGCCGCCAACACCACCACCACCACCACCACCACCACCACCACCACTGCTGCTGCTGCCCTGCTGCTGCGTCGTCGCACCCGCGCTCAAATGCGTCGTCAACTCATCCAGCCTCTTCTCCAGCTCAGAGACTTTAGTAGGCTTGGATTCCTTCTTCGCCCTGGGCGGCGCAGGGGTCTGCGAGCCGCACGGCTTGCGGAGCCTGTGGCATCTAGTTCATACAGTCAGAGTCTCGTTCTCGTGAAATGTAAAAATAAGGCCTATGCGAATACGAGAGAAACAACATACCGTTCGCACTTGTTACTTCCGTCCGGCCCCGAGATACACCTCGCCTTGGCCTTGGCGCAGGTCGTACAGGCTCGCGGGCCTTTATTTCTGTGGTCAATGTCCATTCTGATCTGTCTTTCCTCAACTTGATCTCATAGAGGGCGAAAAGGTGTAGTGAGGAGGAATCAATCAGGCACCAGCTGAACTAAACGGTAGGTAGAATATGATATGAAACAAACACTCTTTCTTTACAGGATTTTCAGAAATTCGCGTCGTAATCCTTCATTTGAGCTTGTCTGCCTTTCATGACGGATCTCCTGAGTTGCGTGTAAGTCAAGGTGGGACGGGACACCCACCCCCAGTTGGCAGTGACGGGGACTTAGGACCCCCTCTCCCAACCAATGGCATAGCCTTTTTTCGAACGGAGACGGAGCAACTCTGCGTGCCCGCCTCCGTCGGAGTTGCTGAGTCAGAAGACTGGACGGGCAAGCCACGCCTGAAAAGTCCGCTTCTGTGGTGGTGGCACACTGAATCCGGTAGAAAGGTGTGGCCTCCCTGTGGCACACACCGCATACTACCTTACATAAAGCGTTGAGCCTACAGGCCCTACACCTCACACCGCGGCATCCCATCCCATCCCATCCCATCTCATTTCCCCAGCTATTCGGCGGGCACCGCGGAGACCCGTCCAAGGTGACCGTAGGCGGTGCCGGGTTTACATCGGGCTGCGCTTTCCTCGCCGATCGCGGGAAGACCGCATTCGCATAACTTTGCGATACCGAAAAATGTCAGCCATGCATGAAGTATCCCGGGCCCGTTGAACTTCAGATGACCCTAGTGAGGTTGCAACACATGGCAACAAATATCAACATGCATCACAATATCACGTGTAGACCTGAAAACTTGGAAGTGATGAATAAATGTGTCAATAAATGACATTCATATTGTTAAATAATTGGTTATTGCGACCAACACTGAGATCAGAATCCGCCATATAGACGAAAACATGGAATCTCAAATCGAAAGAGAACAATTGGGGCCACGGGGCGTGGGTTAAAATCACACAAAACACTTGTTGATCACTCCAAAGAACGTGGTTTAGGTCCGATGAGCTCCCCTCTTTTCAGATATCAACGTAACTTGGTTGGTGCTAGATTCAAAAAGAACCCAGACCAGTAGAACGTGAAAAAAAATCAAATGGCAGAGCTCACGGCCTGACCAGTCGTCGCCTTGGACTCACGCTCCAGCAGGGCCTCGACGAAGCCGTTGCTAATGTTTCCCGCGGCCTTGATCTCCTTCGCAGCCTGCTCGATGCCTAGCTGGTTGTCGGTCCACAGGGGCTCCTCGGGCGCGGCCTCAGCCTCCCCGACGCCAATGAAGCCGCCCTCGGCAGCCCACTCCGAGGTGCGCTTGATGCCGAGCTTGGTCCAGATCTCGTCGAGCGCCTGGACCAGCTGGTCGCGGTATTCCTTCTTGTGCCCGGGGGTGGGCGTGACGCGCAGTCTCTCCTGCCCGACGGGGACCGTGGGGTAGTTGATGGACTGCACGTAGATCTGGTAGTCCTGGAGCAACATGTCCGATGCCTGCTTAGCGAGCTCAGCGTTACCAACCAAGATGGGGATGATGTGGGAGGGGTTGGGGATGACGGGGATGTCGCGGTCGTTCAGGGCTTCCTTGACCGCGCGGGTGTGGAGCTGCTGAAGGCGACGGTCGCCATCGTACTCCATCTGGTACTCAATGGCCGTCTTTGCGCCGGCCATGGTCGCGGGTGGGAGTGACGTGGTGAAGATGAAACCAGGGGCGAGGGAGCGGATCATGTCGACGAGCTTGGAGCTGCCGGCAATGTAGCCACCGACGCATCCGTATGCCTTTCCGAGGGTACCAGTGATGATGTCAATGCGATCCATGATGCTGCCCTTGGGACGGCCCTGCTGATGCGCTTCAAAGTCCAGGTGCTCTGCAACACCCGCGCCGTGCGGGCCGTACATGCCGACGGCATGGACTTCGTCGAGGAACGTAATGGCGCCGTACTTCTCGGCCAAGTCGCAAATCTCCTCAATGGGTCCAATCGATCCACACATGCTGTAAACAGACTCGAACGCAATCAGCTTGGGAACGTGAAGCGGCAGCGACGCCAACTTGGCCTCGAGATCCGCAACATCGTTGTGCTTGAAGACAATCTTCTTGGTTCCAGAATGACGGATACCCTGGATCATGGACGCATGGTTCAGACTATCCGACAGAATGACACACTCGGGCATCTTGCTACCCAGAGTCGCCAGAGTAGCGTCGTTCGCCACATAGCATGAGCTGAAGACGAGAGCGGCCTCCTTGGCATGCAGCTTGGCAATCGTGCCCTCCAACTCGACAGCGTGCTTGTTGTGTCCAGAGATATTTCTCGTGCCACCAGCGCCGGCGCCGTACTCGTCCAGGGTCTCGTGCATCGACTTGAGGACGTTGGAATTGCGGCCCATTCCGAGGTAGTCGTTGGCGCACCAGACAGTCACCTTCTCCTCCTTTCCAGCCATATGAGCACGGGGGAATTCCTTGGCGAGACGGTTGATGTTGTTGAAGTAGCGGTACGACTTGTCCTTGTGCTTCTTCTCCAGCTCGGCGTTGTAGTAGGCCTCGTAGTTGAATTTGGCCTTGGAGGTGTCCGAATTGCCCATGCCGACATTGGAGGCAGAGTTCTGTCGAGCAGCGGGGATACCGGGAGGGGCTTGGGCTACGTCAATGGTCAGCCGAGGAGATTCTTTTCTCTCTCACGATGGTAGTTTCCATACCTTTGTTGAGCAAGGGAGCATCAACAGCCCGGGCATCCTTGCTGCGGCTGGTGTGGATGTTGGCGCGGCCAGGCTTGGAGTTGGTGCTCAAGGCGCGAATACCAGCAACAGAAGAGCTTCCCATCTTAGCCGGGCGTCCATGGCCGTACTGGGCAGACTGAACAGTCAGAGCCTTGCCCATGACGGGGCAGCGGTGGGCGAGGAGCTGCAACTTGGACATGGTTCCGCCGCAAGGAGAGACGGCCGTCTGCTGGGGCGCCGCCTGGATGGCGTGGGGACGAGCTGAGGTGGACAGCGCGCGCAGTTTGGCAGGCGAGGCCGACTTCAGGAAGGGGCACATGGCCTTGGATTGACGAAGGGCAGCCTCCATGGTGTTTTTCGAAGGCTGGCAGTTGTAAATCGTACGGGTCGGTTTCGTGTTGTCGGGATTTGGTTTGTTTCGGAGCAGAACGGTGCTACTCTGGATTTGTTGTGCGGTTTGTAGATTTCGGTGTGGCGACTCAAAGCGCGCGCGACGTGGATGTGAGTGAGGTCAGCGGGTTTGCCAGCGAAAAGTGATCAGCGCTGAGGGGCTGAACACAGGTCAATGGGCAGAAAGAAGCGGTCGACTCTTGTGATCGACAATTGGGACGGTATTCCTGCTGGTAAAGAGCAGAAATAGGAGAAGAAGGGGGGAAAGAGAGAGAGAGGTTTAGCAAGATGAGGAGAAAATGGGAAGGGGGAGCGAGAAAAACGAGCAGATTCCCGGACAAGTCCTTTATTTTAGTGTCTCCGGTGAAGAGTCGCCATGACACCAAATCCCCAAGGGCGCAGTGGAAGGGTTACGGTCTAGGTGGTAAGTATAGTGTACCTCGTGCCGACCGGCCGCCCCGCCATCTGGCTGAAGTTTGAACCCCAGCACCGCTGCACCACACCAACGGCACGCCGCACCAGCGACTCGGCACAGGGTGTGGTAGGTGCGGCCCTGCGCAGTTTGGGGGCCTTTTGGACTCTTGTGAGTGGTGGACGGGATTCAGGCCTGGGCATGCCCGCCCCGAGATCCAATCCATTTCCAGCTTGTTCTAGGTTCTAGGCGGTGGGTTAGGGGTGCCGCTGCACGCGATTTCCCATCCTCGGCGTCCCTCGGGCCTAGATGGCAGCGAGGGTTGTCAACTTCGCCCGTACTCAGGTACATCGCATTCATGGAGCCGGGGTTGAAGTGTACGGCGTTGATGGTGGGACCCCTAAGACCGCAAAGTGGAGTCTCCGAATACCGAAAGTCGGCACTTGGACCAATCATTACTCGTCTATAGCCAATTTCTGACGACACCTGATTGGTAGACCAACTCGACACCGCTGCGCAAATGCGAAAGTGACCTGAGGTCAGATCCCTTTTGTCCCTTTTGTCCCTTTTTATTTAATTCTCTTGGTAATACCACCCCAGTTTCGGTGTTTGCTGTTGTGGTTTTCTCTCTCTCGCTCGAGTTCCGCGGAACTCATTTGCCTACTATCCAGTACTAGCGAGAGGGCCAACGTCTTTTCTTCTTCTTCTTATGCCCACATGGCCTTTCCTTCAGGACCCCTGCTCTTCTGGAAACACCGCTGTGGATCCTGCAAAATCAATCGTACGAACACTGCGCCGGTGTCTTCCGAGACCGAACTTGACAGAGGCCGTTCCGTGTAGGTAATAGCTTCCGCTTCCGAAGAGCGGTATTTTTCAAAGCCAATTACCGCAATTACAATACTACTGTACGAGGGCACAAAAAAAGTGAAGGAAAAAAACAACATGAGCTCGAGAGACACATGAAATCAAAGTCAAGTGCCTTGAGCGGCGAGGCAGACTTGAATCGGACTCAACTTCTATTCTCAATTGTTTCAGGCCTGCAGCTGTCGTTGCCTTAGTCACCTGTCACATCGCCCATGTCTCAACTGTACTCCTTCCCTCTCTGATATTGGTGCTGTTTGCGGAATATGGAGTATGGTGTATGGGTCCAGAAGGAGCCGTTAGGGTACGTTGTCATCATTCGCCGAGGTTACTCGCAGTCATCTCAGCTTGTTCCATCCGGCATCATGAATACGAGGACACAGTCAGCCACAACTTTCAAGCAGTGAGACACGGAACTCTGCGGTCTCAACAAGTAGCCGGTCAACTATCACTGGTTGCATCTGCCGCCTCGCCTGAATGTTGAGAAGTCTGATTACCCCGAGTGAGCCTTGAGCCAGATACCTAGGCTTACCAAACGGTGTTCATTTGCATGCTATTTTTTTGGCATCAACTCAAATGACTCCTATGCCGCCCTTAGAAAGTCCTCCGCGAGAAATCAGAAAACCTCCAAATGAACGCCTCCAAAAAGGGTATCATAAAGCCGGCCTTGCAATGCCGTCAAACGCCCATGCCTTCCAAGATGCCTGAAAATGCCCCCTTAAAGAACAACCCGAATACCTGTTGCAAACGCCTAATCTGCGCACTCACAAACCTTGCCCTGCCGGCGCCGACGCCGATGACGAGGGCTCTGATGTCCGCCGTTGTTCTTCAAGTCCCCCTTCCTCCACCGCTCTGCTTGCCCATGTGGGAAGCCTAGGCGCACGCTGTCGCCTTGTTTCCGCAACCTCCCTAAGCAAATCCAAATCGTTGTCGTCGTCGTCGTCTTCCTGGAAAGGATTCGCTCGGCGAACGGGTGGTAAAGGTTTGGTGGGCAAGTCGGAAACGATCTGCGCATGCTGCTGATCAAATCGTTAGCCGCAAAAGAGTTTGCTGAATAAGTGAGTACTGAAAGACGAAAAATGCAATCGCACAGCAATGAAATGAGAGGCGGCGGGCTCATACTTTAGGCGCCTCAGTCGTGACTTGACCCAGCTTGAGTCTTTCGCGGAACTCATGTTCCTGGAGCGCCTCCCACTCGTTCGAGAGGTTCTTGAGTCCTTCAGTCGACGCGTACGCAAGCTCGGAGGGAGGAATATGCCCTGTGAGGACTGCGGCAGCGAATCTCGGATTACCCATCAAACCGCACAGCTCCTTCAAATGCGAGTTATCAGGCAATTCTCCTTCCTTGAGCTCTGATCTCACGAGCAATGTCGACCTTGCGATCCGGTCAGTCAGGACGACTTTGTCCTCCATGATCGCATCAGCAACCGCCGAGTCCGTTATCATATCGAGTGACTCGAGGATCTTGTCCCTGAACTGCTGCTCCCAATTGTATCCGGACCTCTTAGATTTCTTTACCGCAGGAGATGAGAGAGCTTTTTCCGCAGGCGGGGGAGAACCTGGTGTCTGCTGAGCCCTGAAGAAGGTATTTGCACCAGCCATGGGCATAGGCATTGGGCCAACTACTTGAGACTGTGATGTTTGATTATGTTAGCGATGTTCACCAAAATCGGGAGGTTTACTTTACCTCTACTGATATCTGCTCAGCAGGTTGCTCCCTAGTCTGGGCATCAGGACCGATAGTTGCAGGCTGTATTGAATGCGAGGGAGCGGCGGCTTGTTGTGTTGCTGCAGCGTCCATCTGAGTTGTCAGAGCACCAGGCACTGGCACAGGCACAGCCGTAATCTGCGGCGGCTTCATTGGATCTGGCAAGGTCTTCGTGATGCCTCCCGGTGGAGTGAAAGCCTGGGCTGTGTTGAAGTTATGCATCTGAGCGAAATTTGGAACAGGAATTGGTGTTTGACCGCTGCTCCCAACCACACCAAAGGTTTGGTTTACTGTTTGTGGCATGAACGATGTTGCACCCACCAAGGCTGGAGCGCCAAGTTCAGCGATTCGTGCCAGCTCCATTTCACGATACTTCTCTGGGTCGGTGTTGCGGATAGAATTCATGTAGACCTGGTTCTTCACATCCTTCAAGTCCTCAGGCGTTAAGATTTCGGACGTATCTTCCTCTTCAAAGGTGTCCGTCATGACAATCGAGCGTATGCCCTGGGACATGCCTGGGTGGGTCAAAAGGCTGTCGAGAACAGTATCCTTGCCGGCGAATGGACTGAGGTCATCCTGATCGGGCTCCCAGCGAGCTTTGGCGTACTCGTTGTCTTTCTTGGACCATCTTTTCGGGTTTTCGCTGTCCACAACCCGTGATGCCAGTTGGGTCTTGAACACGGATCTGTTGTGAAGCGCTTGTTCGTATGTCCCGCCAGAGATGAACTTGTAGACATATACCGGCTTTCGCTGGCCAATGCGGTATGCTCGACCGACCGCCTGCTGCTCGTGAATAGGATTATACTTGAAGTCGAAGATGACCACGCGGCTGGCGCCGTGAATGTTCAGGCCAACCCCACCAGCTGTCGTTGAAATCAAATAGACTTGGTTTTCGCCACTGTTGAAGTTTTTGACTTGTTGCTGCCTCTTATGGATTGGGGTACTGCCATCCAGCCGAGAGTATCTTCTCCGCTGTTGTCTGAACAGATTGTCCAGATAATCCAGGGTCGGGATTGATTGTGAAAAGACGAGAACTTTCTCCTTCATCCTCTCGCATTGGTCCAAAATGGCGACGAGAAGCTGCACTTTCCAAGACAAGGCAGGCGAAGGCACATCCTTCTCTCGCTGCAAGATTCTCAGGCCCTCGCTAATGATCGTGCTTGACAAAGTCAGGGTAGCCGGTTCCTTCCTTAGCAATGCCGCACGCTCCTCCGTGAGTCTCTTTTGCCAGCAACGAGGGTGATTGACGATGAGGCCAAAGTTGATGTTGGCACCCAGAGTCTTGGCGCTTGCAACGTTCGCGCCATTGTTGAGGGCGGCGGAGAAAGCGTCGTAGAGCTTGGCCTGGAGGGGCGTCACGGGAACAGTGAGTATAAATTCCATCTTTGGCGGAAGGTCGTTCTTGAGACAGGACTTGATTGTTGCTCTGTTCGTCTTGGGCGCTACAGTAGCCTCCAAAACAGCAAGTTGTTTCTTTGCCTTTCGGTACTGGCTTCCGGTGCTGTCCTCGTAAAGACCAGACTGAATCGGCTCGGCATAATAGTCCTTGAACTCTGCCAGTGGACCCAGATAATTGGGAGCGACCCAATTAATCATGCAATAGAATTCTATCACATTGTTTGCCAGAGGAGAACCGGTGAGTGCGATTCGTCGTTGAGTCTTGAACTTGGCGGCTGCGATAGCTATCATCGATTCGGGGTTCTTCATTTTGTGAGCCTCATCCGCAACAACGAGGTTAGGGCTTTCTGTGAGGATTTGCGCAATCGACTTGGCCTCCAGGGGCGTGAACATCTCGTCCCCTGAGGGAACAGCCAATTTCTTGAAAATGTCGTAGCCAATAATCATCACGCCGCCGGTTTTGTCCCAGTCACGGATCATTGGGGCTCTCTCCAGTGCATTGACGACGGATTCCATTTTGTAGAAGTGACCAAGAACCCCATCGGGAGCCCACATCAACAGCTCATCCATCCAGTTGTCGACAAGTAAGGCCGGGCAAAGTACCAGAGTCTTGGACTGCCTCAGGTCCTCTGGAATCTGTGACAGAACAGACTCGTCTCTCGATCGCGCGGCCTCGGCGATAGCAACAAGTAATGTGATGACCTGCATGGTCTTGCCGAGTCCCATTGTATGAGCGAGGAGGCATCCCTGCCGCACCTTGGCGTCGTAGACGATCTGATTCCACAGGAAACGGACACCTTCAATCTGGTGGTCCTTGATACGTTGACCGATGTCGCTATTAATGTAGATCAGGCCTTCGTCATCTCCCTTGGTTTCGTTAATAATGAGACGTGACTTGTCGCTCGAGATGGTGTCGGATGCTGCTAGCTTCTTGCGTAATTCCTTCCGCCGCTGCTCCTGCTCTTCTCTTCGGCGTCGGTCGCTTTCGCGGAGATCTATGGCGGTCTGATCCATGGCTACCAAAGGCTTCCGTTTCTTAGACGGAGAGTCTTCAACATCGTCGTCGGTGAAATTTCCCAAAGACTCTCCACTATCAAGGCTTCCACGACGGCCCGAGCTGCTGGTTTGGTTACCCTCAGGGAAGTTGGGCAATATAACAGTTTTGACGAAATCACAGAAATCTTCAAACTGATCTACCTTCCCCTTTATCTTCCTGACCTTGACTTTGTTGTTGAGCCTTCTTGTGATGGTATTAGCAGCTGCCGGCTTACAGAGTGCGAAGACTCTGAACAAGCGGGCAATGACGGTGCCGAGCTCGACTGCACTCTCTTGGCTGTGACTTTCCGGCAGCTCTTCTAGTGCTGTGATCACAAGGTCCGTCCAGATATCAGCGGGAGCCATGCTCTGGATAATGCGAAAGAAGGCCACTCTCCATCGCGAGGTTAGCCTCGAGATGACACAGATCAAAAGTCGCTTGCCGTCTCCTTGCTTTCTCCATATAGTCGGTGCGATGTCCCCAATCTTTCCATATTGGTCGTATGGAGTTTCTAGCTGTTCCTGGGTAGGCGGTGGCTGCTCATCAATTTCGCTTTCAGGAGCTGGCGTTGCGGCTGCCGTGGTCCTTGGCTTCTCAGGCGTGACTACAGAGATGAAATTCCCCTCAGGAGGTGCAAGCTCATTCTCAGGACGGGCGGGCTCATTCTCAGGCTCGGAGTCAAACATTGTCAAGTCGATGATGCCATCGTCGGATTTCATGTCGACGAGAGCGTCGGCTGGCGACTCGCCTTTGAGCAATCGCAGAGGTTGAGGTTCCTGCATTGAGACCTCTTCAGGGCCATCCAGATCCATGGGTCTTTCTGGACGAGAGCCGCTCGCCACGGGCGACATGGCGTTGGTCATATCGTCAACCACCAAACCGTCGTCGTCGCCAACCACAAAATTGTCGTCGTCATCGTCGCCGCTGGTGATAAGATCGCCATCTTCGTCAGAGAGATCGGGCCGCGGGGCTGCAATTGGCCGTTGCTTGGGCATCGTCAGTGGTCGGGTAGGTTCGGGTCCTCGCAAGGTATCGAGAAGCCACTTTTCAGCTCGCCGGTCCTCGACACTGGACTCGAGGCATCGTGCTTGTCTGCGCAGCTGGTCTTTAGCCGGCCATTCGTTCAGTTTGATCTCTCGACAGAGCTTTTCTATGCGGTTATTGAGAGCCTCGAGTCGAGATGTAGCATTCGCTATTTGTCGGACGAGACCAGTACGCCGGGCCTTGTTCCAGATGGCGTTGGCCTTCCACTCTTTTTTGAGTAGCTTTCTCTCGTCCCAAGAGGCCTCAATCCGTTGTATTTCCTCCTCTAGCACACGTTGGACATCATGCGAAGTCAGGTGATGAGACTTAAGTTCCATCTCTTGCCTTTTCTCCTCTTCCTCTTCCTCAATCGCGTCCCTTGTCTCTGTGTCGTAACCTTCGTCGTCATCGGAGTCTCCGAATACCGGAAGGAGCTCATCTTCCTCTTCAGGCTCCACGAAAGGAGATACACCGTTGCGCAATAACGTCAGAGACTTATCATTCGTGCGCATTAGTCGTCGCAACGCTCGGTGGACTTGGCGACTGTGTCCAGAGGCAATCAATCCCTTAGCAACGAAGTGAAATGTATTGCTACCCTCATCTGCGGAGCTTCCACCAGGTACAAGACTTGAGTGAGGGACTTGACGGCCGATGATAAGCGCATCAGGTCCAAAGTACGCCCCCAGAGAATCGTATCTTGAGACAAGCTCTTGGTCCACTCGCTGGGTATTCCCATGGGGTCTGCTGGAAGCCGCATGCGAGGAAGACCGTATGCTAGTTGTATCGAGCTCCCGAGAGATAGCGTCATCGTTTACTGTCGGGATGGCCGGTGGTGTCTTCCCACGGCTTCTGCTAGGGGTCGCGTTCGATATAGGTGGCCGAGTACTCGCTGTCACAGCTTTCCGAGTAACAACATCGTCAGCTGCTGTACTGAGAGGTATGTTGCCAATTCCGGTGACAGTCGCTGTGATCAGAGTTGGCGCCATCTTTCTCTTCTTCTGAGGTGGTTCGTTCGTCTGTTTGTCTTTTTCTTCAACGCCGGATGCCAATGTATCTTGATCCGCGGTGCCACGCATCGTGATGTCTTCCGTCTTGGTAATCGTCGCGGGGTCCTCCGTGATACTGGGATCCAGAGCTGCGCGTTCCGGTTCGCCGTTGACATGCAGCTCCAGCGAGCTTTCTTGGCTATCCGCCTCCTCTTTGGCCATTTCGACCTTCTGATGGCGATACTCGCGGCTTTTAGACTTGAGATAGTTGATGGCTTTGACAATCGTCATTTTGTGAACGATCTTGACGATGCCTAAGTCCCTGAGCAGACCGTCAAGAGGCGGCATGACGTCTTCGTAGGTGAGAAGCGTCTCGCCGTCAATGTCATGCTCACGCAGTGCTTTTGCGAGGACCGTCGGGTTGGGTCTCTTGGTCGCAAGTCTCGGATGCCATGGCCGACTTTCAGCGATGCATAGCTCATGCACCAGCTGTTCGACATCCCAATTGAAGGGATCATCCTCATTGCCCTCCATGGTGGCTGCCGCTTAGGACATGAGAATAGCTAGAGAACGAAGAGACGATTAGCAATGGACAGAAGAAGACGAGTAATTGAGAACACAGAGTCCTCAGGCATGGGTAGTGAGACCAAAGTCTGGCGAGTGAATGAGCTTGAAGCAGTATGAGTATGAAGGCAGATTGTGTGAGAATAAGGCGGGAAGCTTAAGAGGAGCTGCAGTAATTTGAAGTGACCTAGAAAGTAATGGACCGCCGATGAAGAATGCTGGATGAAAAGTACCAGGATCGAATTTGGTGAGAGGACCAAATAGCGATAACCGTGAAGCCAGACTTACGACGGAATTTGAGGAGGGCAACAAAGCGCATGAGTGGTGCTGGATTCTTTGGTCGGATGGATCTTATGCAAGGGGAGAAGAATAAAGCTGTGCTCACTGCCTGCTACCAGAATTCGAGTTGTATCTCTGAAGCCTAGACAGTTCGAGGAGTCTCGACAAAAACGAGAATGTCTTTGTTTCAGGGAATAAGCAGTCGACAATCGTGAAGAAAACCAGCCGTTGAGAAGGGGCTTTCCAGTCGTGTGGCGAAAACGAGAAAGACCGTGTAGAAAGTAAGTAGAGAGAAGACGAACCGAGTAGGTTTTGACTCGGGTCGAGTGCAAGACGTCTGGAAACGGGTGGTTGTGATGGGAGAAATGTACCGAAATTCAGGATGCTGTAGGCATTGCCGCCGGGTTTCCTATGTCGAATTCACGACGCGTTAGTCTGGAGAAGTCGCGGAAGTCGCAATGGACCTGCTTAAGCCCCCCACCTTCCCTGGTCAAGCAGGCCCGCAGGGTACCTCGCCTTAAACGCTTTGGATGAAGGCAATGTATCTTTAGGTACCTGTCCAGGGCTAATCCAAATAAGGTTAGGGGACCTGTAGCCAGCACGTGACTGTGCTTTCGGGTTTAAGATAAGGTAGCACTTATCGGAGTGAGATGGAGGGGTAAATGGAAGGCGCAAAACAGACCTGCCAGCTACCGACCCCGCCATCTTCTTGTTTGTAATTCATAAGATGTCTTGCCTTGAGAGGACTCATGGAGAAGAAGTTTCTGGATTAGTAGAGTTAGAGCCGATCACCAATGTTTGGATTTCGCGGTCACATAGTTGAAAAGACCTTTGAACCCTCGTAGGGCCTGGAGTCCCCTTATTCTGCTAGGAAGTCCTCCCCACTTAGACTGATCACGTCTTGTGTGCATCGTACCTACCAGCTGAAGCTACAGTGAGGGTACCAGCCATTTGAAATCCAGACCAGAAGTTCATGGTGGGGCAGCCGATTTCTCGTCGCTCCCCCGCCAGACATCCCTTATTGATATTAACACTCGCTCCTCATCCGGTAATATCTCACTCTCAAAAGTTCTCAGCAGACTCGACAGTTGGCTCGAGTCACTTGCTGTTTCAAATCGAAGACAAATCTGTCTTCTTTTTCCAACAAAGGGTCTTTCCAAAACAATTTGTTACTGTTTCTGGCCCCATCCACTTAGCGCTGTCCAGCAATTATTAATCACCAAGGCGTAACGACACCAAACCATCCACTCTAGACTGTAGCAACCTGCTGTGATTGCTGCCGAAGCTCTGAACTCGGTCTCTTTAAGAAAGCTTCAGTAGCAGTATGACACTTCCGACGCTGACGAGGGAGCAGTACCCTCCCCGGCTTTCCCAGTCGGAGCAAGACGCTCTCGTACAGACCGTCAAGGACTGGGCTATCGCCAACGGCTTGTCGGTCCGGCCGCCTCCTGCGGTCGTGACGCCGGAATCGGATCCCAAAGGTATCCTTGCGGTCAACGTGCCCGTTACGCTATTCCCGAGTCCTTTCCCCAAGGGATGCTTTGAGCAGGCGAGATCCGTGCAAAAGACGTATAATGAGCTATATGCCGCCATCAGCAGGGATGAGGAGTTTCTGAGTGCCATGGTGGATGAGTATGTTTCCACTCCCTCTTGACACTTGGTCACGCACCAAGTGTAGCGTGCAAAACTATAGAGACTGCATCTGACAACGCGTAGGGTCAAGGGAGGTGACGACTTCATCGGCAAGCTGTGGGATACCCATGTGCGAGTAAAGAAGGAGGGGTATACTCAAGTATGTAGTTGACCCCATGCGTCAGGTATTGATACTAACCATGCGCAGAGCCTCTCCTTGGGATTGTTCAGATCAGACTATCTTGTCCACCAGGATACCTCTTCAGGTGAACCTAAACGCCAGGTCAAACAGGTCGAGTTCAACACGATCGCTTCATCCTTTGGCGGCCTTTCATCTCGGACCTCACTCGTCCACAAGTAATCTTACACGTCTCGTAAGGAGAGAAGCTCAGGAGACTGACGCCACCCACAGGTTCCTTTCCGTGGCAGAGTACCCTCTCCTGGACCATCCCATCGAGCCCGGGTCCCTCGACCTGCCCGAGAACAAGAGCGTCCAAGGCCTCTCCGGCGGCATCCGCGCCGCCTACGACGCCTACGGCCCATCGGAGCTCGGGCACAAAAGGTGCGTTATCTTCGTCGTCCAGGGCGGCGAGAGGAACATCTTTGACCAGCGCCACGTCGAGTACGCCCTCGTCAACGCCGCCGACCCCGTCACCGTCTTCCGCGTCCCCTTCTCCGAGCTCCTGCAGCACACCACCGTCGCCGACACCCCCAAGCGCCAGCTGCTCTACAAGCTGCCCCGGGACCCGACCAAGGTATTCGAGGTCGCCGTCGCGTACCTGCGCTGCTGGTACGACCCGTCCGACTACCCGGACGAGAGCATCTGGGAGGCCCGCTACCACCTCGAGAGGTCGTCCGCCATCAAGTGCCCCACCGTCCTGACCCAGCTGGCCGGCAGCAAGAAGATCCAGCAGGTCCTGGCAACGCCGAGACCAGGGACCTCGCCCTCGGTCCTCGGCCGCTTCATCCCCGACGACGCGCCCAGCACGGCGGCAGTGTTTGAGACCTTCACCAACATCTTCCCAATGGACGCCTCCGAGGCCGGGCTCAAGGCGCGCAACATCGCGCAGGACCCGGAGCTGTGCAAGAGCTACGTCCTCAAGCCGCAGAGGGAGGGCGGCGGCAACAACCACTACCGCGAGGACATACCCGAGTTCCTCAAGAAGACGCCCGAGACGCACTGGGGCTCGTACATCCTGATGGAGCTGATCACGCCGCCCAAGCAGGATAACATCATCCTCCGCAACGGCAACCTCGAAGAAGGCGGCGTCATTTGCGAGCTTGGTATCTACGGCACTACGGTGTGGGATCAGGGCACCGGCAAGGTGGTTCACAATGAAGAGGCTGGCTATCTGCTCCGCACCAAGGGCGATACTAGCAACGAGGGCGGTGTCGCTGCGGGCTTTGGGTGCATGGACAGCTGTACGCTCGTCTGAGGAGAGCATATCTGGTGATTGAGAGTTTAATAGAGCCGTTGAAGTTCCCACGCATGACACGCATAACCCGAGTGAACGTTCAAATCGAAAGAAGCCAAGCAGGAAGAGCAGACGTGACGCAAAACCGCGCACGAGGACGCAAGTGAGAGGAGCAACCCATGGTATCAATTATCGTCCTAGAAAAAAGAGTTTTGGTACAGCACGCCTCAACCAGCCCATTTATCAGGTCATTGTACACAAAAAGAAAAACAAGAAAATCTCGATAGAGTGGAGAGAGAAGGCAGGCCAGTTCAGGTCAGTGTCTCTAAAGGGCACACACTCCGTCTTTCGTTCGTTTCGTACATGGCACTCGGTTGATCGTGTTGGATAAGCACTGAAAAGCCGAAAGTCTTTTTACTCGCTGGCCTCGCCGCCGTTCTGAGGACGCCTAAGGACGTCAATGGAGCCTGTGGGGTTTCTCATGTTAGGACAAATACAATCTCTTACTCGAAGACAAGTCTGTGATGGGATGATATATTGGGGAAGATGACGAAGAATACGTACGTTGGACAACGCTCAGGGAGCTGCGGTTCTTGCCCTCAGCATCTTGGTAGGCGCGCATGGAAGCATCGCCCTCGATGTAGACCAGAGTTCTATTCCACGTAAGAACAACACGTTAGCAAAATTCTTGTTTAAAAGGTTTTCATCCTCTCCCTCTCGCCCTCCAAGCTGATCATTGCGGAGTGTATGTGTGCATTGCGTACCCCTTGGGCAAGCTCTGAAGGAAATCCCGACGGGGACCCTCGGGCTCGAAGCTCGTAACACGGAACCAGCTGGTCTGGCGGTTATCCTTGGGCCCGCTGTTGCTAGCGACGGCGTATCTGACAATCTCGCGGCCGGTGCTGGTGGGGACGACCTCGGGGGCGTCGGCGAGGTTGCCGACGATGGTGATGCGGGCGAGGTTGTTGGAACGGGTGGTGGTGAATGCGCGGGCGGCGGCGGTCATGCGCGGGGCGACGGCGGCGCGGCGGAAGAGGGCGGAGGCAGACATTTTTTGGTTGTTGGTTGCGAGGCTTCGTGGGTGTGAGAGAGAAAGTAGGCGTTGGCTAAGGAGTGACGGGGAAGGACGGAAAAGATGGTGTTGATGTGTCGAAATTGACGAGATGGGTATTCATTTGGGGGGGAAGCTGAAGTGCCGGTGTGGGAGCTGTCGATTTCGTTCGCGGTGGGCGCGTTCCGTCGACGCGCCAGGGGGTACAACGTACGGTAGCTTGCTGCGCTGTAAAGTGGCTCGTGCGTAAGGCCGTCCCTTGAGTTTTCGCATTGACCCCTGAAATTGGACATCCTCCCATTGTAGATATTCCTATACCGGGGTCAACCCATCGGGTTTAATCGCTTAGCGGAAGCTACCAAGGGTGAGAGATCCATTGTGTTGTTCATCTTTCACATCATCCGGTCATTTTCATCGTTTTTCAAGGCTCCTACTTTTTCTACCTCATGATAATTCACCCTATAGAAAGTCGTGTTATTTTTCATTAAAGTATTTCCTATCTCTAGCCCAAGGCTTTGATTGCTCAAGTCAACCTACCTAAATGACTAGGATTGACCGACGATGAGGTTTACTATCATATCAGACTAACATATATATCGCATTTAGAGATCCGTTTCTCTGTATTATATTGTGCCTCGCCTTTATTTATTTATTTGCCGTGAACAGTACGGTATCAATTCAGGTGCCCTTTTACTCGAAGACATCACCCATGTCTCGAGACGGGGTCCCTGGTTGCGACTTGAGCCAAACAGACATGAGGACTTGGAGCACGACCCGGCCAGATATGCCACATTTCTCAAGGGCCGCTTGGTTTCCATGCATCCCTTTGTATTCGGCTCACTTCTTTCCTACCTAATATTTGACATCCGGTTGACTGTCCGTGGCCTTCATTTACTTCCTCAACTTCGATAATCGAGGTCAACCGGTTCTATTTCCCAGGGGCTCTGCTCTCCATGATCTAGAACGGGAACATCGTACTCAGGAAACTGGTCTCCTTAAGTGCCCCGGTCACTCGTGCGTGATCAATATCAGAACAGTGACGATGAAGTGAAAGGTCATGGGGGTAAGAAAAAAAAGAAGAAAAAAAGAGTTCGCCACCGGTGTGGCTACATCTCTTGGTGCTCATGCTGGGATTCTAACTCGGAGCCTGTCGTCGAGTAGGCTATTCGGGCGAAGATATTGATTGTTGACCATAAACTACTCCACCACCCAGCCAGTTTGACCCGACCCGTCGACCTGGACGGGCGCCTGCTGGCTGGTGACTGGAACGGAGTTGAGGGGGTATATATTCAGGTCGGCAGGAAACTTGTCAGACGGTGGGTTGGGCAGGTGCCTTAGATAGGTCTGCCACAGCCCACTCACTACCTTTGGGAACCACGTGTCGAAAACCTGAGCTGGTCAGGTAACGGACACAATTCAGCCAAGCGTTTCCCTTGAGCCCACGCAAGAGCTCTTTAGTCATGGTCATCGGCAAGGATAAGGATAGGCTTACGCAGGTTGAAGGGTGTCACTGCGAGGTCAGCGCATTGAAGAGAGGAACAGAGATCTGCATAACGAAGAAAGTAATTTTTTTGAAGCACATCAGTGTAAACATATTACTGGGGTCTCCCGAGCCTGGCTGCTTCTGCTCCATCATCCAGCGTACAGACGGCTTCCCCTAATTTCAGGATCGCTCCCATTTCGCACATTCTGGCATAAAAAGCATATAGGTCACCGAAAAAGTGAAACCGGAAACAACGCGTAAGAAATCATTTGCTTCACATTTCGTGACTGTCCCAACCAAGGGATCCTAAAACTCCGCGCCATGCCTTGGTATAAGGTAATAGTAGTAGTAGGGGGTGGGGATTGGGAAAAGAGTAAAATAACCCCGGGTAGTAGTAAATGGATATCGAGTGCCTCGTTAAGAAGAGAGGCTACGGTCGTATAAGCTCATGTCGGTTCGTCCCACAGGCCGCGGCCGATCCGTGATTAGAAAGAGTGTATGATGAAATACGAAGTCGAAGGGAAGAATGTAGTGTGGCAGAGGACGAACAGAAGAGTCGCCTTGCCAGATTATGATGCCATTACGGCGGTTGCCGGCTCCATTGGCAGGCTTCCAGATCTAGAGCCGCCAGGTGTGCTAGGAGCAGGTGCAATTTCCGGATCTGGGATTTGTATGTCAAGCTTTTCCCCGAGTTAGTACGGAGTTGCCCATGGATTCGGGGAGTTGAACTTACTGTCATGTACCCCGTCTTTCTCAGTGAGATAATACGTGGGGCCATTGAGCTGTCTTCGTTGCCGATAGTCTTTTCCATCTCGTTGTTCCACTGGTCAATCCAGCGTTCCAGGCGCTTCAGCCGAGCTTTGACACCAGTAAACCCCAAATCATCCCACAACCAACCCGTGACGAGTCCGAGCATGCTATCGACCACGTTTCTCCAGTTGTATGGGCTGAATATCGGAATGAGTTCGCCGTTGAGCTTGTCAATAATCCTCCGAAACTCTTGTTCTGACAAGCCGGCCGGGTCCAAAATCTCAGGGTACAAGTTGGAGAACGTTGGAGCCAAATCTCCCTCAATCAACCAGTCTCGGCGTATGCGAATGATTCGAGTGTTGTGGTACTCTGCCGAGTCGAGAGGAACGTGAGGGTTCATGTGTGGGAAGCAGGGGTGTTGCGGTCCCCATTCTTCGCCCAGGTCTGGCGGCAGTTCCTCTCCCATAATCGACGAGTTGGAAGATGAAATAGCTGACCCAATACCCATGCCATCACCGGCCGACACATTCGAGTGGCGTGGCAGCACATCTGGCCCGCGTTCCAAGTCCTTCGAAGCCCCTCGCCCCTGATTCTCAGCGCCTTGGTCCATGATTGCCTTTCCTTTCCCTTTGTCGTTGAGCGTGATGGCAAAATCTCGTATGACTGGGTCAGAAACACTTTGCCCACGTTTCCTCAAGCCAGTTACTCGAGTCTCGACAGGAGGTTCTGCGGGTGCTTCTTCTTCCTCGTTGGCGGGATGTGCGTCAGGATCCAAGAATGTTGGCGACGGATCAGCGGACCTTCGTCCGTCGTATGAATGGCGCACTGATGGTGGTAGACTGATGCGATGCTCAGCACCACTCCCACTGCGATCGATTTGGAGGCTGTTTCGATTCGACGTCGGATGTCGCGTCTGGCGCTGCTCCGGCAGAGTCAGGAGCGGATAGTCGCCTGCACCAATCCCGAGAGGATCGGCAGGGTCGACGGATAACGGATCGAGAGTCGGATGCGAAAGAGGGACGGCGGGAGGAGGCGGTGTCGAAGGGCGTCGTTTGCGTACAGGCTTATCGGGAAGGCGTGGTGTAGAGTTGGTTGGATTCCAGAGACGAGCAGCGGAAAGGTGAGGAAGTCGACGGGCCGCAGAAGATGCGGCACGATTGCGAAAGGGAGACTGCAGGAAGTACTCTTTGGGGTCGTATTGGTGTAGCAGGGATGGAGTGCGAGCTTGGGGCAGGGCGGCGGCGTGGGCGGCTACTGGAGTTTGCAAGACTGGCGAAGCGCCAGGGTATGTGGGCTGCTGCGAAAGCGTTGTGATGCGAGGATTTGCGGATGCATCTACGGTGGCCGGTGACGGAGACTTGTTTCTCGCGTGAGAAGCCGTGGGGAGAATGGTTCGACGAAGGCCGCCGTGAGGACGACGGCCTTACGGGGCACGGTGGAGAACGGGTCTTTTGGTTGTCGAGGAATTTGCAGCAGCGCCTGGGCCAGGCTCGTAGAGGTCGCCAGGGCCTCTTTAAGCGGCAGCGGTGATATCGACAACGAACGGAGTGATTGAATTGGTCGCCGGGTTGGAGGGGAGGTTGACGGGATGGTATTGGGGAAAAGTCGTCCAAGGAAAGCGTCGCACAGGAACGACGAGTGCAGCAAAAGCAGCAATAGTCGCAGGTGCAAAACGATTAGGTTTGCAGCTAGAGATGTGGAGACCCGGACAAAGAAATGCGCAGGCGACGACGTGCAGAGCGTGGCTCGGACTGCAGCTTTGGCTTTCGCTTGAACGGTGGTGGTGGTTGTTTTAATGCAAGCGTGGGCAAAGCGGGCAATGGTGAATGGCAGAGGGAGAAGCGGATGAGGAGCGTGATTGGTAGCAGGCTTGAAGGCCGTGGTGGTTGTGGATGTGGATGCCCGTGTGGATGCAACGGTGGTGGTGAGGACGACGACGAGGGTGGTGTTGGATTTGGACCGAGGAGGAAAAGATGTGGTGGGCGCGGCGTTGGTGGTGATGGACGGCAATGGATAATTGCTGCAAATGCAAGTGGTGGTGAATAATGTGAATAATTGCGCCCGAATGAGAGTGCAGGTCGTCCAGACCGGGAGGTTGCAGCTGGGCCTGGGCGACGACTGTGAGGCGGCCGTGGAGTCGTGAAAAGTGGAGAGCGCGTTTAGGGGGGAGGAGATGGCCGAGATTGGGTTAGACGTGGAGGCTCTTGCTCTCAGTCCCAGCATTTTGGGAAGCCGCTCGTTGGTGGGAAGCAGGGGGGGGAGGGGATCTTTCCTTGAAGTTCCCTCCACTGGGGCCTGAGAAGCCCGCCCACTCTTGCCCTGAGCAATTGCCAGTGAGCAGGAGCAGGAGCAGGAGCAGGAGAGCAGCGCTTTCTCTGCCCGGATAGTTGGGAAGGTCCACGGGTACCTTACTGTGCAAGTAGGTATTGGAAGGAACGGATAGGGAAAGTCGGGCTAGGTAGGCTCTAGCTCCTTCCTGCTGCTCGTTGGCTGCCGCAATACGCAGGAACAGACGGCAGGATCGTCCTTTCTCTGTGACTCTGCGTCGTGGTTCCTGGCTCCTGCTGCTCGAATTGTTTGGTTCGGATCCAGTTGGCCCGGGATGAACGTTCCTGCAGCTCAATGCCCACCTCACTCCAGTCTCCAGCTGCACTTCACACACTTGTCGCTGTCGTTGGTACCGTCGAATCGTCGTGTATTCGATATGGTCGATTTGTTTTCCTGTTCGTCGTCTCTTCTTGATACTGTTTTGTCGTCCAAGCTTACGCCGACGTCTGTTCACCCATCCGCCGGTATTCCGAGGACCTCTTCCACAAGAGGTAGAAACAGCAGCCAACTGCGTCAGTGTCGTCGTCGTTGCCCAGCTCCTCTCGCGCTGTCGAACAAGCAGTAGGGCTGTTTGTCGTCGGCGGCGGAAACTGTCGCAGAAGGGATCGAGGGTTGAAGAAAGATAGTCGATGAATTTCAAAACCAAAGTCTTCCGTCAGGCTTTGCAAGCGGAGTGGCGCAGGATATAACGACAATCAGTGGCCCTACGAGGCGGTTCCTGTTACAGATACAGGACTCGAGGATTCCGCCGGTGCTTCACCCGTCGTTTTGTGGAGGGTCTTGGGTCAAGAGTCTCGCACCAACAGCGGAAAAAGAAAAAGAAAATCCAGACACGACACGACACGAGATCCCAGCACCAACAACCCGTCCCCAGCCCGCCAATATATGACGACGACCTGCCTCGTACACAGCTCCCACCTGACTTCGATGGCCTTCAGCCTGGCAGGTGCCTCCCTGTCTTCCAGCCAACGTCCAAGGTGCTTTAAATTGTCTATTTCGATCCTGCAGAGATTTCTAGCCAGGCTCGCCTTTGTCCTGACGGCGACACTGCATTCAATCAATCTTGGATCCGGGTGACGCACTCTAAACCTCCAGGACCCATCAAATCATCCTGGTTGTCATTGCTCGCCGAGGCCACCAAAAACCAGGGTTCAGACCGGGTTGTCCGCGTCGGCAGACACCAATTTGCGCCTTGCTGTCTAGCTCAATGCCACATTGCGGCGCAACTGTGAAGATGGATTTTGTGGCCCTCCCGCCCCGGCGCGTCGAATCAACGCGACATCGGGATGAGGGAGACAACAGTATGCCATCCGACGCTCCGAGCAATCCTTCCATGCCCTCCTTACGATGTGGGCAATGCCATCCAACAAGACAAGGAGCCTGGAAGTCGACCCTTGCTCCGTAAGCAGCAGCGTGCCAACTGCCACGCCCTCAATCTCTAGCAAACTCCCAACGGCAGACCAGTGCCGCCATACCGTCAATTGGTCTCGAGCCACCTCATCACACGGCCGTTGTCTTGTCTCTTCGCGATGATCAAGCGGCTACCGTCGCACCCCGTCTGTCTGTGCGCAACGGCTCTTCGACTTTGCCGATGACAAACAACCCAAGCATGCGGTTCCTGGACGGCCAGAAACTTCTATTAGAAATTGCTGCGCTCCAGCGTCACAGTACTTTCCCTTCGTGTTGCATCAGCCTCTCCAACCGACCCAAGACATACCAATATCACCAGGCAAATAAGCATTAAAAGGGAATGCCGATCTACGAGGCAGCCAAATTCGGATGCTCAGAGATTCAATCCAGTCCATCTTGAGAACGGTAGATTGGACTTCTGTTAAAGAGTTCAGGCTTGGAAAGCGGGGCGCCAATACCGCCAATCTGTTTACCAGCTTACAAACAAGCAACCTGGGTTGCGGTACGCCTGAAGGGCTAGCGATACATTGCTGATCCCGGTTTAGTGGACAATTTGTGGGTGCTAACGGTGATCTTGCAGTTCCCGATAGAGCCGCCTTTCGCAATATCCTTCTTGAATGCATTGCTTCACGGGACATGGTAACTAGGAGACGATCACGTAACCCAGGACCAGCTCTTCACAGATAGCCCCAGCGATGCTTGCATAGGTATATTGAGAGGTTGGGAGAGACCTCTCATTGATAACATTTTCGACGTTCCTCCGCCAGGCACTGCACAACTAAGGCCGTGGGAATAAGAAACCACCATCTCACTCGCAAGCGGGAGAGACAGGCTTTTCGATTGTCCCGGCTTACCACTAAGCTGAAATGGAACGAGCGTGGTATCATGTATGCCATTGAGTCCCTACCAAGAGATTCAACTGCTCCGCTCTCTAATCAATTGACAGTCTTGCGGTCCATCACAGGAATGGTGTCACGGGAGAACTCTACCGGGGGAAAGGATCCGACCACGCAGGTCAAAGAATATGATTTATCTGGCAATCTCCTTCCGGCCAGGGGGATTTCACGGTCTTAGAGGACGCCTTGTCTCACTCAAGATGCTATATCGGTGGCTGGCAACATGTATCGACGAGACATGCGCAAAGACCAACATGGAGAATTGCGGGGTTCCGTCTGACACCCGTCTCTTAAGACATATTTCAGCCAGCCTTCGTCTCTTTTTGTGCAACCGCGCCTGTTGAGGTGCTTTGCCGAATCCCAATCTGTTACGAAATCGGTCTGCCTTTTTTGTTTCTCGTTAGGGGAACTGATCGTGCCTCGCTTGGTTCAGTTGGATTGGTTCTGACGACGTCGAATCATACATTTCGATTCGGCAGTGCCACGCATTCGAGGGATAAAAGTGCATGCGGCACTCAGTGGTCCTGGCTCGCTCGAAACAATCCGCCGGTAGCTACATATCTGTTTGTCTGTCTTTAAACTTGCGGAGCCGAGATTCAACATCTCTGGGACCAGAACGCGATGGCTCGTCACGAGAACGGGAAAGGTTGGATCATGGATGGCTCCTGGCAATGACAAACCTCGGCGACGTGGTCGAACCACATGCTCGCATGCTCGGCCGAGATTAACGGTGAGGCAATCATCTGGATACATCAACACAAACAGGGAGGCTTTGCTCCTTGTTCCTGGAGGATATGTGATGCGGCAAGAATTAGACGATGGCACAGACAACAGCAAAGGTCCTGTGGCACGCGCGGCTCCCAACATCAATCCATGACGGAGTGGTCGCAACGTCTGTTCGCTAGTCGTTTCTCCGGGGCATGGCCATAGCAGACCAAGTGCCAGCACCAATTACGGGTGATCAAATGGGAAGACCGTATTGTTTCCTCCCATCCGGCTACCATCGACTGCAAGCAATATGCGAATCGGAGCGGAGGCAAGAATCAAGTGGTTGCAGGTGTATCACAAGTGCTACTAGGCTAACCCGCACTTTCAGTTTGTTGGGGCAGCAGAATGGAAGACAAACAGAGCTTCACAAAAGTCTGCTGGTTTTGCCGATCCCTGGTGACTGGTCGTCGACGCAACCCAGAATGCTATGCGATGTAGACGAGGAATATTGGGTGTGGCCGAGGCATAGTTGGTGAGTTTGAGAAGACGTTCGTCTGTTGATGCCTGTCCTGCTCATGGTATGCGAACGTGGGCCAGATTGTTGCGGCGAAATGACGAGTCGGATCAAGAGGGCTACGGTGGCAGACCAGATAAGGTTACAAGGTGAAATTGGCATCGGCAGATGACGGGCAGTCTAGTCTCTGGGTGACGTTTTTATCTTTGACCTCTCACCAACAAAGGTGACGGGAATATCGATGTCGAGGCCCTACGTTACTCCTGGGTATGTATACGTAGACGAGCAGAGCACGCCTAAGAGGCGAAGTGGTGGGATGGGATGGCCGTTTCACGTACCGCTAGCCTACGGCGATGGGCCGAGGCGGTGCTAGACAAGGGCAGTAGCCTTTCGGTTCTAATTATCGCATTGCTGACATTTGCAGTGCATCTCAACAGACATGTGCAACGGAACCATCAAGAAAATTCAATGTGTTGTCGCACGAGCGCACGCGATGTATGCCCTTTGAGTAGATGAGGTTGAAGTTGTGAGTGCAAGACCTCAGTTCAGGTCCATCCCCTCCCCTCCCTCTCCCCCGGCCCAGTTCCGGCGTCCACTGTGGATCTAAACAGGGTCCTCAGGGCTGGATGCGGATAGGGATGTGATGCGGGCAGAGCGGGAGCGGGGGAATGGGGGAGGGGACCAGCGGATAGGTTGCATCACTGCATCATCATCCCTGTCGTCAGCATCCATCAGCGTGAGCGACCTTCTTCTCAAGCCAGAAGCAGAGATGTATCTTCTCTAGCTAGAAATAGCTCTGTAATAAGTAGTAACTACCTCAGATAACTTGACTACTTTCTTGTTGCTTCCAGGCTCGGTGTATGTATTCGCAAAAGGCACCACCAATCTTACTTGGCCAAGCCCCGGTACTACTACTTACTACCTTGGATTGATGACATCAAGAGACAGGTCGGCCAGCTGGAAGAGCAAGTACCTTACCTGCCATTCCTCTGTCAGACGTGGAGTTACATCCATCAGCTTAGGTACTTCCCACCTTAGCTATCTTGAAGTAGCTAAATACTTAGTAGCCTGCCGTGCATCCGTCCGGATCTTGAGGGTACCTTACCTTACCTTGCCTTCCTTACCTCATCTTCCCTTCCCACAAGACAAGTTGCCAGTCTAATTCAGCCCAGTCCATCTCGCAACACCTCCATCTTCCATTCATCTCCCCGACGTCTCCTCTTCCTCTCTCTCTCTCTCTCTCTCTCTCCTCAAACCTCCTCGTTCGCCTCCCACTTCTATACCCATCGTCCCCGATCCCCGTCCCTCCATTCCACCTTGCGACACCCGCGACGCCGAGCAGAGACACGGTACCTCGGCCACTCGTTCCAACTTCCGACTCTGAAAAGTCGCCGGACGTTTCCTCCCCGCCCAATCACCTCGCGGTACCTTGCCTAGCTGAGGCGAGGCAGGGACGATCTAAGTCGCCACCAAAAGCCCAGAGACTAAAACCACCTCACGTCCATTCCCATTCCCGCCAGCGACATACCAACCAACGCCAGCCCGAATCCTCAGCTCGTGTGGCGCTTCACTTCTCGCCCTTTTCGCCCTTGGTACAAACTACCTGCTCCATATACACACCACTGATCCGACTGTCTCTGTCGCACGTACACACCGCACACATTCGCTCACTCGCACATGCTGCAGTGTCTACACGCCTACTGCCTACTGCGAGACACGCAGCTCCTCATTTGTGCCTAGCGTCCATTCTTCCCTCTCTCCGCCCCTCTTCCTCCTTTCCTCCTTTTCCTTTCCCTCTCCTTTCCTTGGGCTCAAAAGCGCGTCTTGGAAGAGGAATTTCTCCGGGCTTTTTTCCCAAGGACGTGGCGTGTGTCGGATGAGGAGCCTTCAAAAACCCCTTGACTGCCTGTCCCAAGCTCGGACTTGCACGTCTCGCATCAAACTTCCAGTAACCAACAACTTGAGGAATAATAGGAAAGGCCACCAGGAGAAACGATCGGAACCGAAATCTACGGTATTACGTCTAACGATTCGAGCTGATTCCCCCCGCATCGCCCATCATGTCGGACGAGAACGGTTCGCGAAGTCCGACTTCGCCCCTTACGACGACAAGCAATACCAGTAGGAAGCAGACCATATCATCACCAGGAACGACAGCTTCACCAGCGCCCTCGGGACACTCCTTTAAACGCGCCGTGACCGTAGACGAGACAGCTCAGATGCGGCGGCGGCCACCTTTCAGCCACATTCCAACAGAAAACTCATTCGCCGAGAGAGACCTTGGAAGGAGGAGAAGTTCGACCTTGTCAGATTACAGCTTTGGTGATGCGAGAGACTTTCTGAATCCCAGACCTGGTGATGGTGCATCATCAACTTCGGCGGACGAAATGTCCAACTGGGCCTCGATTCCTTTGGCATTTGCACTTTTACCGGCGGTCGGTGGTCTGCTCTTCAAGAATGGCAGCGCCGTTGTGACGGACGTCATGTTGCTTGGCTTGTCGGCCGTGTTCCTGCACTGGTCCGTGACACATCCATGGTAAGTCCGACGCTCTATTGTCCGGCATATCGTGAGCGGCTCGTTTTTGGAGGAGAATAGAACCATCCAAGCGCTGACACCAGTCACCAGGAATTGGTATCACTCGGCGCAAGCAGTGCGAGTAAGAGCGGAGATCAGCACGAGCGCTGTGATTGACGATGAGAGCGAGACGGAGCAGGCGGTCGGAAGCCCTTCACCGGCAGCATCCACGGCTAACGGCCATACGACTAACGGAAGCGTCGACGAAGTGTATGAAGTACCCACCACGCCTACATCTTTTGTCCAGGAACGAGTACATAAGGCGACGACGCCAAGAACCAAAAAGGAAGACGCATTGGCTGAGCTATGGATACACGAGATCTTGGCCTTGGTATCATGCTTCATGTTCCCTATGCTGGGCGCGTATTTGCTACATGCCATCCGCGCACAGCTCAGCCGGCCCTCGGAGGGACTGGTCTCTAACTACAACTTGACGATTTTCCTCTTGGCTGCGGAGGTACGACCGATTTCGCACCTCATGAAGCTCGTGCAGCGCAGGACCATTCAGCTGCAGCGGGATGTCCATGTAAACCCGTACAAGGACGACGGTGCCACGTCAGATCAGATGCGCGTGCTCATGGCACGGTTGGAAATGCTGGAGTCACGGCCTGAGCCGACGCCGATGAAGCACAACGGGAACTCGGACAGTTCGAAAATCAAGTTAGAGGCCGCCATTGCCCGCGATGTTCGCAACGCCATCCAACCCGATCTGGATGCGCTGAATCGGGCTGTGCGGCGATACGAGAAGAAGGCGACGGTACTTGCCTTCCAGACCGAATCACGGTTCGCGGCAGTCGATACCCGCTTGAACGATGCCATTGCGTTGGCGGCGGCGGCGGCAAAGAACAGTGTAGCCAGGCCGGGCTTCATGCAGTGGCTCGTTGAGTCCGTGTGGGCCATCATTACGATGCCCTTCTTTGCTGTGGTCGCTCTGCTGGTGCTCCCCTTCAAGACGGTTAGAGGGTTGCTTAAGCGGAAGAAGAAGTCCCTCCCTGAGAGGACGTCCAAGTCCGGTCGAAATGGCAAGGCTATGGGCCATGGGAGGATGGCGGCAGACAGACAGCCGAGCCGCGTCTCAAAGAGATAAGAAAGGTATAAGGGTGCCGGGTCAAGGCAAAGCGCGAGAGGGGTTAGAGATCCCTAGGTAATTCTCTTCACAACCAGAAAAAGGCTCGAGGTTTAGGCATGGATACTACCACCCATGGGATAAGAGGAATGGGGGCTTTGGAACCGGCGTTGTAATGGGGTTTTCGGAATCAGTCCAGAGTACCCTGGTTTCGATGTACTTGGAGAAACATCACCTACACTGTACTGTTAAGTGTCGAATTATTTTTCTCGTCAAACCTTTCTGCGTGAGAGGATGTCTGCCACTTGGATTATTCGACAAACGCCTATGTGATTAACCGATATTCAGTGGCATCATATTGTCGGGGAAGTGAAGCCTTGTAATTTCATGAACATATGAATAAGGGGGTTCTGGTTCTGGTCACCTACTCCGCGTCCAATCTGAACCGTGCCGATGTCGAGAACGAGCGAAAGAGAATTAAGAAGTATTGGGCCATGTCGTTTTGTAATGGTGATGACTTCAAGATTCGGCATATTCACCCATTTGGATTCACTTTGCAAAGCGGTGTCTACCGTAAGCAAAACCCTTGCCCCTGTATCGAGGGAGGGTCAATCATCTAGTTAACAGAGTCACTGAAACCCGAAAATATCAACTTTCAATAAGAAAATCAAGTTGAAAATTGCTGGGGATTCTCATAAAGTTTCTGTTTTTGTGCATCAAGTCACGTATACAATGATATGATATATCCCATGATAGCAATGTTGCGTTCCGGGGAGGGATTTTTACAGAATTCTTTTCTTCGGCGTATAGCTCGTTGCCGTCCACTAGACTTTCGAACTCGACTTTATGTGATCCTCCTTATGCAACTCCTCCAATCTAGAATCTAATTTCGAGATGATGGAATCTGTACCAAGGCGGTGATATGAAATTTCGTCCTGAAGGAGCCCATGATTATGTAGTGGCATTGTCTCCATAGCACAAGTGATTATTCTTCATCTCGAGGAGATTTCTCTTTACGAAGCTTGGTCTCTATCGATTACTAGAGAATATGCGTCAGTGGTTTTTTCTTTTCTTTTTCAGCTACGGAGTTTGATAGCCTGCCTGAAGAGGGAAGGACAGACGCAAATAAGCCCTAGGAAAAAGAGCCCTTCCGCTTGCAGAGTCGTTCTTACACGTTCGTTCCCGTGTTCACAGTTGATCTTTCTTACAGATCACTGACGAGCTATACTGTATCGTGAAGTTGACAATCGAAGAAAAGCCCAGAGAAAATATTCCCATGGACGGGGCTATGTGACTCCATCAACGAGTGATCATGACCCGTCAATGTCGATGTCGAAGAGACGAAGCGGCAACTACATACTCTCGCCACCAATCGTCTCCGAGGCTCCGGCGACACGTATCGCCTTCATCAGATACCTCGTCAATAGACTCTCGAATTCACAACCGGAAGAGGTTGGGGCTGGGCAGAGACCCGATATATGCAAACAGTACAAAACACATCCGTGCCCATCCACGTGCGGTCACGTCAGCACATCCTAGAAGGTTTCATGGAAGTTCTCTGCCTGGCCCTACGGCGGCGGTCCAAGAGTATCTTGGGGGCTTCCTCTCATAAGAGAAAAAAGCTGGGGAAGTCCAGAAGGCCCGACTTTGACTGCAGGCGCTTGGTTCGCGGGGGGAGCGTTGACAATGTCATTGTGGTGGCCACGCGGAGACTTGCTCGATGCGCTTGAACGGAGGATGCGGGAAACGGATGTCGCGAAACGAAACCACGGAAATAGTAAGTGTAGGGACCATGCGTGAGGTTTACACCATGAGCAGACGAGGTCCGTCCAAAGGGCCAAAGGAAGTCTATCGTCTTTACCGGGCAGCTCCAGAGCGATATAGATCCTCATGGAGCCCCGCGTCAAAACGGCGCGTACCGAGGTGTCCGTCTGGGCGAGACGAAGAGTGTCGCTTACACAATGTCCTTTCTCAAGAGGTTGAATCAGTTGCCCAGGTTCAACCCAGACTCGATGGCCAGGACAAAACACGCCAATAAACTGCTCTTAGTAGAACATGGTTGGTGTTGGTTGAGTCCTTGTCAGTGCCGGGCTTGGAAAAGGGATAGAGCCTTGAATCAGGGGAGGCCTGTTCACGGGTCACGGCATGAATATGCCCCTCCACACAACGTCGGACGAACCGTTCAGGGGAACCAGTTCAACCGGCCGGGCCATTCCATCAGCCGCTCCAGGAATCCGTTCGTTATTCAATGAGGTTGTCCGACGATGGCCGCAAATTTGCTATGCCAAGGGACGAACAAGAAGCCGGCTAGACAGTGGCTCACGGGAGTCCGCAGACACGGCGTCCGAATGTGGGACGAATACGCCCATGATTTGTGTCGGACAGCAGCGGGAAGGAAGTGTCCGGCGTTGGCGGTATGAATATGGCGTTGCGGCGCCGAGATTATGGTGTTTCTTTTTCTGAGTTACACGAGCAGCTGCCGACTTGGATGGTCAGCCCAATATCTAAGATGGTACTCGGGATTTCGAGGCGAAAGACAAAATGATTAAGAAAGCAAACTCAGGATCGCCAGTATGGGGGAGGCTCATGCAGTGAGGCTTCGCTCGTATCAAAGCGAGCAGGGATGCCAGGACCCCTTTATGCGATGAGGCGCAGAACGTGGGGCAAGTTAAAGTATACCATCGGCACTGCGGCAGTCGGGCAATTGAACAAGGGCTTCCAACAACAGCTACCCAAGAAGGTGAGGAGAACAACGCTTCGTAAGCTTCCGCTGTTGCGTGACCTGCGCTCGCTGCCATCAAGCACATGGCAAGAGTCGATGCTAAAAGAAATTTCTTCTCCCTTGGCTTGTTGGATCGGGCGAAGGAATGTGTGGACCCTTCAATTTCACAGGCGCTTGGCCGAGAGCGCCTCTTGAGGAATAGCGGCACCGGCAGCGCGGTTTCGGCCCAGATCAATCATTGAGTAGTGTGAATGACGGACGTGCTTTGCTTCCATCGAGACATCGAGACCGTGATGAGAAGGAAAATAGAACTCTGGTTTGGTGCCAGTCAAAGTAGTCGGGAAGCCATTGTTTCTAGAGGCAAGCCTCGAAACAATGCCGGATTGTCAAGTCAGTCGCAGGCATGAACTGACGAGATGAAAGCAGAACAGTCGACGTCACAATGTTTGTGGTTGTGACCGTGGCCATGTCGACGCGCTTGTCAGCCGTTCCTTGTTTATCAGAGTCAGAGTCAGAATCAGACAACTGAGTCAAAGTGTCTTTCTTCCTCCAAGGCTCAAGGCTCAAGCAGACTCAGGGGCCCATCTGTCAGCCCGTCATTGTCCACCAGGCCGGCTTGTTACAATGGATCTACATGTCCCAAATCCAGGCCCAATGCCGTGGAGAGTATCACTGGGCTGTCCATGTGGGGGATGAAAGTGTCGGTCAAAGCTTAAGTGGGTTCTGAGTGGGCTCGTCGGTCGGCAAGAAAGTTCAATATGTATGGGCGGCGTCCGTTGTGGTTGAAGGGAGAACTGAGCAAGTGCTCCGGCATCATTGGAGGCACCCGCGCTTTGTGCGTGTGTGTTGATGGCGTAAGTTATTGTAGGGTAAATTAGCACTGGTTGAGGAAAGGCACGGAAATCCAGAACCATAGTATGCAGGCCTAGACTACACGCCCGCTGTCCGATCGCGCCGGGTTGTCATGGTTCGGGTTCGAAGTCGATGAGAATGCCACTCGTAATCTCGATCGGCTGGATAGATGTGTACATACGGAGAGCAGAGGCAGAAAAGATCTGAGAAAAAAAAAACCAGCTGAAAGACGATCAATGGAGACAAAATACTGGGCCAACTGTGAGGTCTATTGCCGAGCAAGCGCGTCTTCGGAAGTTATTGACGCATAGTCTGCCATCGCAAGCATGGGTCTTCCGTGGTCTAGTCGTGCTAGTCTAGCAAGATGCTAGGAGGAATCGAGGTGGGGGGTTGATGGCTCGATGATATCAAGGATGAGCGATGTTATGGATGTGGTGGTGAAGTGAGATGAAGGTTCCCTTTCATTGTTGGGAAGATTGCAAGATTCAGTGTCGACCTGATTCTGCTGGTCGCTACCTTACCTAAGATATACCTACCTTGATACGTAGCAGTACGTAGGTACGTATATAACGTACGATATTTGCAAAGTGCAAGTGCTCGTCGATGTCTTTTCTCTCTCTTGCCTTTCTTGCCTTTCTTCATCCTCGTCTTCCAGGTTCCTTCCCTTCCTCCCTTGAATGCACCGTTAAGCTAAGGCAGGAACCGACCTAAGACGGGATGGGCTAGTGGATCTGGAGAAGGCTTAGCGTAGGTGGCACCTGCTTTTTTCGGCCCTGGTCATCAAAAAAGCTCCCGGCCGGGGTACGTACTTGGAACGTTGGACCTTGGGAGATCGTCCTCGTCCCGCTGCGTCGGTGCAACTCTTTCATTTCGCATCCATCACGACTTTTTCTCCCCAAGCAAGCCAAGGTCTTCAAGGTCTCCACGTCTCGTTTGACCGGAGACGTGCAGGTGCATGTTGCAGCTGCAGCAAAGCTATGGACTGCAATGGTTGGCTGCAGCTCACACCATTCTTTCCTATTACCACCTCACGCAGACGAACACTGACCTAATACAGGAAGACAAGCCAATGTTCGTGCTGCGCGGCACCGCGGCACCGCGGCTACCGGCCTTGTCTTGCCTTGGGTGCGCCACCGATCTTGCGGCGGACCTGACTTAGGTTGCAATAATCTCCTTTCCCCCCTCTACGGTGTACTTATCCGTGCTGGGAGACTTGAAGTTCAGCTGATGAACGACCTCGGCCGAACCACCGCCGCAACGTTGCTGGGAAAAAGCAATTCATCGCATTACCTACAGCAATACGGCCGACATACAAGTCCGCATCTGGACACGAACTCATGCGGGTGGCAGAAGACTATTGGAAATCTCCAACTCGACACTCCCATTCCGGCAGTGCAGACGACGTGGCTACAGGAAAGGCAGCAAAGGTTACCTACCGCCGTGATTTCCACATCATCATGATGCGTACGAACCATTACACTGCCACTTATGGATGGATCCTGTATGGCTGGCCCATGGGTCTGACAGAATTCGGCTGCGAATGGGGATCCGGTATCCAAGATGCAAAACCATGCCCTGTCCATGCCAGCTCACTCTGCGCTGCGATGTGCTGTGTACGGAGTACTGCACGTAGCGCTCGGCCAGTGCAAATCGTTCGCGCGCCCGTCTCGCGTCTCGGGCATTTCTATGAGGGCAGACTGGACGGGACGGGACAATTTGGCACCAAAGAGGTCGTGGAGGCGTCGAAGAGCAGGAAGACTAGAGCTGCTCAAGGGCAGGAGTTTTGGTGAGCGTCGATTTCCCACGGTCATCCCATCCCATCCCATCCCATCCCATCCCATCCAATTCACCATCTCATCCCTCCCGTCCATCCATCCATCCAATCCGTCCGCATTCCTTACTCACCTCACGGCCAACTCAAGCCCCACGGACCCCTCCACCCTATCCTCAGAGGCTGCCCCCCTCCATCTCGTCGGGCTGTTGTTCCTTGCTGTTCCTGATTGTCTTATTCCCATCCGAGTCAAACGCTAAAGCGCGGTATGCCGGGGTCATCCCCTGTCCCTGTAATCTGGGATGGACGCGCCTCAACTTCCGACGACTGCTTACCTACTGCCAACTTCCAGGTACCAACAGCTTCCTCGTCACAAATTTCCTCAATTCGAATCGTCTTTGGTTACATTTGCGTTTGCTGCATTCTGCTGCCCTTCATATCGCCCTTGGAACCCGTGACATATTCACATAGACCCAGCAAGCAGACCGCGGTTTTTGTTGTCTGCCGCAAAATCTGGCCAGGCCGCGGCGTCGTAAGAAAACTAGTTGTCCACGTCCCGTCTCGACGCCATGGACCCTCGATTTGGCCTTCTTGGCCGTTTTCTGGCCGAGAGCCGCAGGTCACTCGCTTGTAGTCGATGCTGCCAAGAGGGACCTCGCCCTCTTGGTTGGCCACCCTCACTTTGCCTGCCTGCATTTCTTTTCTCAGAACGTCCGTGGGATTCATCTCCCGTACCCGCGCGCCGTCCTGTTTGCACTTCCTCTTTCGATCCTATGCCGCTACGGTTCTTGTCATCCCAGCTAGGCTGGAAGCTCCTCGCCGCGAAATGGTTGTAGAGCATGCAAGGCAGCTTCAATCTTGGTCTGATCTCACTGTTACCTATTAGATGGTGGCTAGAAAGGAAGCCCTTCACAGTCTTTGACCATCTCGAAGGGTTCCATGCGTTGCCTCAGTCCCCGGGTCTATTCCGTCATGTGAGAAGGATTGCACTCTTCGCTGTGACGAGTCCATCGTAGCTGATGCCATCCGCGTGTCTTCGTGCACCAATGATGCCCTGCTCGGTGTTACCAGCCGGGTCCGCACCTCTCCCATGGATCTTCCCCCTCCGGCATTAACACTCTCCTCCTTGTTCTGTATAGTTTGATCACCTCCAGGCCTCGACTCCACCCCATGACATCTGGGCTGTTCCCTGCCCCTGTCTGTACCCTTTTTTTTCTTCTTTCCTTTCCCCCCCCTCGCCTTCCCTGCTGTCAGCCCTGGAGCTGTCTTGCCTTAATCCCCCACTGGTCTCTGGGGTTCGAGTCGATGCTGGCTGACCATTGTTCGTTCATCTAATAATACCGTCTCTCTCCCAGCTCTTCCCTTCAGCTCGCCCGTGTCTTCCACCGACTCTTTTCTCCTTGCCGGCATCCCCTCTTCTCTTCACGTCCCGAGTGCTCCAGGTGGATATCAACTATCGATGCTCGGAAACTGTTTCAATAACACCAAACAGTAATACTGAAAAAACTAATTTTGATTCGACACTTGGTGGCCAATTCGTCATCATGGCGAGGTGGAATCGTCTAATCACTTGGGGCCTTCTCATAATCTTCCTTCAAGTGGCTGTTGCTCAAGCCTTCGTGCCCGCGAGACGTCAAGAGAGCGGTACTACAACAACAGCCGTTGCCTCTTCTACTTTATCACGAAGCGCACATGATGCTGAAACTACCACACCACCGGCCTCTTCAATGAGGACAACGGCAGCCGCTACTACCGAGTCGCCTTCTGTTTCTGCCACGCTCTCTAGTCCTCCCATCATTCCAACGAGCGGCAGCACCTCAGGCAATTCAAGCCTTGACAATTGTAAGTGGACTTGCGGTAACACATCTAATACTCAGGTCAACTCTTAGAAAAGGCTGACAATTATTACAGCTACCATAACGAAAGGAGAGCTACCTATTGAGCCAAAGGTCACACCAGGTTGGGCCGTAGCTGGCGTCATCTTGCTCTGCACTGGGGTCATTTACAACTTGATTGGCATCAAGAACACAATCTTGCACAATGCCTTCTCCGTTGCGTACGTCGTCAGCTTGGGTATCACAGTCTTGGTCGTTTACGTCATGGTCATCCCAGTGTCCAATGGACCCCAAGGAGCGTACGTCGTCGCAGCAGTCCTACCGGCCGCTGCAGTTGGCGTCCTCGCTTCCTGGTTCTTCCAAGAAATTACGGAATGCCTCGGATGTGCTCTCGGCGGGTTCTGCCTGTCAATGTGGCTGCTTTGCCTTCATGAGGGCGGCCTGCTCACGGGGATTGGCAAAGTCATTTTCATCATCGCCTTCTCCCTAGTGGGCTTCGCATCGTACTTCACCCGATGGACCCGGGATTGGGCGCTCATGTCTACAATTGCCTTCAGTGGTGCCACGGCAACTGTCCTCGGAATCGACTGCTTTAGCCGGGCTGGCCTGAAGGAGTTCTGGGCGTACATCTGGGATCTGAACGACAAGCTATTTCCCCAAGACACCAACACATACCCGCTGACCAAGGGCATTCGCGTTGAGGTCGCAGCGATAGTTGTAATTTTCATCATCGGCATCATTTCTCAAAAGAGGTTGTGGAACGTCATCAAGGATCGACGCACGAAGCGGGAAGAAGAGTTGGCCGAGGCTCAGCGTGCCCGTGATGACGAAGAGGCCAACATTGGAAGGGAGCTTGAGGCTCGCACCGCTTTGGAGCGACGAGCGTGGGAAAGAGTACACGGAGATTACGTACCGGACAGCGATGACCACGACTCCGGCTTTGCTCGTGACAGCGAGAACGAGAAGGCCATTCGATATAGTCAGAGCACCGCTACCCCTCGATCACGCGCCCCTCCCGTGGCAGAAATGCAAGGATCAGATGTTCCTCCCACTGTTCCCCCAAAGCCAGCATATCCAGGTTTGATGGTCTCCGAAAAGGAGAAGGATGTCGTCGTAACAGTACGCGTCGCTCCGGATGAGACTCACACAGGAGCCGTTGCTGCGGACAAGGCCATTGGCCAGACGGAAGAAGTCCCCAAAGACACTAATGCTGTCCAGAGCGTACAAGAGGTGGCACCAGTTCCTGAAGTGGTGCCTCTGCCATTCAGATTCCCAGATGAGGAGGCTCTGGCCAGAGACAAGGAGGAACGATCCACGATTGCAACCTTTGCCGATGATGACGAGGAGCTCCAGGCAGGCGTCGGGAGCAAGCGGAGCTCCTTTCCGAAGCGTCTCTCCCAAAGCTCGGTACAGCTGATGCGGAGAGTCTCTCAGCGGACATCGATGTCGCATCGTAAAGAAGACGACGATGAGGAGCTGGCGGTCCTTCAACGACCACGGGATGACGACGCGGTTTCCCTTGCAGCCACCATTGATACTCGGAGCGACAGCGGCGCCGGAACTGTGAACGGTGAGCATCGGCGCAGCATCGAGATCAACGCACGATTTGCTGGAGAGCAACAGTCAAGCATCAAACCGGAGACCATCACATCAACATCTGCATCTCGACGAAGCGTTACCGACGGGGACTCTGTTAGACCGGTGTCAGCCATGACAGCTGTCACTGACATGCCAATCCAGTCTCTGGCCAAGGATGTCACTCCTGCTGCTGTTGAAGAGAGGGCACCGGAGAAGACCACCGTAGTTGGTGATGTCGCCCAAGAAGACAGCTCACTCAAGCAGTCGGAGTCGGTCGGGGGTCAACAGCCTCCCGTTCCTTCTCAGCAAGCCAAGTCAACGGCCTCGCTCCATTCCACGCCCCTGAATCTCACCCACGAGCGTCTGCCGCCCAGCTTCTCCAACGTTGCGCTACACTATCGCACAAACGAATGGGCCAAGCACCTAAGCCACGCCGACGCACCAGAGCCTGAGACTTTGAAGATTGGAGACGATAGACCGCAGACCCGGGAGGCACCAGCTCCTGTGCACGTCGAGGAGCTTCAGCAGACCGCCTTATCCGCCACGCCCGCGCCTGCACCAGCTCCTTCGAGGTCGCCCGCTCCCGTCGCGACACCTCCACCGGCCTTGACCCGACCCAAGTCAACTCAGTCGCCGGACCGCGGCCACTCAAGGAACAACTCCTACCAGTCACATCGCCGTGCATCAAGCAAGACGCAGTTCGAGCCTATCGCCGAAGAAGAACAGCAGGCGCTCTCTCGAGCTGCAAGCACCAAGAGCGGCGCCTCTGGCATCGCTCCCTCAGCAACAAGCCCAGCTGTCTTTGTTCCCCCGCCGCCACCGCCTGGCATCATGTCTTACGACAACCCTCAGAGCTTGATCGCACAAAGAAGCGTCGCCCTGCGTAATAAGACATACGGAATCTTGACTGGCGCCAACAACAACATGCCCGAGATCCCCGCCGCGCCCTACAGAACACACAGCGAATCCGGCTCCATGTACAACTACCCCATCCACCCATCGCAGATGCCGCCGGCCTCTCTTGACGACCTCCCATTGAGCCAGCGCAAGGAAATCATCCGCCGCCAGAGCAGCTTCGGCACGATGCGATCCTCCCTCGAAGGCTCCAGATCAGCCAGCGGCTCCTACGTACCCAGCATGTCCGCCGAGAACGTCGCCTTCGACTCCCACCAGCCCATGCGCTACTCCAACGTCCCCTCGCAAGACGCCCGCGACGCCAGGCTCGCCAGCTTCCGGGACTCTGTCCGCGCCGATCTGCGCGCCGGCACTGCGTCCCCCGCGCCCGCCGCCAACGGCCGCGACATGACGCTGAGCATGTACCGCTCGCCGAGCGCGTCGAATTTGGCGGCCAGCCAGGCTGCCGCGCGCGAGGCCGATGTGCAGAGAAATATTGATCTGCAGCGGAGCTTCATGATGAGCCAGAAGGAGGCGGAGGCGAAGCGCAAGGAGAAGGCGAGGATCGATAAGGAGAGGTCGGATCAGGCTTTCACGAGGAGCATGCAGAGTGGGGAGATGTTTGAGTTGCATCGTGAGGCGATGCGTAGGATGCAGAACCAAGCTAGGAATGCTTGAGGTGATTGCATGACTTTTGACACTTTGTCATTCTTTCTTTACTTTCTCTTACACAATATTGGTAGATACCCTGGTTTGGAAAATATGGTTACATTACAGAAGTTAGGGGGGGGGGGGGGGGGGGGTAAAACATTGGGATGGGAAAACAGCACGTCGGAAAACGAATCAAGGATAAAGCATGATACAGAAGATGGGAAATTACTTCTCTAGATGACGGGATATGAGGCTAAGAGATGGGAGATGGTGTATGACGGATGAGAAAGAGACTGAGGCGGGTAAACATTACCGCTGTTATTAGTCGTAAACGTAATGAATAAACCAATCCATTGAAAGATCTATTCACACCTTGTGGTCTCCAGGATCCGGATCTATTTTGCCCCGTCGTATTACAAATATCGAGTCTGGGTTCTAATGACTTTGGGGAATCCGGGGAACCGGGGAAAGGAAAAGGATGCTCTTCGAGTACCATTGGATGGGCGTACCCAAAGCCGCGGAGCCGAGATGAAAGAAAAGCCCGGCCGAGAGTAATGAGTTCCCACGTGCCTCCGTATTTCAGTACTTCGGCCAAATCGGCACGGCACCGATGCGGAGAGCCCCGAAGTCTCTTGAGCCTCGAGTGTCTCGCTGTTCTAGACCTTTTCACAGAATCATTTCAATACCTGTTAAAAAGCTTCAATCCAATCGGTCCGTTCATTGCGCCTCATTCAGAAACAGAGTAATTAAACACATAGGCGAAAACTTCTAGTGCAGTACTGGCCTGACCTTCTTACCTTCGGACGATACCGATGTCGGGATTCTCGCCGCGCCGCCGCCCGGGTATAACCCGGCCCCGCACTCGCGACGCGAAAACCAACGACTCAAACGACTGACCTGGGCGTTGGCGTCATCCATTATCTTTTTCGCAATCACCTAATCGTATCTGCGGAGGAAGACTTGTCCGGGGTTGTGTGTGTGTGAGACGGCCAAACGTTTGGCATGCCGTAAAAACACCTGGTCCAGGGACTGATAATCAGCTGCATGTCGAGACGTGAAGTCGTTTTAACCTTAATCCAATACAGCTTTACCCTCTCGATCTAAAGTCTTTGGCATACTCACCGCAAGCCCAACGACCTTCTTTATCTCGATAAGTCAATCGGTTAAAGATACGGAGGTCTTCCGGGTTCCGCCACCGCTCAAATACAACCGACTACGGATAGAGAACTCCACCTTTTGCGCCGTCCATCACACAAACGCCTCCGATGTCTCATTCGGCCTGAACCGGCGAGAGCGTATTTGAGTAACCATGGCCGGCCCCGTGGACGCCCGCGACGAGGGCGCAAAGCCTCAGTCCGCGTCCGCGCCGACGTCGACGTGGGCGCGCATCCGGAGTCAAGCAGTCAAGATTTTCAATCTTGTTTTGGCGCAGTGGCTCGTTATCGGGTTCGCTCTCAGTTGTGTGTTTGCGTACTTTTTTCCGAGTAAGTTGGCATTGACGAGTCTCTTTCTTGTGAGATGGAGAGTGAGCCAGTGAGAGAGAGTGTGTGAGATGGGAGTCGGAGAGAAAGAGGATGGAGTTCCAAGATGAGCACCTTGACTAATGACTGAACTCAAGATGTCGCGGCTAGAGGTGGACCGATCAGGTCAGAGTACACCATCATCTACGGCGGCATCGCCATCATCTTCCTCGTCAGCGGCCTGCAGCTCTCGCACGCGAAGCTGAGGCAGAACGTGGCCAACTGGCGGCTGCATATTATTGTTCAGGGGATCAGCTTTATTGTCATTCCTGTGATACTTCTCAGTAAGTAACTCACTTGCCCAACACGTTCCGCACACTTCTGAGGGGGCGAGGGCTTTAGTTCAGAGACGATATACCTAAGAACACGATGCTAACTGTCAAAAACCAAAGTCATCGTCCACATCATCATAGCAGCAGGCAGCCTCCGCACCCAAGCCCTCTCAACCCCCATCATAGTAGGCATGGTCGTCGCCTCCTGCCTCCCAACAACAATCGCCTCCAACGTCGTAATGACCCGCGCCTCGGGCGGCGACGACGCCGCCGCCATCATCGAGGTCGTCATCGGCAACGTGCTGGGTAGTTTCATCTCTCCCGGTCTGATTTACGGCTTTATCCCAAAAACACCAGAGTTTGCAGACTGGCAGCCCGCGAACCCGAGTACCCTGGGCGCGATGTACGCCAACGTGCTGAAGCAGTTGGGCTTGAGCGTGTTGTTGCCGTTGGCTGTGGGACAGGTTGTGAGGTGGTTTTGGGAGAAGAAGGTCGATTGGGCGTTGAGGACGTTTTATCTTGCTAAAGTGTCGACGTTTTGTCTGATTTTGCTTGTTTGGTGAGTTTTCATCCCCCCCCCCTTTTCATGATGTTCTATCCATGACCCTCGAAACTAATACCCGTCAATAGGACAACCTTCTCAGCAGCCTTCAAAACAGGCGCCCTCTACGTAACCCCCCACCCCTCCATCATCTTCAACGTCTTCATGAACGTCGCCCTCTACGCCCTCTTCACCCTAATCTGCTTCTACGCCGCCCGCCCCCCTCTCGCCCTCTGCAAAGCACTTAACCCCCGCCTATCCGACTCCCGCCTCCTGCAGTTCCGCTGGGTCCCCAACTTCCTCCGGCGCTCCCTGACGGTCCGTCAGCTGCCGAGAGAGCAGATGATTGCCGTATGCTTCTGCGGCGCGGCCAAGACGACGTCGTTGGGGATCCCGTTGGCGACGGCCATGTGGACGCAGTCGGATGATTTGACGAGGGCGCTGATTCAGATTCCGGTGTTGTTGTATACGATTGAGCAGGTTTTCATGGCGCAGATTTTGGTGTATGTGTTTAAGTGGTATTTGAGACGGGCTGCCAAGGCTGAGGGGGATGGGACGGGGGATGAGGAGGGGGGTAGTGTTGGCTCTGGGGTTGTGAGTGTGGCTGGGGGACGGGGAGAAGAGGAGGATCGGTCTTCTGGAAAGTCGATTGGTGAGAGGGATGATGAGAAAAAGGGTGGGGAGGGAAGAGACGGGAATAATGTGGTGCCCGTCAAGACCATTTCTGAGGCATAATTGGTTTCTATCACAAGGCAGGATCTAGTACTCCGTACATGTGTCACAGTCACCCAGTTGACGCGGCTTCAAGTAACGGGCGAAAGCGAAGAAGAGGAAGAAACTGGAAACGCATTTCGAGTTCCAACTTGCTTTCAGCAGTACATGTGTGCATTTGCCAAGGCTACCTGCCTCACTTACCACCTTACCTGCCTTATATATGAAAGTGGCTCGACCATCACTACTGGGATCACACAACAGACTAATCAACTAGCAACTCTGGTAGTATTTAATGTACGTTCAATGCAGCTCCACGAAAAGATACTGCAGCCTGCATGACTGCGGTAACATATACCTCGCCTATTTTTACGGACCGCCAAACGGCTGTGAGACGGCCGCAAGTCAGGATTGCACCTATCAACCAGCTCAATTTGCAACATATAGTCAGCTTGTTCCCATGTCAGGTGTGCAGCCTAAACAGATCTCACCTTTTAACCTTCACCATCGAGCCTCCATAGTCGGCGGTGGATTCGTCCCAAGTCGGACTTTCACCATGGACACTGCCGGTTCGAAGTGTCCCGAGAATCAAAACTCACTCTACAGACTGCCTGCTTCGGGCCCTCCTGAATGTGCTTGCTGAGCAAAACCAGGCACAAAATGCAGGCATCGACTGGGACCCCATCACCTTCGGCTTTTACGCTGTTGATTGGATTGGTAGCCTCCATGATTGCTCTTGCCACTGTCTTACAAGCTGTTCTTGCGGGTGGGAAAGGCGGTCGCAGAGCAAATTCCCGAGCTATTGGGAGATGGTCGGAGCATACGACAAGAACATGGATATTTTCCGAAATGAGCTGGAGCTACACCGCTTTTACTCCTATTCTCAGATTGAGAGAGCTAAACCGAGGGATCAGGGAGATTATCGAAAAGGAAGAAGGAGAGAGGCAACAACAAAGTCGGGAGGGGACACCAGAGTCAGGACGGAGCTTGACCACATCCAGCTTGACCACACCCAGCAATTTTATGCTTCGGATGAAAAAGAAACTGGGATTTTCGAACATGGTTACTAGAAATCGCGTCTCTAGCATGGCACCGCACCCAGCTTCATAACTTGGCCTTCTCAAAACCACTGGCTTGGAATGTTTCGATAAGTTCGATCTTGCTCCGATTACTGCCGACTACCTTCCAGACGACTTCATTGCCGTCCCTGCTTCTGCCGAGGTGGGCGCACTCGTGGCGATCACTGCAGCTGCTGGAGTGCATCGGCTGGATACTGATGCAGATCTCTACCCCGTCATTATAGGCAGCAACTTCCGATTCGACTTCCGTCAACACCCAGTTCTCGGCGTTATCGGGGCATTTTCTGAGTATCGTCGGGGACAAGCTGATCATTCAGTATCGACACCTAGTCTGGGAAAGCTCAGAGAGGCGGCGACACATTCGCTTGGTTACATTGAGCTACGGTACCGACATGATCTGCAATTTGTCAACAGCCCGAAACTCATGGAGACCTTCGTCTGGAATTTGACTACATCGAATAAGTACGCGAATTACCCGCCCTACAACAAGAGTACAAACCACTTTGACTTGGACTACGATATCTTACGCCAGCACTATGTACATGCCAGCTTTGTCATGGCTAAATCACCAAAGTTCACTCCATCACTTTTCCCAGTATCATCGTTGGGAGGTCACAACCCGTTTCCCGCCATTGCCCTCAATGGTAGATTCTGGAGTAGGCTTAGTCTCAGTGGCCTTCGAGATCTACACTGGGAACAATGGGATGAGTTCTCTCTTGCCACAGAGATAGACCATGATCACTTCGCAATGTTTGACATGGCAGGGTCCAGTCCCCGGTGAGACATTGAGTGAAACAGGGATTGATGTGCAAGGAACAATGTCTATGTCGCCCCAGGGCCATTTCAAAATCCTTGGATCCTGTATGAGTCTCCTAGTACATGCTGAAAAGCTTCGAACAAATATTTCAACATTTCCGTTCGTGGAAAGAGAGAAGTTCCGTCGAGAAGTTCTTATGCAGCTGAACCGGGTAGACGACTGGCTTGCGCCATTGGAGACCTCTGACAGAAAAGTTGAACGTCGGATCCAGCTTCTGTTCGATACCTCTTTGATTCTGTCACAGGCAGAGAGTATGACCCGAGAAGGTTTATTTAAAATTCCCACCAGAGCGGAATCAATACTGGATGAGCCCGAACAGCAACAGCAGCCGACGACTGCGCGGATTATTCATTGCAAGATGCTTCGAGCCCTCCACAACCTCATTGACTGCTTCAAGCTGGACCATAACAGCCTTAAAGCCACCTTGAAGATAGAAATGGGATCGGTGAGAGAGAGGTCTGCGAGTCAGATTTACAACAGAACTTGCGTCGAAAGTTCTTCGCCAGTCCACCGACACAGACGGAATTGCAAATAACTTCCGAAGATCAAGCACATCTCGACCATTTTTAAAGACAGTTGGAGGAGTCTAAGTCCCTGATGCAAGGCTTGATAGGACCCAGATATGACTCGCCCTCCACATTCTACAACACCCATCAAGTGCTAAGCAGACTAGCAACAATAGCGGGTTCCCAATTGGGGCTAAACGACGAAGACAGAGAGCACGAGAAGTCAAACCAGAAGATGGATGATGTCATCATATATCGCTCTCTGCTAATAGGAGTACTGTTTCATACAGCTCCCGACAATTCTAAAGTACTTGAATCAGGATTGTGGGATCGTGTGGTACCGATTATCTGAGAATCCGGATGAAGTTGGCCGGCGTATCTATACTCTACGTACCTCTAGATAGTCAATTTATCCATTGCTGGTTCGTTCAATTTGGTGGCTGAAACTGGCTCATAAACCAGCATCATACCAGAATGTACTTTTGCATGATACTTTCAGTCGCGATAACTCGATTCTGGGACCATTAAACAAATGTCAAGTGTGTGACAGCCTGATCCATATGTCTACTTTTTGGAGTGATACGCCGAAGTGACGTTGTTGAGAAGAAAAAGGAGGAAAAGAGCACCTCCTCGGACTAACGTAATACTCATCTCCTCCATGACCGGCGGCTTCTGCGACCATTCTCTGCCGCCTCCAGGGGACTCGTGCCACAGACTCGCTGTCTTATTGTCAGTTACGCTGTTGCTAGACCACTTCAAGCTTATGAGCAAACTTACCTTCCGACGTTCCCTGAACTCCTCGTAAACCCCACGCCAAATATCTCTCGCAGCGCAACTTTCAAGCCCATCTATCAATGCCACACATTTAGGCTCTCTCTCTCGGACCAAGTTCTCGGGAGCATCCAACCAGGGCTTCGGCAAAGGCCAGTCCGAGAAATGCAGCAACTTGGCCTCATTATACACAGCGACTGGATCCCAAGCTTCTTGATCACTGCCGAGGTACCACTGATGGCTGTCTTTGCTGAATTCCCCCGTCAACAGATCGTAAGGCCGGTGCGGTAAGATCATGGCGCTATCCTGGTACAGCTCGTTGACGAGCTCCATGTCGTAGTCATTTCTTCCGGCGTTGTTGATCTTGGATGTGACTCGGGTGAATTCCACTTGGCTTGGTTGTATGAGGATGACTTGGGAGGATAAAACGTGTTCGTCTGGGTGAAGCCAATATGCGCGTGGCATGGCGACTGGGGTTGGGGGTAGAGAGAAGAGCTCGTCCATGTGTTGTAGGAGAGTTGAGTCGGAATCGATGGAAAGGACGCGGTCGTATTTTGTTTGGTTGAACGCAAGGAGTTTTGTGAAGGAGTCCGCCCATGTCGCTAGATTAAGTCATGTCAGATCGGATCTTCGCCCGGCCTTGGCGGTCAGGATGATGATCCTGGAATGGCAACTCACGATCTGAGCCAGTTCGATGTTGAACAGATATCGGATCCAACTTAACGTTGTATTTCTCCCGAGCAAGGATGAGGAGTTTGGCGTCATCTGATGTCCCCTCATGCTCTTTCTCATGAGGATCAGCCAGCATGACGGAGGGATACATCAAGACGCGATCCGCTTTGCTCTCAAATTGTTGAAGTCTCTCAAAGAACATGACCGAGTTACAAAGATATTCCTTATTAGTGACATACTGGACGTATGCAAACCGAGAGCAGTCTATAGACTTGACATCAGGCGACTTGTCGTGTTGGGAAGTTGAGTAAGCTGCCCGAATGGCTTCAATCTGATCACGGTTGTAAACCCCCACACCCAACGATACTACTAGCCCAAGAACGATAAGTGCGGCCAGCTTGAGCTGCTTCAAAGTGAAGATTGTAAGAAAAGGCCTGCCCTTCCATGACGAAGCGCCCGAGGAGGCTGCATCATCGGTTTGGAGCGGCGTGTAGGCAAAGCGGCCGCGGAGCCACTGAAGCGGCATGATAAAAACAACGAGAGCCAAGCCTCGAAAAAAAAAGAGTGATCGAAGAGAGCAAACCGCGCATGTTGGAGTCTTGTTGGAACGCAGGACACGAACTGGGGATATAAGTGCAGACAAGGACTGTGGCTCGCCCAGTCTGGGAAACATGCTTCAGCACCTGCAAGGGGGGCAGACCAATGGGAAGACATTGCCAAGTCATCCAGCCGCCTTCTTTCATTGACACTGGAGAAGATGCCAGATTGAGTCACGATGTTTGCCTTGCCTGCCGGGATTGCCGTGATTCCTCGGCAGAGACCGCGGACGGCGGCAACTGGTCTCTCAAGCCTGTCGCTGAGACGAAACACTGTCTTGCTGTCATTCTATGAGCCTAGATCTTTTCAACCCGCTTGAGGTACCCGGGAATCTCTGCAGTTGGTTCTCGGCCGAAGCTGGAAATAAAATCGAACAGGGCGCTTGTTGTCTCGAACCGTTTGGTTGGAACTCGACGCTATTGGCGGAAGCCCAATATTGTTGCAACTCTGCAGGTCAAGTTGGGCAGAGTCCCACTTAACTGACCAATCTGAGAGATTGCGCAGGCGACATGCTAGTAAGTTGTGTTGGTTCCAACAGTGCCTTTCTCCGTTAATGATCACGGCGGTTGCAACTTTGCACGAGACAAGGGCTCTTTGAGCTGGCGATGCCAATGATGATGATGTTGTTGGAGCAAACAACTCGAGCCGCCCTTTGGGCCCTCCCTTCCCTCTTCCCTCCTTTCACATGATGGTACCTTCTTATTCAACATGGTCCCCTTCGTAGGGTTGCACCGGACAACAACAACAACAACAACAACAACAACTTCATCATCTACCTTACTTGTCATGGTACGCCGTGACTATTGATCATTGATTACCAGTGACCATGGCGACCCTCTACCAAATATCAATACTATGCTTCAATCTTCTCTTCTTCTTTACATCTCTAACTCTTGCTAATACCCAAACCCCAACTCCATTCGAAGCAAAGTGGTCTTCAGCAACCTTCGGCCCCGACGGCCCATGGCAAGCAGTCTCAGTAACGCTCGGCGCCGACACCGACCTAGCACTCTACCCCGGCCACACATTCCAATCATGGATCATCCAAACCAGCTACTGCAAATTCAACAACTCCAACGGCTGCTACGCATCAAAAGCCGGAACGTACAACAGCGCCGAAGCCTCACAGGTCGGCAGCGGCTCCACGTCCGGCATCGTCTTTCGACCACACATCAAGAACTGGATGATTGGGATAGACCCGGCCGGGGAGTCGGCGCAATTCTGGGTCGATCGCATAAGACTGAAATCAGGCACATCCGATGCCGTACAACAAGTTGAAAACACCAGTCTCGCGTTACTGGAGGACCAGATGCTTACGTACCCTGGAGGGCAGTGGTATCCTGCTTTTGCGGGATGCCTGGGCGTGGGCGCTCCTAATATGATTAACCAGTCCTTCTCTACTGGCACGTACCCGATTAATGCCAGTCTTATCCCGGGTATGCTGTGGACGCAGCAGGATATTCCATCGAATTCGTTCAGTATGCATATTGGCTCCGTCTGGTCACGAATCGGAGGGTCACTGATATTCGGCGGATACGACCAGAATCGATTGACTGGCGAGGTGCTCGTGTCAGAAGGGGATTACACTGATAACCCCATCACCTTGAGAGACATCAGCATCGAAGTTATCCAGGGCATATCACCTTTCAACTTTACAACCCAAGACGGTCTCCGCCAAGACGGTCTCCTTGCTGCGGGAAACAACTCGATCCAGAACGGACTCCTCGTGTCAATCGACGGCTGTGCTCCCTACCTCACCCTCCCGAAATCAACATGCGATAACATCGCATCACACCTCCCAGTGACATACGACACAAATCTCGGATTGTATTTATGGGATACAGAATCTACAGCGTATACCCGAATCGTCTCCTCGGCGTCGACACTATCCTTCACCTTCCTCTCCGGCACCAACACCGAGCCCCTAACGATCCGCGTGCCTTTCCTCCATCTCAATCTCACACTATCAGAGCCTCTTACAGCAAAGCCAACGCCGTACTTCCCGTGTTTCAACAGCGGGTCTGGTAGATACGCCCTGGGAAGGGCATTCCTACAGGACGCTTTCCTCGGCGCCAACTGGGGCCAGTCCAAGTGGTGGCTCGGCCAGGCCCCGGGTCCTAACATCCAGCTTTCCTCCAGCGTCGTTGCTATTGAAGAAGCTGGTACGGTGATCAAGGCGGGGAATAATGACTGGGAAGAGTCGTGGAAAGGGATATGGAAAGTTCTGGGACCCGACAGTGACAGTGGAACAAGCCCGACCGAGTCCCCGACTGATAATCGCCAACCAACATCCGCACCCGCATCCACCATCTCGACCGGGGCTATAGCTGGTATAGCTGTTGGCGGTGTGGCTGTGGTTATTGCGCTCGGCCTAGGAGTTGTCTTCTGGCGTCGTCGAAACCGGCGGGGAGGGAGGGCATCAACAATGAAAAGGGAGCCACCACAGCATAAACATGACAGCTTACAATATGGTTCTCGACCTCCTCCACAGACGGAGCCAGCGGAAGTGTACGGATCAATTTCAATATATAAATGGAGAAACAGGAATGGAAAGCAAATAGACTCGCCAGAAGATCCCCGCATCAGCCGCGTTGAGCTGCCTTAGACAGATAGACGGAAATGGAGGCAGGAGGAAGAAAGATCAAGTTCACCGTCTCTGTCGATGTTCAATCTATAGAGCCATAATACGATACCCTTTGGTTCATGTTGCAGACACGAAGAGAGCTTTCGACTAGAATTCACGTTCCAAGAGAGAAACGAGGAAGGCCGAGTCGGTATGATTTGTGGCCTGTTACCATGTCTTCGAGCCGCAATGAACCAAAGTCTGGTTCGGCAGTTCTCTATGGCTTACAAACGCCGCCTCAACCGCTGGTTGACAAGCCACGTGAATCTCGAGTGACGCTACTTCGTGCATAAAGCTTTCAAGCGAGGTGTGACCATATGAAGTTTAGCCGGTAGTCACAATGTAAGCCAAGAAAGTTCGTCCGAGATGGCCCTCATATTAAGTGATCACCCGGTCACTTCAAGGACAACATCGGATTTAAGCCCTTCTTATTTCGGTAATTCATATCCAAACTACATGGTGGATCGTAACAAAAGAATCTTCATACATCATCATGAGCAGCTCAGTGCTCTCTGTACATTTTCAAAATGATATGCATATCCAATCTTGATGGATGCCTTCGACCTCCTCTTCCTACGCGTCAACAGTCAAACATGGTGAAGTATGCCTAAGCCTTCTTGATGAGACTGTCAAAGAGGGGCTTGAGGCTCTTGGCGCTCTTCTTGGGGTATCTCTTCTGGTCGTTCTCATAGTCGACAAAGGTGACGCCGAAACGAGTCTCGTAGCCCTCGGCCCACTCGAAGTTGTCCATGAGGGACCACGCCATGTAGCCCTTGGCGTTGACACCGTCCTTCTCATGGGCGTCGGCCATGGCCTTGACGTAGCCATCAAAGTACTTGACACGGAAGTCATCCTCGAGGATCTGCTCAAGGGGCATATCGTTCTCGCCCTTGAGGGAGGTACCATTCTCTGTGACGTAGATGGGCGGGTAGCCGTAGCGCTTGGAGAGCCAGACAAGAAGGTTATGGAAGCCCTGGGGGTTGGGGCGCAGCCAGAAGGATTGGGTCTCTTCGCCAATGTTCTCGCCGCTCTTGGACTCGAAAAGGCACTCGAGGTTGCCGAGGAAGTCGTCCTCCTCAGGAGGGGTGGTCTTGTGCTTGATGTAGTTGGCCGTGTAATGGTTCATGCCGTAGAAGTCATTGGATCCCTTGACAAGGGCGAGCTCTTCGGGCGTGAACTCGGGCAGGCGGTCCCCAAGCTGCTTGAGCATAGAGTCAGGGTACTTGCCAAAGTAGATTGGGTCAGCGAACCAGGAGATGGCGAACTCGATCTTGCGGTCAGAAGCCTCGACGTCCTCAGGGTCTTCGGGGTCCCAGGGGTAGGTGGCATCACCGTTCAAGGTGATACCGATCTGGCCACCGTTGGTAGGCTTGAACTCCTCGCGGTAGACCTTGACTGCGCGACCGTGGGCGACAAGAAGGTTGTGGCCAACGATCCAGGGCTCGCGGGAGGAGTCACCGATGGCGGACTTGCTGCGGTCCGAGGTGTGGCCGGGGGCGAAGAAGCCACTGCTGTAGCCGAGAATGGATGAGCACCAAGGCTCGTTGAAGGTGATCCAGTTCTTGCACTTGGGAATGGCCTTGAAGACGATGCGAGCATAGTGCTCAAAGTCGAGAGGGAACTCCTCACGGTTCAGGAGACCACCGTAGCGCTTGTCGAGTCCATCGGGAAGATCCCAGTGGAAGAGGGTGATGAAGGGAGTGATGCCAGCTTCAAGGAGGTCGTCGACGAACTTGACGTAATGGTCAAGGCCGGCCTGGTTGACAGGGTCGTTGCGACCACCGACAGGGATGATTCTCGACCAGGCAAGAGAAAAGCGGTAGGTGTTTGCGCCAACGGACTTGAGAAGGGCAATGTCTTCGGCAGTGCGGTTGTAGGAATCACAGGCGACGGCACCGGAGCTGCCATCGGCAATCTTGCCGGGAATGGCGCAGAAGGTGTCCCAGATGGAAGGACCACGGCCGTCTTTCTCGGCGGCACCCTCAACCTGGTAACTATAGTGGTGGACAAATAGCGTCAGCAGGGGTCTCGCATGCCGTGTCGTTGCGGTCACTAAATGAGGGGAGAGGGGAAAGATGAGAGAGTGGGGGCAAGTCGGAGGGGAAGTGGAAATTTGCAGGCGGGACGGGAAAGACGGAGGGAGGAGGGCGGAGTGTGGTGGGAGAATGCTTGTAAGTCGTCCGAATCGGGATGTCGGCGGAAGAAGGCGCGAATATGCATGGTGATAACAACCAGGGCTCTGGGGATGGGCCGAGCCGGATTGATGATGGGATGAAATACGTACGATGCGGTGGCAAAGCCCCAAAGGAAGTCGTTGGGAAGAGACATGATGGGCGGATTTGAAGAGTAGTCTGCTAGTACTGTAGAAAGAATTGGTATTACGAATCTCAGAGTTGGCGGTGCTCACCGAGACACCTACACTAAGACTGACGGATGGAGGGGGCTTCGATGGTCTTGACGGTGGGATGATGATGGGTCGGCCAAGAGTAGATGATTTGACCCGACAAAAGACGAACCACTTGATAACAAGTGACCAAAAGAGGTCAAGAGTAGAGTTGAGATGTAGAAGGAGGCGACGGAGAGAGGAGGAAGCAAAAGGGAATCGTACAGACGGGAACTGAGGTGCTGCCACGATACTTATAAGATGCAAAAAAAAAAAAAAAAAAAGACGGAAGGAAGCAGAGCGGCGCAATTAAAATGGCACTGTGACCTTGGGATGAACGGGGGGTACTTGAACGTCCTTGGTAGGTTTAGGCAAAAGTGAAGGTAGCCAGATACAAAGATTACTCGAATATAATAAACTAAGGTAGACAGGGAAGAGAAAAAGATGGGACAAACACCCGCATCGTGTCAAGGTATCCGTACCAGGTGTGCAGGTATGCAGTGAGGTACAGACCACATCAGACAGTGACATGGGATGAGTGGACGTGGTATCAGGTAGCGCCTTGGTCAATCTGGTACTCAGGACGTCTCCAATGTCGGACCGTCGACACCGAGAAGCTAAGACCAGAACAAGGCCCGAAGATGGATGGTGTTGGCGTTGGCATTGGCATTGGCATTGGCATTGGCGTCGGCGTTGGAGGGATGGGGTCAGAGGCGTGATCTGACAAGTGGTCTTCTTTGTCCGCCGGTAGCGTCTACTTCAAGCGGTGTATCTCGTCACTGGGTAAGATGGCGCGGGGGTTTTCTCACGGTAGAATGTGCATAGAATACCGAAAAGAAGCGCATCGTCATGTTTCATTCGCTAGAGTTGGCAGAGGCTACGAAAAGGAAGGTATGCCAACGGCAGCTGCCGCCAGTAAAGTGACCTTGTGAAACCTTGATGTACATGTACAGTTGTGAAGAGGCAAGTTAAGGTACCTTAGGCACGTTCTTATCACGATGCCTCCTTCCGAAGATTTGGAGGCAAACCAGGTAGGTAACGACTTCCTATGTTCCTTGGGGTTTCTTCGACCCGACACCCAACAGGGGAAGTGCATCTGCGCCTAGGCCAGGGGCGCCTCCCATTACCCCGCCGTGGGGTCCCCTTTTTCCCCAAGTGCCCCCCATTTCTCTCCTCTCCGCCGCTTCCCAGAGTTCTAGAGAGCACACGACGGCCCGTCTACCCGTCAAAACATGACCTTTCTTCTGCCCAGCTCGTCTTACCAGCGCCATCTACCACCAGCCTTCATGAGCCAATTCGAAACACGAACAAACCTCGATTTCTCACCTGACGATCTCCGAACCCATATGATTGGGTACTTGTCTCTATTCGGCACAAGCGCCAGCATGAATTCGCTACAGCTTCTGCAGCCCACGCACGACGTTGTTGTCTTTACACACCACACACACACACACTCTACAGATTGCGTAAAACACACTTGTCCCGACACACATGCGCACACTGGATGGGCGGCGGCATGCATATCGCCAAACATTGTTGCCAAAACTCCGGTGACGGCTCAATTCCGCCGGCTACTAGCGCAATCCGCTCTGGTCTCAATGTCTGATTGCCTCGTCAGGACCGGCTGGTAGCAGACATGCTCGATGCCTACTCTGCAAGGCCTCGTCCTACGCAATCGCTTCGCATGAGGCGACCGACCATGGCCACGGGGAATCCTCCCGAGGTCTCCTCGACACCCAGACGACGGGTAGCCAGCCGCTACCACCACGAAGCCCCTTACTTTGGCCACATCCAGTCCTCTGTCCAAATCGTCGAAGTACCCCCGGCCCCGCAAACTAGACCCCGTCGCTTTCGGTGAGCGGACGGCGGACGGGAGAGCCTCCCTTCCCACCTCTATCCACATCCGGCTCGTCCAGTGTCACTCCAATAAGCTTCTCCAACTCCGACTATCGTCCCATAATCTCCGCACCGTCCAGCTCGTTCGTCCCCAGCTTCATAACAGGACTCTGATATAGACGGCATCTCAACTTCAGAACACCTGGCATTACCTCGAGGCCTCTTCCGGGATTTTTTGCTCCATCCGATGCTTCTCTCAAACAGCTGATGGATGTACAGATACGACTTCACGAACAGCCACATCCTGCTCGAATTCCAATTCCGCCCCTCCAAGCCCGCCAGCCCCCGTGTAAGCAAGCACCTTAGTTTGCGCGATTACAACCTAATCCGCCGTATCACATGAAGAACCACCGATCTATCGTTTCTGCGCGGAAGCCCAGCATCTTTCCCGGTCGTCAAGGCGATGATGCAACGCTTTTGGGTCTACTCGTTTTCGGTTGACGAAGCCGTCTGGCCGGCTGGCGCAGCCTTCACCTGGAGCCAACAAGCCTTCGGCTCAGGCACCGGAAGCTCAAACGACACAAAAGCACACGACTACCGGGAAATCATCGGAGATTTTACAACTTTTATTCCCTGCTGAGGCATGTGCATACATGGTCACGTCTACAGCTATCTCAAGGTATCTTCACCTTTACTAGTATCATCGTTGACGCTGCATTCAATGTAGTGTATGCTTGCCCATCTGTTCGAACCGTATCCCAACTCCTACCATACCCGCCACGGAGCACATTCTCTTACGTGTGCAAATTCGAAAGTCCGTTTTTTTGAACTACACACTTTTGCGCCAACTTCCAAGACTGACGTGACAAAGTCCGCGCCAGAGGTATAGCTCTTGTTTTGAAGACTCTATCCGGAGCCTCACCGAGGTGTACGGAAGCCGGGACGAAGGTGAGCCGGCCCAGCTCGAGACGGCCCTGGACTCATTACGACCTACCCTGCTGCTGCAATGCACGGCATGGGCAAGGCTTAATGCATGCCGTCGACAGCCGCATCCTCATCCTCTCGGTCGTTCATTTTGCGTTTTCCCGGATGATTCGTCGTCATATTAACATCGCCATCCGCTGCTGGGGCCACGTCGGTAGCGTCGTCTCCCTCGGTCCACTCTACAATCTCCCATTCAACCCTAATTTTCCCGTCTTTACTATGATCAACAACCTGGCTGTGACGCAGGTTGCCCAAACGGGTCCCCTCGATCATGCCCTCGAACCAAGGTACGCCCTGGGTTTCTCTCCCAATTACCGTGGTTGTTGTCGGAATAGCGGGCTGTTCTTCCGGCTCTTCAAACTCTGGAATCAGCCCCAGATCTTCCAGATCTCGTAGGTCTTCGCCTCGCAGGCTCGCAAGGGTCAGATGGATGAACCCCGCCTCGGTAGGGGGTCTCTCGGTCCAGTAGGACAGCGGCGTGCCGCAGAAGCCGCAAAAGTTTCGTCTCGAGGGGTGGTGGTTGGAGGGTGATTCGAAGACGCGGCGGATCGCGGAGTGCCTTTCGTCCGGGTAGAAGGCGTGGGTTGAGCTGTGATACCACGAGAGTGGCACTCGGATCATGGCGGCTAGTGGGGTTGCGAGAGGAACTCCTGCACATCAGACCATGGGTTAGCGGAGCTCCCGCTCTCGAAGAGGTGAGGCATGGTCGGCTGTATGCACGGCGGGATTGTTTGAGAATGCTCGCCCATGGATATCACGACAAATTGGCGAGACCAAGCGACTTACTGTGCATTGAGTCTGTATGGAAGAGCACCTGCGCTTTGTCGGTGGTGCCTTGCGGGACCTCGATGATGTAACTGTTGCGCCCGCACTGGCAACCGCCGCGCAACGGACGTTGGAAGCTACCTTCGCTCATGGTCGTCGTCTTTTGAAGTCGGGTTCAGTATTTGAAATGACGATGATGAGGTACTGAATTGGGGGGAATTAGAAAGGTTAAAGTCAAGCGCTCGCAGGTCAAAAGAACAGAGACATTTGTCGATGTTTTTGTTTGTTTGGCGATCCTTACCCCAAGCTGCAAGCAGGCAGGTCACTGCTTTACTGCCCCTCCAGTGTGCAGTGCGAGGTGGGATGGCCCAGGGTGGGCATCGAAGATTCCAGGTGAAGCTGGCACCTGTCCTGGCCGCCCTGGAATGGTTCCACCGCCCACCCCGCAAGTTTATGCGCCAGCGCCACCAACCTGCCGCGCCCGAATAAGGTCCCGGTTCGGGTCTCGGCGAACCTTCCGCGCTGCCCCGGCCGCTGGGAGATGCTCTTGCGTGGGGCACTTGTAGTCACCTCGTGTATCCGTACATGTCGGCGCTTCTACTGTGTGTTGCTTCTGCTGTGCATTCTTACTTATGTCATCTGTCAATGAACAACGAGAAGAAACCTGGTATAATTTGTAGACAGGCCAGGTACGAAACACTCATGATCTAAAGAGCCCATCAATCATATTTCGGCAAAGTAGTCTGCAATAATACACACTGCTTCCTCCCACTGTCAACTCACGTTCTTGGGAAACAGCGCCCCCGCCGCCCCCAAATCCAACTTATCTAACATCCCCATATCAACTCCATCAAGCCGGAACCAAAACACGTCCCCATTCTCCCTGATCCTGCTCGCGCCGCCGCTCTTGGGAAGCGGTATGAATCCGTGCTGGAGAGACCAGCGGATCAGCACCTGCGCTGGTGTGACCTCTGTGACCTCCGTAGCCGTCATCCCCGCTAGAGTCTCCTCTGCCGTCTCCCGGTCCTGTGGGTCGTCATCGCGGTGGTTCGTCTCCGTCGCCCGTCCAGGTCTCAATATGTCTCCGTTCCGTATACGCCGCCGGACCCGCTCCACAACCTCTCTCAACACCGGATCCGCCCACCGTCGGCCCCGCGCGAGCGGGCTGTACGCCTGCACTACGATGCCGTTTCGTTGGCAGTAGGCGACTAGGTCGCGCTGTTGACACCACGGATGAAGCTATTCTCACGCCCATTAGCATCCTCTATAAACCTTGCTTTGCACACTTCTACTCATTGATCCAGCAACTCCCCGAAACACCGCAAGAAAAGGAAACTCACCTCGATCTGATTCACACAAGGCAACCCCCCCTCGCAACCCTTCATCTCCTCCAATGCCTCAATCCCAAAATTACTCACCCCAATACTCCTCGCCCTACCCTCCCTCGCAAGCCTCCCCAATACGCTCCAGAGATCCCTCCACCGCTCCACGGGTCGATGTATGAGAACTAAATCAACATACCCCTTCCCTTCCCCCTCCCCAGCAACTCTCATCACACTCCCCAAAACACTCTCATACATCCTCTCCCCGTTGCCCTCCCACCGTCCAACTTTGGTCGTCAAAAACAAATCCTCCCTGCTGACCCTTCCAGCGGACACCTCCACATCACCACCGAACCCATCTGATTCCTCCTCCCGTCGCAAAAACACCCCGACAGCCCTCCCAACCTCCTCCTCGTTCCCATACAGCTGCGCGGTATCGACGAGCCTGTACCCGGCCTCCAACCCCGCCAGACAGGCCGTGAAGCACTCCTCCCCTCTGAGCTGGTAGACGCCGAGGCCGAGGCGGGGCATCATTGCTAGTGAGCCTGGTAGCTGGACGGGCTCCTCCATGGTGTTGTACAGGTATGGCGATTCCGCTGTAAGTAGATGGGGCCGGCTGTGAGAAGGAAAACAACAAATCGACTGGGAGTTGAGACATCAAGAATGATTGTCTGCGTGGTCGTATGGGATGGGCAAAGTTGACTCACTGGCGTTTAGGCGAGCTTACATGGACCCCACTTGCCCACGGCAAGGTGCCTTGAGTAATACCACCAGGTAAATAGTTCACGCGATACCAGTTGCAAACGTCGTCGGAAATTGCTCATGATGCAAAATACTCGCGTGGGTCTCTTCCAAAAATTATTAACCTCTTTTTGCTTCGGCTCCGCGACGCCCTGTCGGCCAGCGTCGAAGTAGATAATCGTAGTATTACATTTCATCCGACACCCAAATGAAAACGCCCAGCAGCCTCTCCACCCAACCGATAAACACACCCAGAACTCGGAAGAGCACATTCAACCAGTCTTCTTCTTCTTCTTGGGCCTCTCCTCTTCCTCTTCTTCGTCATCCTCGCCATCATCACCACCGTTGTCGTTATCCACGTCACTCTCCTGGCTGCCTGAGCCAGAACTCTCGTGGTCACTGTCAAACTCTTCGGCAACGTCACTTTCGCTCTCAGCGTTGAAGTCCTCGTCGACACTCTCTTCGTCCTCGTCGGCTGAGCCACGGTCCGCCTTGGCGGCGCCGACAACCTCCTCTTCCGAGTCGTCCATGGCTTGGTCGCGCATGGCTGCGGCAATGAGGTTGGTCTCCTCATCGATTTCGTTCTTAACACGCAATCCCTTGAGTCTGAAGAATTCCTCGAGCCCCTTGAGGTCCTCGCGGTTGATGTTGCTGAATTGTGACGAGCCAGCGCCGTTCTTCATCTGCACGGTGATATCAAAGGTTGACAGCGCAGAAACGGCACCGCCGACACGAGAGAATGTGATGGATGCTGTTTGCTCGTAGGCGATGTACGTCGCAGGTTTGGGCACAAACATGAACGCCTTCTCCAAGCAGTACAGGAAGCCTTCGCTGGCCTTGATCGAGCACTTGATGCCGAACTGGTTGCGGTGACTGGATGGGTGTTAGCACAGGTTTTCTCGCACGGATGGCGAGACACATACGTCTGGAAGTCCTTGGCGGGCGTTGTGATCTTCTTGTTGGCAAGTCCTCGGAAGATGTAGGTGATGACTTGGTGAAGAGGCTGCTCGTAGTGAGGCTGGAGTCTGTCCTTGTACCGCTCGTCTATTTGTTCCTCGGTGAGGTTGAGATCGATCGTCACCTCCTCGTCTTTCTTGAACTGCATGACGATGAACGGGTATCTCGTCTGACCCTGGCGCAGGGGCGGGTCCAGGCCAACGCAAAGAAGCACATGGGTCTCGTCTGGCTTGGGAAGCACCATAAACTTCTTGATGGCGTCGTACTGGATCTTGTAGTCATACGTCTTACCACGGAGGCGGAAAGACGCGTCATACATGTCGATATCGAAACGACCTCTGTTGCGGTGTCAGAAGCTGTTAAGTCACGGGTAGCCGTAGCGATGTGCACATACCTGGGTGTGAGATGGAGAATATCCAGGAACGTAGCGATAGTATCGCCTGCGGTCTCGCCAATCTCGGCCTTCTCCATCAGGGTATCGTAGAACAGGGTGACTGCATTCTTCTCCTCTTCGCCGCCGGCGTCGCTACCAGCCTCATCACCCTCCACTTCCTTCTTGACGGTTCCGGGGATGTAGAATCGCATCTCGACGAGCTGGTCCTTGCCGGCACCCGCCTTCTTGCCCTTTCCGCGCGCACCGCCCAGGTGGCCGTTGGTGCCAGTATCGTTCTTGTCCGTGGGAGCTGAGAATTCGACCGCAACCTCGTTACGACCCGCTAAGTTGGTGTTTGAGATTTCGGAGTAGGGAATTTCGAACGCAGGGCGGTTCTGGACGTTGAAAGACAGCTCAGCCTTTCCAAAGTCGGCCTTGCCCCAGTTCCATCCCCTGAGGGCGTGCTCCCTGTTCTCGAGGGCGGTGCTGTACCAGTTCTTGAAGAGCTTGGCAAGACGCTCGTAGTCCTTCACACCAGACGAAAAGTCAGCATTCCATCCTTGTATCGTCGATCGGCTTGCGCGCGTGTCATTACCTCTTGTTGGAAACCATCAAGCTGGATGATGCGCGAGTCTCGGTTAAGAATCTTGATCTCGTAGCCCTTGGCAGCTCGACTCCACTGCGCCGAAGCAATTGTGCTGTGATCGAGAGTGAAGGTGTCGCCGCCACCAGATGGCTTCCAGCCGAGACCGCTCTCGGCAAATCTGCACTTGCCGCTCTCCTTGGAGAGGTCCAAATAGATGCCGTCGAAGCTCTCTCTGGGAGGGGGCATCTCGTTAGCTATCGCACGATGGAAAAGTCGGGAACGAAGCAATTGCGCGTGATTTGGGATGGATGTATCGTAAAAAAAGCATGGTTTCTCGGTCATTCGACGGGCGTGGAACCTGCGCGAAAGAAGGAGCGGGTGATGGGCACTCACATAGCTGCCATGATTGCTGGCGAGAGGTCGAAATGTTGAGGAAAGTATCGGTTGGTGTAGTCGCAAGACTGTCGCAGAGAAGGCTCTACCCGAGGCGAAATGTGTGAGGTAGTGACGTATGACTCGAATCGCTGATGCTCGAGATGGGTAGGTGGGAGGGATGGAGATGGCGGTGCTTGGAGGAGGTCCCGCTGGTGTCGGTGATAAAATTTCGGGCGTTGGCACTTCGCGCTGCACTTTCCTGGTCGCGCAAGGCTACAGCACGGTGGCACAGCGAAGACGCGACTTTCGATTAAGTGCAGTGGGCCCTTTCCTCACTGCACTGCTGGCTAAGCTTTCTTTCACCCCACGGCGCGGGTCTATGCGCTTCTCTGTGAGGTCTGCTTACCTAATTACCACAAAATCCAAAACGGTCTAGCGCAATTACCCCGACTTGCCTGGGACGGGAGCTTTGAACCTGGTGGGGAGCAGCACACTTGCCAAGTGTGGGGTAATTTCCTACCGAGGACAGCCGGGCTTAAGCAGGAGCTGAGAGCTGGAGCTGTCGGGATCGGTCCGTCAAAGTGTCTCAAAAAAGCTGGACAATTGGGGTATGCCAGCAAGGACAGCTAGGCCAGGCTCGGGGATCGGGTAAGTGGAAGGGGATTGTGGCTGGTACATAGCAAGAATGGCTGGCTTTCAATCGCAGCATCGAAGCCGTCTTCTTCTCACTCACCATTTCTTCCTCACTTACCTGTATGTGCCTGTAAACACCAACCTCCAAGCGATTCCATATTCAGCATGCAGAATCTACCAATTCGACCTTTATCGCTGCTTCTCATTTCCTAGTTCTGTAGAATAAGCTCTCCCGGTCAACACTAGCCATGTCGAGCCCGCCGTCTCGTCTCAAGAACATCCTGGGACACCTCCTCTCATCCTCCACCACCAAGAAAGATGAGCCCCGTCCGAACCACCACATACACCAGCTTTCACCAACCTTCTTTCTGGAGCGTGCCGCTGCGATAGAGCCCGATGCTGAAGCCATCTTCCATGTGACAGCCAACGGTCGAACCCTGCGACGGTCTTACATAGAGTTCGCAGACAGAGCGCGTGGCCTTGCTTACTACCTGAAGAAGCACGGCTTCAAGAGGGTGGGAATCCTCGCGCCCAACACGCCCGCCTTTCTCGAGTCCATCTTTGGCATTGCCGCCGCTGGTGGGGTTAATGTGGGTGTCAACTACAGATTGAAGCCGGATGACATCACCTACATATTCGACTTTGCCGAGGTCGACTCAATCATCGTCGACCGGGAATTCGTCCACCTGCTTGATGAATTCAAGGAGAAGCACCCCAAGGTTCCCTTGATCATTGACACTGATACCGACTACACGGAGGGCGCTTTAAGTGGCCCCTTTGATGATGCCGTTTTGGAGGGCCTGCAGTATGACCAACAACATGGTCAGGGCTGGGCCGGCCTCCACTCACAGTCTGGTAATGAGGATGATATGCTTGCGATTCCGTTCACCTCAGGAACTACGAGTAGGCCCAAGGGCGTAGTCTACACACATAGGGGTGCCTATCTGGCTGGTAAGTGACACATGGACCATTTTCAACCCACTTCCCCAACCATTTAGCCGTGCTGATCACATTTTACGGTAGCTGTTGGAAATGTTATCGAATCAGGACTGAACTACCACACTGGCCGTTGCAAATATGTAAGTCATAAGTAAGACCAGCTCATACTTGCTGTACCCCGCTGACTGTCGATGTCTATCATGTAGCTATGGACTTTACCCATGTAAGTAAATTAGGATAGGTTGTCGAGGATCGATTGCTAACTATGTCAAGGTTCCACGCCGTCGGTTGGACGTAAGAAGCCCTACCCTCTAGTCCGATGGCTCTTCGGTCTTATCTAAACCTACTGACATGATGCAGATTCCCTTGGGCGGTAACGGCTGTGCGTGGAACGCATGTGTGCTTGCGAAAGATCGACTATCCTCTCATCTGGAAATTGCTCAAAGAAGAAGGCATCACACACTTCAACGCAAGTGACTCCTATCCAAGTCATAGAAAGAGTAGTCAGCTGACACAGTGTTTCGCCTGCAGGCAGCTCCAACAGTCAATACTCTATTGTGCTCAGCGAACGAGGCCGAAAAGTTGCCCCAAGAAGTGCGGGTGACTGTAGCTGCCAGTCCACCAAGTGCGCACTTGTTCGAACAGATGGTATGTGACGCTCCGTCAGGCTGCCGAGAGTCGTCGCATCAGTGCTGACGTGGTTAGACAAACCTCAACCTCTTCCCGGTCCACGTCTATGGCATGACAGAGACCTATGGCCCCATCACCAAAGGATACCACATGCCATCATGGGAGACCCTCCCAACAAACGAGAAATACGCCAAAATGGCTCGCCAGGGCCATGGCTTCGTCACGAGTCTTCCCATTCGAATTATCAAGACGGACCAGCCGGAGGGCGTTCTTATTGATGTCGCCAAGGACGGCAAAGAAATCGGCGAGATTGTGTTCTTGGGGAATATCTGCGCCAAGGAGTATTTCAAGGATGCAGAAGCTACCAAGAAGTTGTTCGACGGCGGTGCGCTGCACTCGGGGGATCTCGCTGTCTGGCATCCCGACGGGTCGGCTCAGATTCTCGATAGAGCAAAGGATATCATCATTTCAGGTACGCATCAACCTGTCGAGCTGATGATTTTCATCGTACTGACGAGGGACTAGGTGGCGAGAATATTTCGTCGGTGGCTCTTGAGGGCATGCTCGTACAACACCCTGATCTCCTGGAAGCGGCCGTGGTAGCGGTGCCTGATTCACACTGGGGCGAGCGTCCTAAAGCCTACGTGACTGTCAAAGAAGGCAAGAGCTTGAAAGGGGAAGACCTAATTTCGTGGGCGAAGCACCAAAGCAACATCTCCAAGTTCATGGTGCCTCGGGAGGTTGAAGTTGTGAACGAGCTCCCAAAGACCAGCACTGGCAAGTTGAAGAAGAATGTCTTGAGAGAATGGGCCAAGGGAAAGAGGGAGTAGACAGAACGAAGAAGAGTGATTTTGGTCTTGCATGTCAGACGCAGCAGCTAGAGACGGTAGACTGAGGGAAGACGGGAAGGGATGTGAAGGAGAAGTTTAGCTCTGTCGAGCAAGATAGAAGCAAGATCATGATCATGCGCCACTACCTACACACGATTATGCCATGTGCCTTTGCGTAAGGTGGTTCGTCTGGATGGAGGGTTACCTCAAATTGAGACCATTCCAAATGCGGACGGCAGCCAACCCTGACCAAAAGCCACTTGCAACGGTCAACGGTCAACGGCTAACGGTCCTAACGGCCGAGGCGCCATCCCGCAGCCTCCGTTTCGAGATGCCCAAGACCTTAGTCTGTCATACTGTGACGAACGTCGTGCATGTACACGTACCGAACCAAAGCAAGCAGACAGTCTTCTTCTTTATCCCTGAACCCTGTATCCTGCGGCAATAGACCAGTAAGAGAACAAGGATGGTAGACACCGGTTGGGTAACTGCCTGAGGTAGGGAAGGAGGAACAGGGGTTCATGTTTTGACAGGACGGGGAAGGAGCGGAACGGAACCTTCAACACCATCGTGCCTGACCGTAAGGTGATGTGCCCAAGTACTCCGTACCTTCAGGAAAGATACGGTAGGTGCATCTTACTTCAGGGAAGGTTATCTGTCTCAACCTGTTGTTGCCTACATTGTCTTAGGGCAAGGGGCAACCCACAACACCTCCCACAGCAGGCAAGACTGACTGAGGCAGGTAAGGTACCTTAGACTCCTAACGGTACAGAGTACTCGAGAAGCAACTCGAACCTCGCTTAGACAAGCTGCCACAAACACACGCACGGGGATCAGAAGAACAATTCACATGGTCTGCTTCCGAACTTTGAAAGCAAACGTTGAAGCACCAGACAACGGTCGATTTCGCGGTGCCCGAGAGGGAGAGTGAACAGACACACCGGACCCCTGGACTAGGAAACAGAAAAGAACGACACGATGCGTCTGTCGTCGAGCAAAAGACATCCGAGGTTCCGTGAAGCGGGGCAACGGGAACACACCATGAGGGTATCCCCTGAACAGCAAATGGGGAGCTTGACGGAACCAGTCGGCCAACTTGAGTTGACCCATACGGAAGCACAGTCAGATTCTGTTCAGTATGGATCACATCAAAGTCCCTCATCGACCGTAGGGCAACGGTCTCAGCCCCCGATGTCATCGGGTCCGTCTTCGAGCTGTGAGTGAGGCACTGGCCCCCATCCCTCCCATTTTGAGAATGAGATTTGGCGGGACAACACTCGGAAACAGTAAAGGACATCCTAGGGTTCGCTATGCCTGACACAACGAGTTTACGGAGTACTCCCGATGGTCATTACCTGATGACGCTGCGGCTGTTCACCCCGGAAGGAAGGCCTCTTTTCATCGAGATCCGAGATCATCAGGCTCTTGGCTGCATCCTCACCGACGGATGTAGATCAAGATTTACCCCCTTATCCCACCAACCTTCCCTTGTGGCTACGGACCAATGCGAGAAAACGGTAGAGGAGCGAGACTCCAGCTTCACGGTCGTCCAGGCCACATTATCACCGATGTAGCTGGCTTTGAGGTCCTCTCCTCTCTCGAAGCTGAACAAAGGCGTCATACAATGACTTGACCAACGAGGAAAGTGGAAAGAAGATTCTTCTGACGCTTGTCAGTCCACTCCCAACCTTGGCACGTGTTGTCAACTAACCGCCCCTGATACGAGCATCCGAGATTCAGGACCACTTGAGTCAGACCTCCACTAGTTTCCGTCAAGTAATGATCTCTTTCCACCGCCAACAGAGAACCAACAGACCTCCTCTCTCTTTCAGTCTCAGTATCTGTCAGCATACTCCTCGAGAGAGAGGGACAGCAGCTTTCCGGGCCTGGTGAAACCAAAGGCCAAGTCAAGCAGAATAACTTTCCCGGACGAGAATGCAGAGTACGCAGACACGACCTGAACAGCTGCATCATGCAGGCCACTGTGGGTATAGCTGCTTCTATAACCAAGAGAGATTGGGCGCGCGGGCAAGTCCCTGCTCAGGATTGGGTGACAGAATCCATGTAGGCGCTGCACACACCTTTGGGGGCCTTCCGCGCGCCCCATGCCGTCCGTGACGGCCAGCAATCGCGGATCCGTTCGAGCGGTCTGGGGACTGCGTTATCCGAAGCCGAGCTCACATGGAAATTGCCCTATCGAATATTAATCTGTCGCGTCGGGTCCTCATAAAGCCCACCTAAACCCCTCCCTGAGAAATCCAAGTCTCAAAGGTTCCATCCATCAACAATGTCAGTGATGAGACTGCGAATGTGATAGCTGACAGACCTTTGAGGACGCGGAAAGCCCATTCAGGCAGCGAGTTACTAGACTTGCTTCAGTCGGTAAGTCGAGTCGCATAAGCAGTCGACTATGAGATGAGACAAGGAAAGAAGAGAGGGGAAACGAGAAGAAAAAGAAAGGAGATGAGAGAGGGCCTACGACTCGACTCGACTCAAGATGGGTATGGGCTCGGTACGAAGAGTGGCCCGACGGAAAGAGAAGATGGGGGATGAGAGGATATTCAGCATCCCCGGACAAGCCACGACTAGCTTGCCGTACAAATAAGAAGATGAGAAGAGACTGACTGCCCTGTCCAGATAGATAGATCGAGATCTCAAGAGAAACAACAAACGACATCGACGACAGGTCATTTATAAATTGGTCTGCCACCAACACGACTAGGCGAAGCAGAGCAAAGAGGCAACGCCGTCCGGACCTCGTTCGGTGTGTCCTGCATACCCTGCGCCGCAGCAGCAAAGACTTTTTGGCGACAGCCCTGGAGTGGAGTGACTCTGGCATAAAGCCAGGCCACCCCGATCCCTCCGATTGCCGGCGTCTTGGGCGCCGGCCGCATTGCAACGCGCTTCCCGCCGCCGTACGTACGACACCCGAGTCTAACTTTGAACACTACGACAGAGTCGATTCACTTGAGCAGCTGTCGTGGTCGGCTGACTCTATCGGAACCCTAGTTCTGGGAAGGTGTGGTCCGCCTAGGGACCAAAGTCACTCCACGGGGACGGTATACGGGTGAATCCCGCGCCACAAGTTGTCTCCCGATTGCCCACTGTTCTTGGGCAATCCCTGGGAAGACCGTGGCGTCCGCTCCGGAACTACTGGCCAGACGCTCGTCTGGTTCTTTCTAACGGCGGCCTGCGTACACTGGGATTGTCTGGCCGCACGCCTAGTCCGGAGTCTCCCAAGCGTGGCTGGCTTGCTCTTCCTCGCCCGATCTTGGCCACTCGCGGATAGGAGGCCTTTTCCCTCGGTACCGGGATTGGAAAGCAGATACGGGAATAAGGTCGAAGATTCGAAAAAGCAAAAAAAACCTGTATAAATCACCAACGGCTTTGCGTTGCTTTGGGGCCGGACGGTGGGATTCAGAAAGGGGGTTCTCCAATCGAACCAAGACCCCTCGCCACCCCCGGCAAGACGATACGATGACGCACACGCCAAACGACGACACTCCCTTCTACGAGTATCTCGTGGATGACCCGGAAGTAAGTATCTCACCCGGCGTTGCATTCCACTTTTCTCCGTTCGGTGCTTTCCTCCCCGGAGCGCGGCCCCCAGGGGCTCCCTTTTCTTGTCTCGAATCAAACGACCAGCTCAATCTGCGTTACACCCTTCTCCATCTGCCGACCCTAGCGGCATATGAATGTGACAAGACAAGCGTTGGACCAAGCGATCGAAGGCGCGAGTGAGTACATGATGCCACGCGGGTAGCACCGAGCTGGGCCAGACCCTTTCCTCCCCCATGGGCCTCCGCAATGAGAAGTCGAGCCACGATCCAGGGACCATGCAAGACTCTCTACACTATTTTGTCTGTCGGTGGTCGCCTCCGATGCTTGAGATTGGATGTGGATGGGAGGCGGCGGAGTATCAGAGAAGCTGAAAGTCTGTGTGCCACCCGGAATGGGGCGGTGGCAAGGTGGTGTTCTCTGAACAAGCGTTCGGCAAACTGATGAGACAGACGGCGACGAGGAGGCGCAAAAGAGTAGAGACGGCCGTGTTCTCGAGGATCACAGGTCCTTTCGCCAAAGAGAAAAAAATTAAAGAGAGAGAAAAAGTCTGACCATTATTTCTATCAGCAGATGATAGCTTCGACGCCGTTGTCCCCGCACTTCTCTCCCGAAGTTTTCGGAGGGGCTTTCGACGTCGGCGACCGCCAACACCACGCCACTCGGCCCGGTAATCAGACCACCCTGCTGAGTCCAGGCCACAATCGGCCCAACGCCATTCATGAATCGACCACAGCGACACCACTTAATCAGGTCCAGGCCGTTGCAGGTATTCCTGGATTGTCCATACCCGTATCCGTACCGACGGCGCAATTCCCGCAAATTCACATTCTCGGAGGACTCCAGCACCTGGACCAGCAACACCAGCAAAACCACCCTCAGCTCCATCCTTCAGCCCTGGGTCTGGGTCTCGGACTGGGTACTCTGGGGTTGACACATGCAGAGGGCAACCAGGGTCTTCAACACCAATTCGGTCCAGCGGCTGCGCCTGCGCCTAATATTGCTGCTGATCAACAGGGGACGTCGTCGTCGTCGCATCTCCATTTGCAGGGCCATCAAAGAACACCCGCCCACGCCGCCGCATGGCTTCCGCCCGGATATGGAGTCCCGGCGTACCACGACAACCCGCAACAGCAGCATGTCGATGCAACGTCTTCCTCCACAACAGCAGCAGGTGTCAACCCACCCGTCACTCTTTCTGCAGCGGTCGGTCTGAGTACTGATGGCAGAAGCCAGAGCATTGGTGTTGGAGGTGGTGGTCACTTATTCGATTTCGGGTTCGCAGCACCACCGCTGACACTACCACCAACGAGTGAGCAGTCGTTCCTGGGCGGCGGAGTCTATGCCGACATCACGCCACTTTCCACCACGGTAGCTGTAACAGCTCACCCGCAACCACCCACGACCACTTTTGATTTCCATGCTTCGCCATGGCGGCCTCGGCTTCAAGACAGCAGCTCCGTCACACTGACACCAAACATTGCAGCCGTCGCTGCGGTCGAATTGAACCACGACGTCCGCAAGCACAGCAAAAGCAGCATGGAGACCGATAGCGACGTCAAGGACCCTTCGTGGGATGACGATGATAACGAGCCCCAAGATAAAAGGGGCGGAGCTGGAGCAATGAAGACGTCGTCGTCGTCGTCGTCGCCTGGGACCCGGAAGCCGCAGCGAAAGGGCAAGCGCCGTGCCGTAGCCGATCCCGGAGCTGGCGGCATCGACGAAGATGACGAACCCACCAGCCCCGCGGGCCGAACAAGCGTCAGTGACCGGTCGGTCAAGTCGGTATCCGTCGCCTCATCCGCCGGATCGAGCACCAAGACGGCACCGGCACCCCGACTGCGCAGTGCCTCTCGCACCTCCAAAAACGCACTGCAAAAGCCGACCGAGTCCCTCGAAGAACGCCGAACGCGCGCATCTCATAATTTGGTCGAGAAGCAGTACCGTAATCGACTGAACGCTCAATTTGAGGGTCTTCTCAATGCCCTACCGGAGCAGGTCCGCGGCCCGGCCGGCGCCGGAGACGGCGACGAATCGGACCCGCAGGCGGCGGCGGCGGCGAATGAGGAAAGGCGGGTCAGCAAGGCCGAGGTGCTGGACATGGCCCGCCGCCACATCCAGAACCTGGAGCGGGAGCGGGAGACGCTCCACCGCGAAAGGGGGGAGCTGCTGCGCAGTCTGGAGACGATGGAGCGGGAGGCGGCCGCGAATGGCGGCGGGGGTGGCCGGTTGGATGAGTTCCTCGACGTTGAGGGGGTTCCGGACGAGAGAGGCGAGCCGTCGTCGTCGTGGAGGAATGCTTGAAGTGCATTGTCGTTGATCGTCGACACCCGCGCGAGCCACCCTGCCTGCCGCCAGCCTATTCTCTGATGGTGGTGGTCACAGTGGTGGTGGTGGGTGTGAAGCCAATGCAGTGCACTTCTGGAAAGGGGGGAGCGCGTGAGCTCAAAATCTCGGAGGCAAGGGTGCCGGGGGTGGTGGGGGGGAAAGGGTTCTTTCGGAGTGTCGCCGACCGTCCGATGACATGCCGTGCGCGCGGTGGGAAACGTCAAGCTATCCATTGGCCGCGGCGGTGTTGTTGTTGGCCCCCCCCCGTCTCAGATATCGACATCGGCCGGCAGAAGGGGTGCCATCCCGCTTCACGCCCCACGGGTCCAGGGTTTTATTTTTCCTCTTCTTCTCCCCTGTGTCCCGCGGTTCCATCGAGTCTTGCTTTTGGTGTCTCGTTTCTGCCGGGTTGATTTTTTTTTCATGTTTTTTTTCTCCGCGGACAAATTATGATGGCGGATGAAATCAGTTTCATAAAGGCGGGAAGAGTCAAGCTTGGTTGGACGCAGAGGATGGGTACCGGGATATCGGCAGCCCGCATGCCGGGGAACTAAGGAGGGGAGGATAGAATAGATTGTGGATCGAAGTAAGGTAGTTGATGAATGAGGTACTCGGAAGCAGTGGATGAGAGGCAAGTACAGGCGGGACTCGGGAGGATATCGCGAGCATGGAAGGGTGGTTGCAAAGATGCCATGGGTGGGAGGAGAGAGGGTGGTGGGGTGCTGTGCATATCTGTTTGGTATGCATGTACATTGACAATGGACAGAGGGAGGATGAACAAGGTGCCTCCGGAAGGATGGAGGAAGGAAAGTAAGGGTGTGGTGGGTAGGGTGAGAATATGTCTTCCCGTCAGGACGAAGGGACTTGTAAATGACGGTGATTCTGGTTCTAGGACAAATTTCGCCAAACTGCAAAATATTCTGTGAGGGTTTGGTCATTTAGGATGAGGGGTATAGTTGGTTCACTTGGACAGACGAACAGTATATAGAGAGAGAAATGTCAATATCATGACTTTTTTGGAATCCGAGGCCTGGCTTGCTGACTGCAGCCGTCTCTCCTTCCGTAGAGGTGGTAGATCTGTATTATGCGTGTCGTCAACTTTGGTACGCATTTCAAGCGTCCTAGCCATCCGATGTTTTGACATGTCGACGTGTTCGTCATGCAGAGTAAACAATGCGGGACGAGTCTAGACCCAGCCCGTTCCGTGCTCACTCCTCCGCATCGAAGCTACCAAGGCAAGGTAGTCAGTCTACTGCCGATGCATAATGCACATCACCAACTACGCCAACCACACATACACACACACACACACCATGTCAACCAACAGCCTCTGCCGTACCCGACCTGGTGGTTGCAAGAGATGCATACATCCCCCCCCCCCCCCCCCCCCAAAATATCCAACTTTTCATGCGTCACAAGGTTCATTCTCTACTAAGGAAAACCTCGGCACATTTGATGAGTTTGATCGCGTGAACCGGTTTAATGGTGTGTTTGCTATTCTCAACCCCGCCTTTTCGCGGCTTGGTGTGTAGGAGGTACCTATGCCAGGTAAACCGGTCCGTACTAACATCATTAGCTGCAACGACAGTCGCTTTTCATCACTGTCATCACATAGTCATTGGGGAGGCATAGTTCGAAAGCAGAGTAAATGGGACAAGTAATGGAGTATCTTTTCGGTTTGAAATTCTGTTCGGAGCGACAAAAACTGGCTTCCGAACCGCGATGAAATAACCTCCTTTTGGTCAACCCAAACTTCCATTTGGGTGGGAGACATCGTCTCTCTCTCTCTCTCTCTCTCTCTCTGCGTTCCCTCCAGGGACGCAAGTAATCCTTCTCGTGATCGCACAGATGCTCAAGCTCCTATTGGCGTGCTTCCCTCCCGCAGCCCTTTCCTCCCAAAATCTTTTACAAGTGTTTTTTTTTGCTTTTCTGTTCCCATTTGCTCCTTCTTACAGGGTTTGTCATAATCCATCAAATCATAACCCCGGCCGAGGCAAGAAACCCTCCCGGTGGGTTTTGTAGTGCTCGCGCCCTCTCTTTTTTTTTGGTACAACAAAATAACAGTATCAGTAGTAGCGGTATTGCTGGTGGTGGTGGTGGTAGTATAGTAAAGTAATCCTTTGGAATGGACTGTAGATATAAGGAAACTGATCGTATGTGTGCGTTGCGCTGGCGAGCGTGTGAGCTTTGAGTGTAGCGAGTGGTAACTAGTTGGTGGTCAGAATCGGGGAATGACCAAAGCCGGATTTTGGTCTATGCTGGTTTGAAATGATGAGAGCCCAGGTTGAAAAAACTCCTCCGAGATATGCCAAAAAAAAAAAAGTCTATACGAATCACGACCGTCTTGAAAGGCCGTGATGTGTCGAGAAACAAACAATAAGGTGTAGAAGGTTTGGTAGTGTAGTGCGTCACTCCGGCATCCGCTAGAGAAGGAACGCGCGAGCGTGCGCGCGCGCCCATGTGGGTGTGTCTATGAAACAAGATGTATATGAAATGTGCGCTGTGAGGTCGTAATGTGGTGTCGTGGGCCGGAAGATGTATTCAGTGGCGAGCAGTCGTTCAGATACGGCTGCCGGCATAGATTGGCGGGAAAAGGGCGTACTGCCCAGGCGGGGGCGGGGCGCTCAGGGTTTGCGCACGTTGGCGTCGGTGCTGCTTCACAGGCTCCTTCGTCTTGGCAAGCGGGAGAGAGTCCCGGGATAAGCTGGCGTCGATGCATCCGGAGGCGGCACGGATATCGCCAGTAGAACGCGACATGGTCAGAACCTCCTCGGACTCGGGCAGCGGAGTCATGGTGGACTTTCGTGCTCTAGGCGACCCGAGATCCGCAAAGTCGTCGGCGCTGAAGGACCGTGAGTGGTCACTACCCTCGAACTTGGGGTTCCATCCCTCAAAGGTCGTGCTCCCCGTGTACCTGGTGAGAGCCGTCCATGTCGAGTTGGTCGATGTGTGGCGAGCCTCGGTCAGGCTGGTTTGGCTGGACAAGTTGCTGCCGGTTGTTGAAGTGCTGACACGGTTTCTGGCGAACAGTCCAGGTGTTTCAATCGTCAGGACGGGCTCCTCGTCAAAGGCGAAGTGGCTGGTGTCAAGTCTCGCCACATCCATGGGATACGCATCGGTGTCCGAGTCTGCCAACATTTGCTGGCGGAAGTCCGTTGGGATAAGAAGAGATGGCGAGAGGTTGAAGCCGTGGGATTCCTTGAAGCTCGAGGCCCGCGATGCTGTTCTCACGTGGAGATGGGAGGTGCCTCGGTAGTTCGTCTCCTTTCTGGGATGAGAGAAGTTAGGCCTAACAGGCGGCGCGGTAATGGTGGGCGTGATTGCTTCGTGTCCATTGACGGAAGTCTGACTGGCGGGGCTGAGTGCTGGGATATCGGAGTGTCCCATCGTCGATGCCGGCTTCAGACCGGCCGAGAGGGGTGCGACGAAGATGCCATCGTTGTCAAAGGAAGTCTCTACAGAGTCCTCCCTCGCGATATCCAAAGAGGGTCGGTCCCACGCGTAGTCGCAATCAGCCTCAGCTTCATGCTCGTAGCAGTAGTCGATGTCGTCCTCCCAGCTAGCTCGGTGAGAAACAGACGCCGGTCCATCAACCTCCAAAGCTTCCTTCAGAGCATTCTGTGCGGCAAGCATGTCAAAGCTGCCAAGCGTGTCCGATGCGCCGCTTGATGGCCGTCTGAACTCGTCCTCTGGCGTCTGAGGCACGCTCGGGCGCAGAGCAGGCACAGACTGGCTTCCTCGAAGCGACGAACGAGTGCTGGCCAAGCTCGCACCAGACTGCCGGGATAAAACAAATTGCTCCTCCTCTTCAGGCACATCAGGCAATGCCATCTCATAAGAAACAGTGGAGCTCGCTGTGAGTGGCCATGCAGCATCGTCGGGAGTGGTGATGGCATGAGAGAATCTCGGGTCCTCGAAAGGCTCAGCTTCTTCGGAAATTGTAGATTCTGTGAATTCGATTGGTGCCTCGAGAGTGCCTGGCAGGTGAAAGCCGCTGCTAGTCTGGGGGCGCTCTGGGAACATATCGATGGTGGCGAGCGAGTCTTCTGAAACGGTGCAATGCTTCATGATGCGGCTCGACGATCTGGGAGGAGGGACAGGCACAGGCGAGCCTGGCAGAGTAGGTGAGACAACCTCCTCGCTGATGGGTGAACGGGGCGGTCGTGGAGGTGCTGGGCGCGGCGGGCTCGACCGGAGTTGTTCCTGGGATCGTGTATGCTTAACCAACCGTCCAGGTGCAGAAGTCGGGCCTGTATGCCGGGCAATGGCAGGTGGGCGATTCGAAAACATCTCTGGCTGAGTTTCGGACGTCATCGCGTTGTCCTGCTGCGTGTGCAACGCTTCGGATGAAAAGTTGGAAAAGTGCAAATCTTCGACGTCGATTCCCTTGAGCTGGCCGGTGGTCGGCCGTTGGCCAGCGCGGATGGCTGAGAATTCGGAGACCAGTTCGGCGCGGCTGCCCCGCTGGAGGTCCGGTAGGTGATCCTTCTTAGTGTGGGTGACATGTTGAAAGTTGTAGGGGCCCGATATTTGCAACTTGCGTCCCGAAACTGGGTCTTCACCTAAGTCGTCCTGTCTTAGAGTTCTGCGGCGGCCGAAGATTGATGGGATGAAATGGTCCTTGTTTGTCGAGGCCGGGCCATCCAAGACAAGCTCACCAGAGTACAAAGAACTTCCAGAGGAACTGTGGTTACCACTGCTTTCCCGCTTCATCTTAGCCCTGCGGTTGAAGATGGTTTTGCCAAAGAGCTGCACGCTCTCGGGGCGGTCTTTGGAAGGCATGCTGCTCGAAGTCGACCGGCCAGAAGAACGTCTTGACAAAGTAATGGTTTCCAGGGTGTGTTCCCACGATCGGTCCGAGTTGAGTGAGCGCAGCGAGGACGTCGAGCCAGAGGAGGTGGTTGTGTGGCTCTTGCGTTTGTCCAAGGCCGAGGCCCTCTGCATCTGCTTGCTCAAGGCACGAATCCTTTCCGGCGAAGGCGGTCCATCAAGAGCAGGCTCGAACAAATCTGTGATGTTGTCGGGATGGTCTTGGGTTGAGAGAAGAGGAAGGGGAGGTTCTGAGCCGTTGACAGCAGACGGCGATGAGCCACCTTTGTTGCTGATGCTTGCCCTCTCTTTCCTCCGGGTTGGCTTGTAGGCCGAGTAGTACGGCAGTGGAGCGGTAGCCCACATCTTGTTTTCGACTTAATGCAGAGGGCGACGTCAAGCCAGGCGTGCCCCCTCTCAAGGGATCCCCTTCTTCTCCAGCGTGCTGTGAACAGGGTTGAGCAAGTCGAGGGCTTTTCGTTGCTGGTGTGTTCCTGTTTACTTTTTTTTTTTTTAAAAAAAAAAAAAAAAAACTAAAACTGGGCCGCTCTGGATCTTTGTCTGGTTGGGATCGGGGATGTTATGAGAGAATGCGAGTTGCTTGAATGTATGTATGTGTGCGTGTGTGTGTGAGTGGTCCGTGTAAGACTAAGAGGTTGGGTTGTGGTGTGTAGGCGTTGCGTTACGTTGCGCCGAGTAGGAAAAGTTTGAATGATAGACAGAGTGAGCAGAGCCGAGAAGGAGGGAAGAGCGCGCGCAATAAGAAAACAGCAACCAGCATCAACCGTCCAGCGTCCTTTTGTTCGTCCTAAGAGAGTAACAGGTGACAAGAGATCAACCAGACTGTGGGGGAAGCGCTTGGGACTGTAATATATTTAAGATGGTGCTGTTTTCAATGCGTTGTGAGCCGGGGGTCGGGATCCGAGCCTTGGGATCCGTCGAGCCTGTGAGTTTTTTGGGCGCGCAACGCAGATGGACTGTGGACATGGACCAGACCAGAGAAGAGGACCAGTCTCTAGAGACCGGGGGAGGGATGTCAGCGCCGCCCCGTCACAACCTTGCGCTGTGCAATGCTCACAGTCTCTTGCAGAGTCTAGTCCCAGAATGCAACACCGCAGCAGCTCCCCCCCCCCCCCCCCCGGATGTCCCCTCTTCCAGGATGCAGACAAGGGGTTAGGGGGGATGAAGGGATCTGGCTCTGGAGGTGCTGCCGGGGGTGTGGTGTGGTCGCCCAGGATGCCTTGCTGTGAGGATTGAGGGGGGCTGTCGGCCGATGTGGGTGGGTGAAAGGCAGGGTACAAACGAACTCTCTCACGCACCCATGAAGCGAGCTGCATCACTGGTGGTCCGAAGAGACCAGAGAGAGGAGACAGATAGACAGCAGCAGCAAGCAAAGAAGCAAGCAACCACGCAGTGTTAGCAGCAGTAGCAGCAGTAGCAGCAGTAGCAGCAGTAGCACCACGCGATACCACTGCCAACGACAGCAGCAGCAGCATCCTGGGCGGCGTGAGTTCGGAGCGGGCATGCAGGATGCGGCGGTCCTGAGTGGATGGCCATAGACGGCCCGGGAGATGCTGGCCGGGGAGAAATGGTCTTGATTATCCCTCCCCTCGAGGCTTGAGACAGACCGATGCATTGCATACTAGCAGCCGTCTGCGTCGCTTCCCAGTCGCGTGCCTAAATCCATCGGGTGAAAGGCAAAGCGTATATGCAGATATGCAACAATAGTAGCAGCAATTATCGCGACTAGCTGGCCGAAGTCGTGCATATTGTACAGAGTGTTTGAAGAGTCGAGGACCCCAAGCAGACCGGCAGACGCTTGGGGCAACACTTGGCCAGTCAGTCGGGATTGATAGATAATTATGATATCCTTGCCTTGTTACGGTATCATTGGACTCCGGCCGCCATACTGTAAACTTTGATGCACAGAACGAATTGTTGAACCGTGGGATTCCGCCAAAGTGGCTAGCCAATATCTCGTAGCCCCAGGACTGCCTGACTTCCTGCAACAGGTGGGGATGCCAGGACATGAGAGGCGACTTAGCAAAGGACGAATATGGGCGAGTGGATAGTAGATGAAATTAATACGTCCTACCATAGGAAGAAGACGGCCTGGATTCAGCCGGAACGCCAAATGACGAAGGGAAATGAGACTTTGATGCATCCGACCATTGTATAATACGCCAAATGTAGATTGGAAAAGAGTTACAAATCAAGCGCGTCGAGATGCTAGCTAATGGCTGTCATGCACTGTGTGTCGCGTGTGTATGCCGTGAATACTCGTGTCCATGGCGTCAATTCGCCGTGCCGTTGATACTCGCCGCTAATGTCGTGTGCCTCGATATATCCGTACGATAACATTGCAGCATGGCGCTCTGATACGAAGATTCGTTGGGCGCACCCTCATCAAAGGCTTCCACGGTGACAGAGGGAATAGACGCGTGGTCAGTCACTGGTGTGGTGTATGGACTGTGGACCGGCCATTGACCAGAGTTTCTATTTGCAGTTTGCCATGATGCTTGCTTCGCCTTCGAGGTCCACCGCGCGGAAGTCTGGAAGACTTCCATAGTTTTCAGTGGGCGGCTCGAATTGTCACTCTTGTTGTTGTTTTTCAGAGTGACGTGTTTTTCCAGACGCTTGCTTCTTCCTTTCCAGATCATCTGCTTTTCTCACGCCTCTTTTCTTCAGCACTGATCTTGGACCTGTGCCTTTGGCGCGAAGCTGAAAGGTTTGCCCCTGAAGCTAGCGGTCGATGGCAGATGGTCTTAGAACCGATCTTGCCCCCGAGTTGACGCCGTCGCCACGACAGGACCCGGAAGCTACCATGTGCCGACGATGGCGGTATGCTCAATGGCCGAGAGCGCTTCAATACTCTAGTGTCGCTTCGGTATGTTGTGGTACCAACTCCTATGCACTATTCGAAGCAGCCACAAGGACCTTGTCGTGTATGTACGCGCGCGTAGTGTAGGTCTCTGCGTGATTGTGCAAATCGACCGGTCTGGTTGGTCGCAACAGGGTAATTAATCCTAGCCAAAAGCTGGCAAACCGTCCCTCTACGCGTTGCTTGCACAAACCGCTCTCGCATGTCTGTGGTCAGATTGCTGATGACAGGCCGATCTTTCTACGAACGAGGGAGGTTCCGCCTTTTTCTCCAAGAACGTCCCCGTTAATGCAAGTCTCAAAGGTTCGAAAACGACATGCAAACTCCATGGGCCGGCCGTGCATGAACCTTTCAGTGATGGGAAGCCGCCCGGTGAACTCAACATGCCCTCGGTCGAGGTTATCTCCTAACGTAGGCGAAAGTCCATTCAAACCCTAACGTGACGAAAATTTGACCAGTTTCATCCGAACCGGCCAAACATTTGATCGGCCTCCCAGGCACAGATTAAGGTTCTTGAGTAGTGCGTTGAGATGGACGGATAGGAGTTCGTTCCATCGAGCAGCTGTTTCAACCCACGCTCTGGACGCAGCTCTGACACTCTTCGGATCCCTACCTCGGCAAAAACAAAGTCGTTGATCTCTCTCGTCCGAACTTTGGCATTCGCGGTGATTGTGAAATTCGAGAGCTTCATTATGGAAGCTCACTGAGCTGTCGATTCGTCATCTTCCAACACTGAGCAGACGATGAAATTGACGACGATGCTGCTATTCCTGGCAAGATTGCCGAGGGTCCAGCCAATGAATTGGCCTACGGTGTCCGTAGCACAGCATCTTCTGTTCGCTGCATGGTTCCTTGCCAGGCTGATTTCGTATCGATGCAAAGATGATGTGAGATGTATGCAATTGCTCCACACAGCAGCAAATCGTTGATGTCAGATCGGGGAGCAATCGAGGTCTGCGGGATGTATCCGTAGTCTAACTTTGGGTTTCTTATTCCTCATTGACGTGGCTAGTCCGTGGATACTCGTCTGTATGAGGCGTTTGAAGATTTCCAAAGCGCGTCGAGCGGCGCTAGATCCAGATTGTGACAGATCATGATCGACGACTGCCAGAGGGCTGTGGTCTCCGCCGGGGGACTTTCCCAGTGTCAAGAATAGTGAGGAGGTTTGGGTCCATGGACTCTGGAGTGGACACGGTGAACAAGGGACCACGCAATTGTGGGCTTTGCAGGTTGCCGCCCGTACGGTATTGCTTCTTCGTGCGCAGCAGCGCAAGAGAGGCCATCCCTGGAGCAGGTTGCGAGCTGCCGAGGGCTGCCGTGTACCATCATCCGGCATCCGCCATCCAGGTAGTAGTAAATCGGCTGGAAATCGGACAGATGCAGGGCGCCGTCCGGCGTATGAGAAACGAAGCGGTCAAGCCCACGACGGAGCCAGCCCCCCGGCCTCCATAGTAAATGCCGTACAACTGAGTGTCTCAAGTTTCAAGACTGACGTTGGCCTGACCGTTAGGTTTGCGGTGGTTACGGGGGCTCTGAGACAGCCCAGTCATTCTGCGTAGCTTGAGACAACGACCGTTGTTGGCATTATGGCAGTGCGGTCGGTGGGTGGGCGCGAGGGGACGGGTATGCCTCGTCCTCGACCCGCGTGCCATACTCCCAGTCCCCCCCGAAGGCCGATACCCTAGCCCCAGATCCACGATTGATTGGCGCTGCAAGGCGCAAGAGGGCAAACTCGACTGACAAGCTCTCTCGCGTCTCTTCTGCCCTGTCGATATTTGTCGGTCGGTCGGTTCTGGAATTCCCCGTCAGACCCTGTTCGAGCTAGGTTGCCCAAACGCCAGGGTACGGATACCTTGGGGCAAGGCAAGGCGATGCCGAGCCTTGCCCAGGGCTACGTCCAGCTGGCAGCTGGGGCTTGAACGTGACCAGCCACATTTGCTCCACGGGGTTCCCGGAGCTGGTGCATGTCTGCCATGTTGATATCCAGATATTATTCCCTATCGCACATGTTTTGTGCTCCACGCAAGGCCCATCTCTCCCAGATAGTAAGGTCGGCCGGAGAGGTCCTTTTGTCAAAAATGGCATCTTGGAGGCGTTGAACGGGAAGATGACGACAGCGGGGTTCGGCTTGGCTTGAATTGACGGAAGGTTTGCAGGGACCTAGGCGAAGAAAGAGAAAGCTGCTGTGCGTGGCGGTGGTTGATAAGAAACCGAACTTTGGTGCAAGATCATGAGAAATACTTTGTCAAGCCACAATGCTCTCCTCGCTTGGGTACCTGACTAGTTGAGCCATGGTTCCAATCAATCATATGGATAGCTAGCACCCTGCTGAACTGCCAAAGTCACATACAGAATGCGGAATACACTAACAACACGCAGGCTTGCGCCAGATGAGTGACTTTTTTTTTTTGACCACATTTTCGCACAGTTGAGAGAGGGGGTTTCCGTAGCCCGAGTAGAGAAAATGGCAACCTAGGTATTTCCGAGCCCGCCGACCGGGTCTATCAGTCTGTCGAGCATCCCATGGACATGAGGAACTCAAAGAGGGACTGATTGACTGAGTCGCGAGCAAGCCGAGCTTTTGGGACCCTCTGTTTCCCCCCATGCTGGCCGCTCTTGCATATGTTGCTCGTGTCTTCTCCATTGCGGGCACCGGGTATTGCCAAAGCTCGTCAGAACTCTTGACGGGCATTGGCTACCAAGAAAGTGATCCGAGAATGCGCCTTTTTCTTTCCCTCGTTTTTCCTTGCTGGGCAACTCGCTGAACGTTGGCTAAAGGCGGACCAGAGTTGCGTGCCTGCATACACGCAACGCACAGACGACGGCGCCAGAGCCGTTTTTTCTTTTCTGTTTCCACTGTCCCACAGAGGCGGGACGACTGCCTATTCGCTCAAAGGCGGAGGTGATGGAGAAGCAAAGCTGCAGACTTGACCAGACAGGCGGGGGCCGGGGATGGTGTACGTAGTGTTAGTGGCCCGAAGGAGCCATTCCACAGCTCGTATGGCGGACCAGCAGTGAGTGTGACGGTATCCATGGCTATGACTGCAAGATACGCAGGGTAGATCTCTGTACGTATGCTGCTTCGTAATCCGCATTTCAATCCAGGTCAGCTTCCAAGTCGCGTCTCGCAGTATGGCGGGCGGGTACGTAACGCGGGACCGAGGGCGAGTCGCACAGCGTATCCAGAGCTGCGTAGGTACGGACGTAGGCCAGTCCCATTTTCGAGGCGAAGGGAGGACGGGGACGGCACGGTGCAGCGGTGCGGCAGAGCAAAAGCAAGCGCACATGGCAGTGTATCCGTAGGCCGCCAAGCGAAGCCGAGGCCATCTGCAGGGGCAGTGGATTAGGTACGGCCTGGACATCCAATGGGCATGGCAAGCAAGGTCCCAAAGACGCAGAGTGATGGAAGTGGCTTCGATTGGGTTCTGGCTTTCTGATACTGGCGATGGCCGGACTGGCGGTAGGCACTTCGTAAGTTCGTGGTCAGGTTCTGGCATTCTGCGGGGCCCGAGAGACAAGAGGTGCTATCCGTATCCGTACAGCCTACTGCCAGGTTCTGCAGAACGGGGCTTTCCACCGTCCATTGTCGAGCCGGTGAGAAAGAAAGTTTGCCAGGCCCTTATTACGTACCTTGGCTGTTATACGCAACTAGGCGACGCAATGTGCAGTAGTCCGCAGATGAACGTACGCGGTGTGTTCTCTTTTGGAAAGAGAAAAGGAACAAGATCCCGGTCGGATTCCACGTAGTATCCGCGAGCTGGAGAGGGCACCAGGGTTGGCCGAGGGGACGGGAAGGAAATCCAGGGCTCCGGGGATGGATGGACAAGTGAGAACCCTCATTTTGGGACAAGAGATGTGGGTGGGTGCTTTGTTGGGATCCCGTATCCTGTATCTTGTGTCCTGTGTCCTGGGTTCCTGGGAAGATTACCGCCAGGTGAAGGTCGGATTGGGGACTCGCATCGAAATTACTGCAGACTGATTCAGAGCGTTGCGTTGTGGGTTGGTAGCGCGGTTGTAATGAGGGATTCTGATTGGGGAATTGATTGACATTGGGTTTACCAGACCGAATGCAGTGATGGACGGATAAGGCGGGCGAATTGAAGAAACGAAATGAAGCTTTCCAGACGGTCGGATAGCAAGTCATGGCTAGCCTGTCTGGCAGCTGTCTGGTAAATTGCACGTCTTTCCGGGACAAAGTGAGGAGAATTTAGCAAATGGCGACTGACCGGGGGATGCAGGCGGGACAAAAGTAAGTAGTGCCCTCGTTGCTGTATTCGTACGAAGTTGCGGAGAAAGTGTACGGGCAACGGAGTCGTGAAATTGAGAATGAGATGAAGTTTCCATCACACTGGGGGAGGAACTACGAATACTCGTGTTGCTGCGCCTGTTTAATTTTCTTCTGCTTTCGATCCCTTCTCTATCCGTACCTACCTACCTTCCCTCACATTAAGGTGTTTGTGCCTTACTCAGATGCATGTAACTTGTAACTTTTGTGAGTTAAGGTACAAAAGTATCCGTAAGGTACCTTAGGTACGTATCACAGCTCTATCGGATCGGCAGCTTGCAATCTGATTATGGCCTTCCGCTCCGGCTCTGGCTCCGGCCATGACTCTGACTGGTCGGTCCAAGTGGTCGTTTCCGGAAGGAAGACGGACACAAGGGAAACATGGCAGTCCGGAAAAGCGAGACCCGTTGCGTAGGAAGGAGACATCCAAGGCGGGCACGGCGGGGACGGGGACGGGGACGGGGACCAGAGAGGCAGCGAGGTAGAGACACACCTGGAGACGAAGGACTCTAAAGGGAAAGAGAGGGCGCGAGAAAAGCATGTCCAATTCATTGTACGGATATATCCTTGCCTGTTCCTGCCTATGTCTGTTATTAGGTAAGGTACCTACCGACACCGTACGTGTTTTGATGTCGAGGAAGGCAAGAAAGGGCTGGCGCAACTTGAGTGTCTGGGTGTCTGAGTGTCTTGCTCCTGCCGTTCTGAACTCCAGTCTCCTTTGAGTCCTTGACTCCTTCCGCCGTTGAGTAACCGGGGCTCCACACCGTTCTCTCCCACGAGTCCCAGTTGGACCTAGCGTGTCTTGAATCTCCACATCTACACCTGCCTCAGTCTTCCACGGATGGCTGCAGCGAGCACGCAGACGGCAGCAGCACCACCGACCCCGAGTTTAACCCTTCGTCCTTTCGACAGTGCGACTGTTGGAATCTCACCGTCCCAGGACAAGGCAGGAAAAGGAACACAAGGCAAAGGTGGGAATGGAGACGAACTGCAAGTCGTAACTCGCAACTGCGTGCTGCCCTGAACTCCATGACCTGATCCACTTGACCCAGTCAGTAACCAGGGGTCCTGTTCAATCCACAGCAGCCAGAAATCCACAAACACATGGAACCTGGAGGGGACTTGGGTTGGCAACTGCAACTGCAACCCATGGTCAGTCTTTCTGGTCCTTTTTCGCCCTCTCTATTCGTACATGTTGCATACAATTTATCAAAGTACCTGGCCGGTCATTTACTCGCGAGTTGTCTTTTTTATCAATGTGGCAGTTTTCCATCGCCTCCCTGGACAACCCTCATTCACCAAGTCATGCCTCCAAGCTCCATGTCGACACTCGACTCAAGTCCAAGGCGGCACAGGCGGCGGTTGGCTTGCGTTGTCGTTGCTGAGGTGGGGTAATCGGCGATATCTCTGGGTCACGGAGTTCTAGGCCTAGGCCATTGCTTTTTCTTCGGCCCAAGGTTGGGACCTGAGAACTGGGATGGCACAGAACTATGGATATTCACTAATCAGAACTGCAGAGTCAGAGAGAGAGAGATTCCCGAGCCTTGTCTCCAAAGCCCCGATGGTGGACGGACGGACGGCTATTAAGCAGTAGGGATACCGAGAGCGAGCCTTGGTTGTTCAACGCAACCCGAGGTTGTCAGACTTCTCGACACTTGCGTCTGACTTCCATTTCTACATTCAACATACCATGAGTTGTCGATGCTGTCGCAGCTTACCATAAGAAGTAAGACCTTGGAATCACGGCGGGACGATTCTCCCGAATCAGAAGGGAAACAGGTCCGTTTACCCCAGAACAAATGCAACGGCATCCTCCTCATCCTCATCCTTCTGGCGGGCCAAGGTTCCAATGGAAAGCTCCCCGACATTGGAGCCCGCCAACCCTGTGCTTGCGCATGTGCCTGTGCCTGTCAGACAGCTCCCTGGTTCTGTTCTCACAAGCGACCCTTTTCCTCGAGCCAAGTCCGGCATCTATATCACCAAATACTACCGCAGGCCACCATTGGCTCGAATGTCAGACCCTTCGATTGGAGCGACACGGGGAAGAAGGGTGGGCGGGTGCTATGGAATTCAATGCACTGTGAGCAAGTCCGCTGCGCAAGAAACGGAACTATGAAGCCGGTCCATGTCAACGTTGCAACGGTTGGACGTCAAGGGTGTTCTGCAGTACACTAGACGGCGCTCTCTCCCGCCCCTCCAGCACCAGCTCGCCTTGTCTTTTTTGGCTACCTTGCTCAGCCGAACGCACGGTAGGTTGTGCTAACCTGCCAGTGGCAGCAGGAGACCACTGTCAAGGCACTCCCGTACAGTATGGATATGGTTGAGAATCTCTCAACTGTTCGTCGTGGAGTTTATTCTGCCCGCTCTCTACTTGACGCAACACTTCGCTACATTGTTTGTGTTTCTTGTGGCAGCCTATGTCACCATAGGTTATCGAGCCGCCCAGAGTCTGATATAGAATTGGAAACAATGAGGTTTATGACGTCTTGTAAGGCCGCAAGGCGAGCGAAAAGGTTACTTTAGCGAGAGTCAAGCGAATCCAGCCTCTTTGCACTTGGATTCGGAATCGGACCAGTCAACTCTTCACCTCGTCGCGCCTTGTGGACGCCCGATGGAACAACTCTGAGTATCTATCTCACCCATTCCACTGACTCGATTTGCTAGAGAATACGCGGCACCACCAGCCTCGTCAGCAAGTACCTGAACTACAGCGAAAGAAGCCATCATTCGCACCGGTAGCCTTCCATTGCAGTCAGACTCTGGTTTGTTCATTTCTAACCGATATGAGCGTCTCCCGCGGGCATTTTGGTCAACCCGCTGCCACCTTCGTTGCTATTCGCTCAGATTGACCATTTGTCGTTGGTCCCAACCATTACTCTCTATGCTGATCCTTCCGCATGCTGCCTTGCAGGATATCCAAGAGCTATTGCCCTGCGGCCGGGAAATTGGATACGTCGTGTTGGAGGGTCGCGTCTCCGGCCACTTAGGTGCTAGAAGCCTAGAACATCGGGGGCAATTCTTCATCAAACCATACATGACAACAACAACAACAACAACAACAACAACTAGGCTTCCAATGCAGCTTACGGATAGCTAGCTAGCTGACTTGCAGCCTCGGCCGACGACATGAGGAAAGAAAGCCATGCTTACGCCTCAGCGCTCAATCAGCTGTTGTTACCTCGTCCGTAGACGATCGTCTCGCGGGTTGTCTCTTGGCGGTTGCAACGCCGTCATTTCCAGAACGCAAGCCCTGGGACGTTGTTGGACTTTGCCTCATTCGTGCATTTCTCTTTCCAAGATTCATGGCCGGGCAGGTCGGCTAGGACGGCCGATTCCAACGCCGTCATTCGCGAGCTAATACCAGCAAGTCTATCCGCAGACGTGCCGCTCAACGCAACGGATATCCGCACAGGTTCCACAATGATCAACGACTCCTGTCAGACTGCATGATCGGTCCAAAGGACACGGGACAAGGCATAGAAAGGAAGAAAACAATTAACCGTATCCTGAAGAAACACAGAGGCGGCAAATGCCAACTATGAGAAGAGGAAACACCTCATTCATCCGGCCGAGGCTCCATTTCCAGGTCTCGGGCGCAACAAAGAAAAGGTCAACCGAAAGGCAGACAGTTATCAATATTGCTTGTGCCGTTGCTGCACGTCGAACAAAATCCGGAATCGGTTGCCCTGTCCAAGGCCTTGACTGCGGAGAAGGATGGGATTCCAGGGGAACACATGCCTGCAGCATTGTCTTCATTCAAAGTCCTCTTTCAAGGGACCGATCTTCAAGGGCTCGACTGTCGCTTTCTCAACGACACGCCTATGTCCCCGGAGAGGGATAACATCACTTACTTCTTTCCTAGACCCGAAATGCCAGCTGGCGTTCCATCGATCGACCCCAGGGCAGCGTCGCGTTAGTTGCAATTAGCCGCGGCTTCACGCAATTGTCTTCTTTGCTACCCCTAGATAATGGAAAATTGAGCTGGAGGAATGCCGAAACTGCTGCATACGACGTTGGCGACCTATTCCCTTCCCTTTCTTCTCTTCCCAAATACTGGAATTGAACGGTCTACAGTATGTCTCGACAGAGTCTCTGCTGAGGACCGGCGATCAATGACCGACTCTCAAGTTCTCAAGTTCCAACCCCCGCGTACCTTGGAGGATTCGGCGGGATACATAACCCTGCACTGTGCCACCGCGAGGCATCGAGTACATTGTTGAACCAGCATAGGCTAACGACAGATTCGTCAGTCGGTGTGACGGTCCAACTGCTAGCTGCGTGCTGCCGATGCCCTCAAAGAAGCGCTGATCGGCCTTGCGAGTCTGCAAGGTCCCGCGAAGCTTACATGGAAGCCCCAGAGAAAGCCAGATGGCCCGTTTTCGCGGCCTACGCCGTGCATGCATGAGCATATGGGCAAAAGGCCAGCCTTTACTCCGTATCTGTATCGCCACTGGCAATCGCCGAGAGATACAATCACCCAAGCCTCAGCATTTTGTTGGGACCAGGTGGCGCCTATCTTACTGCGTGAACGAAGTTTCTAGATCGAGGCAGCAACCATCGTACATACAATACAGCGACATGTCATTACACCAACCTCTGGACATTTTCCAACTTCAGGGACAAACCACCAACAGGTGGACCGAGTGTCACACTTCTCCCCAACTTCCATCCGGGGGGATGCTGGTGAGACGGGTTCGCGTTCAGTGCTCCTGATTACCTAGCTGTCAATTCTGGCAGAGAAGCTTGGACTCTCGACTCGTCCTCCCGTCACTCCAATCTCCCCAAGTCCCAACAAGCTTCTAACATCACGCCACAGTCACCCGCTCACTTCTCAACCCCCGTGCCTCAGCAGCGCCGTCCGCGGATTACCCAACCGTGACTAACCTCCCTCTGACCGTCTTGTTAGAAATACGGCCGATCTTATTGCAAAAGCTAGGTGTAACACTACAGCGAAAAGTCTTCAAGGGAATCGTGTCATCGATCGAGAGTTTCAACCGCTGTACGACCGCGCCCCGAGCAGGGAGGATCCCGATAGCTTATCCAGACCGGCGCCGGCTCCTCATGTGCCGTCTGCAGACCCGGTGCTGCTGTCTCCGACTGCATCCACTCTATCGCTCTTGAGTCGTGAAGACAATGAAGAGCAAGGCTTGGGCCATGCTGCTACTGGATGGCAAGCCGGCCAGCTTTCCAGAAATGGACCGTCGTTTCATCTGCTCTGCCTAGTTGAGTGCCGTGAGGCCTTGTCGGCAAGCAATCCCTCTCCAGAAACAGACGACCTTTGAAGTAGTATCGCGGATCGAATGATGTTCCCTGTCAAAGTCCGCGTTGCTTGGACCCAGAGTTCTGCCCATGCTTCTGGGAGTCCATATCTGCAATAGCAGCTTTTCTATTATAGCGCTTTTCCTATCGCTTTCTTGTCCGTCTCTCGAAGTTCCCACACTGTTCACCTGTCACGCTGGAGTTTCATCACGTCGACGCATACCAGCCTCTTCTTATACAGACGGCATATATACCGAGTTATCGAGTGCAGATGATGGGGACATCGCCGACGCAGTGTGTAAGCGATGCGACAGCGAACCAGGGTTATCGCCGTGTCCGTCAGAGAGCATCCGGCTCATCGAGACTCCAAACAACCCGGGCATCCTCCGGCCCCCAAAGCCGTCGATCCCGGGAGCGGCGTATGGCTTTCGGACGCCCACCTTCGGATGGTCCATCGACGAGCTAGGCACAACCCAGAGGTTCTTTGTCAATCTCCTACAATCCAGCGCGTAACGTTTCCAGAGGCAGTCCTGTCAAACTTTGGCCGCTAACGCTCGGACGGTAGTGATCAGCAGAAATATGAAGGAAGTAGGCGTGGGATGGAGAGAAAAGTTTTCTCCGCCGGCGCTCAGACTCGGGTCTGTCGATCCTTGCCCTAGAGTAGCAGAGCCAGTCCTCTACGGAGTACGGATACATACTTGGGCAACACGTCAGTCGACAGACAGGGCCAGACCATGAGGTTGAATGTCTGACGCTGATCGAACCAGACACGACTATTCTTGTCTCTCTGGTCTCACTATCTGCCCTCAGGATACCTCATCTCCATGTTTGGTATCCTAGACGGTGATAAACCGCCCGATCTGGACCTGACGCCACCAACGTTATTCCCTGTGTTGTCCTGGTATGGATGTCAACTGAGGAGATTCGATGCGAGAACGTTTGAATGTACGTACTGCATACACGCAAGCGCGGTGATGGCGTCGACACTCGACACTGACCTGCAGGGTCATCTTGATATCTGATCTCATTCGATATCACACTTGCTTGGGTCCTGGCTTTGTCGGATACGACCAACGAGATCCGGCTCCTCCAAGGCTCCAATGCCCATCCCGGGCACCCTTGACAACCCGAACTCTGGCCGTGCGCATCCGGCCCGTTGGTGTTTGGCGAATTGTATGTTTCGGGACGCTTGATGTGCCCAAAACGCGCTTACAGGCAGACTGACGGACGGACTGACTGAACATTCTTCGAGCCGCTCGCACAGACAATGCAGACGATGCTAGTCGTGTCGTTGATGGGGAACAGAGAGACGTGTTGAGTTTGCTTGTTGGTGCCGTATTGTTGTTGCTTGCGTAACTGCCGGCGTTCGTCGCCGGGGTCAAGGAAGACTATTGGAGCGCGGCGTGGGCGGAACAGTCTTCCCTTCTATTCCCCTTCACGTCCCCCATGCGAAGGATCGACCTGTTTCGGCCAAATTCGAGGGATCGTCCGCCCCAAATTCGGAGGATATTGGCTTGGGATGCGGGAGAAGCCGGGGGGTGAGGGGCACTTTTTCTAAGTGGGCAAGCCACCATCGACAGAACATGTCCAGGATTGCATTTTCGTGTTCTCTGTTTCTATCGCGATGGAAATTGGCCCGCAATCTTGTAGATGGGGTTCGTCGTCGGCATCGGACGGGGGTTCTGCTCTGCTGCGCTGCTTGCCGCTGGACGCGCCCCTGCCAGTTCGACAACCGCGACTCACGAGGCAGACTGGCAGTTTCCGGAGCTCTCTCCTCTGCCCGCCGCTTCTTCTGCGGGAGTCTCTAACGATACAAGATGTGATTGAGGAAACATTTGAGCTAGGAGAGCTCTTATGAGACGATTTGAGAAAAAGGGAATTTCCCGCACAATGTGGCTTTCTGTCTGTGCCCCCCCTCCTCACGTCTCGACGACTGTTGGGCTTTTGCTAAGGTACCCGTAGCCTCGTGACTAACGCGAGCCCGCCGCGCCACCCTGCAGCTAACAGCCTAACAAGCTGCTGGACCCAAAGTCAAAGTAGACCGCGGGTCCAACGGACAGCTGTCAAGTAGGCTGTGTCTGTTCGCCTGTCCCGCATGGATTTGGGTCGTGGTACTGGTTCGTGGTAGGTAAGGGTATCACAAACCCGCGTTCTTCTTTCTTCAGGGGTTTTTATCGGAGCTGTCCCCGAGATAGCTCAATGGAGAGTGTCTTACTCTGAGGCAACACCAACGCGGCGTCTCGATGAAGGGGGGAGGGGAAGTGGTGCCGAGTGATGGGGAGTTTGTGACGATCCTGCTTGATATTTGGTCTGTTTCATGACCAGAGAGCTTAGCTACATCTAGCAGGACTTTGTGAACTTTGGCCGTGGCTTCACATGCTGCGCGTGGGACCTGCAGCATTCCCACCGAGGTTTTTTTTTTGCGCCGTGAAGAAGTCGAAGTAGATGTATGAAGCTTCCTTCGTGGACTCACTCGTCAGACGAGCGAGGGGAATCGTCGTGTGCCGCAGGCACTCCACCCCTGAGGGCATTTCTTGAACTTTCTGACTTTGGTTTAGACCGCTTCAGCCACTTTGGTTCCTTGGGGGCCGGCTCGTGGAGAAACAGGAAAGTACGCTAATGCCGAGCTTCAGGTACTAGTAGCTAGTAGGGTGTAGTCTTTGGAGTCGTGGGCTCGTGGACTCCTTGGAGGATGGGGAGAGAGAAGAGACTAGAATCAACCGGTTGACAATTTGACGGCGCCGCCTCCCCCCGTTCCGCCTTGGTTCTATCTCTCTTCCGATTTCTCCGAGGTTTGCTGTTGGCTGGTTGGTGATGATAGTTTCTCGCTGGAACTTGTCCTAGTGGAAATGACGGAATCTATCGTACAACACCCTCAACTGCGAAACCGAACTTGTGAAGCTGGAGCGTATGACTATTGGCAACGGCTTTTGAGCTTGTCTTGTATAGCGCAAGTGCTTTTTGTCTCCTTGGGTTGTGTGTCGGAAGGAATATCTTCTCTTTCCTACTTTAGGTAACTCAGGTAAACATCGGATCGTCACGGGGAGAACCGGCTGGCTTTGCGGGAACCAGGGAATGATGGAGGGGAGGGGGGCTAAGGTAGCTAGAGTCTAGAGAAGGGGCTCCGGTGTGCCACTTTTGCCGTTGATTCGGGTTCTAGAGGATTGCGAGGCGTTCGGGCGTGTGCTGGATGGCTTTTTGCGAAGTAGGAAAACTTGCTCATCATGAATTGCCAATGACAAGCTTTTAGTCCAATGTGCTGTGGCGTATTTGGATGGAGGCGACGGGAACTAGCTGCAGAGAGAGCTTGCGAAGACTGAAGGATAAACCCCCTTACATATCTTTGATGACGAAGATGAAGGCGAAGATGAAAGAAAAGGGGGGCGAGAGAACATCTTCGCGTTTTTCGAAACTTTATCGGCTGTCTGGCTTGAGATGGATATGGACCTCCGTTTGGTCTGTGACGCCAAGAACGGGGACTCGGTGATGGAAATCCTTCACAGGGAGCCGAGGGAGACTTGGTATTCGGACCGGCTGTTTAGGCTAAGATAGACGAGATGGCAACGGTTGGCTGAGGGCGAGTGGCGTTGAACGTTGGATGTCCCAAAGAAGGGGGAAAGAGGAGCATGAACTTGGAGTCTTGAAACAGTATCCTCTCTTCGTCTTTCAAATCACGCAGTATGAGATGGATGGCCAAAGTTTTCCAGAATGTTGAAGAAAGCGTACAGGTTAGAAGATGAACATTCCGAGAGGAGAGCACACATTGCAATTTGCGGCAAAGGCTTCCTCTTTTTCGATGCCAAACAGAGTCCAATCACTATCACGTAATTCTCTACTTCGGAACAGTAAGCCTCTGTTGCTGGTGTACATACATTGAATGAAAATCAGGTGACGAGATACTTTATTTGCAGAGGGCGAGCTTTTCGAAGCACCTTTGGCCAACGTCAAGTAGAATAAAAGCCTCCAATAATGAGCACGTGAAGGGACCGTAGGCAAAGATACGCTGGCACCCAATCTTTTGAGAGCAGAGCCCGTGGACGCGGCCGCAAGTGCTGAAGCTTCCAAGACGTTGACGACGTCGAGGACGATCGAGGGGCGCGCGCCGCCTGAGTAAAGCTGGAGCGGCCCCATTCACGTCCACGGGCGACGAGAGGTGGCTGGTGACTTTCTCTTGATCCTTTTCAACGGCTAGGTAAGCCAGGGGACGTCGAGATATGTGTTCTTACTTGCGTGAAGCGCAGAACTTGGTTGGATAAGATCATTGGCAAACAGTGCCAAATCTGCTAATTAAGAGTGCTTTTTTGTTTTTCCCGAAAACGGGAAGTCTAGAGGAACACTCCGTCGTGTCTGAAAATCGCTGAAAGCTGCAGAGTGAGGGACTCGCTGGGAAAATTGGTCTAGATGGTAGCAAGACATGCTGGTTCTAGCACAGCTCGAACGTGATTCTGCAGGTGCCGATATTTGGTCGCTCTCAAGTCACCCGGTATGAGATATCCTAGACCCATGATGCTTACTGGATACGTTTTCCGAGATCAAAAGACTGGATTACTGAAGTAACATTGGGATATAAGGCGTATGACATTTCATTGCATTGTATCCGTGTTGTTTCGTGTAATTTTATGGATGTTGTTTATATTAACCCTCTAACTAGTAAAACCGAGATATCATATCTTCCCGGGTAAAAATCTAGTGCCCTCGACCATGTACTTCGAAAGGACCAACTTCTTAAGCTGGAAAGCGACCCAAGCCAGGTGATGAGTCTTCTCACATCAGAAGAGGGATGTTTGTGGCAGATTTCCTTCAATATGTGCCCGTTTAATTTGACTTTAGATGATGTTGAATTTTCGCCCAACCTTTCTTTACACAAACAAAACCCGTGGTTCGGTATTTTCTTCCCAATTTCATTCATTTCCCAACCCCAAAAACAGCCCGATGAAACTCCTTAAGCCATAATATGAAAGCTCACAAATTCGAAAATGTACTGCTTCATTTCCAGAACCAGCTGCCCTTGTCGTCGACTCCGTCATTCTCTTGCTGGTCACGGTCCCTGTTCTTGTGCCCGCCGGTTGAGAAGCTCGCCGACCAAGAGTAGTTGGACTGTCTCTCCGTCTGCTTACCAACCTCCTCACCTCTGTCATTATAGGTCGTGACGGTCTTGGTGATGTGTACGTTTCCCTTGCCGTCCTCGTGTTCCTGCACCTTTTCGACGACGCGCCATCCTTGAGGCAGACCTTGTGGTGTGAGGTCCTTCGTCGAAGAGTAGTTTCTGGGGGTGGGTGACGTTGACGTTGACGTCTCCCGTGAGGTGTTCAGACGAGCTGACCCCATGACTGAAAAATATGAATCTTCCTCCGTTTCCCTGTGTTCCTGTTCCGGAGTAACCGGAGATTCCCGTGCCGTACTCTCTTCTGTAACAGGCACCCGCCTCTCCTCTGAAGCCGAGTCAGTCCGGGAAGATCGGGACCTTCGTTCGTTGAAAGGGTCGTTTTGCTCTTCCAACCACCGCTGCCAACGCTCACTCACGGCCCTGTCCAACACCTCTGGCCTTGGTTCCCATCCATCCCACAGACCTTGACGAGTGAGCTGGTGAAGCCACAGCATCGGAGGCAGTCCGTGAGGGAACGAATCGCGGACCTCCTTCCTGAAGCGGACGCGTTCGTGAATATCAGAGAGACCCTGACCGCTGCTCACCATGAGCAGATCCTCAAACGCATCCTCGAATCCGAACAGGGTCGGGTCCTCGCCATTGGGAAGGTCCCGGGGTACAGGCTGCGGCAGTTCGTGGAGTCGTAACGGCGAATATGGCGAGTCGATGATGAACGAGAAGCACATGAGCTGGTACAGAGACTCGGTAACCTCTTCCGCCTTGAAGAGGGCTGAGATGGACGACATGGGACCGAAGAGGTCAAAGACAGTAGGGCGCGAGTACTGCGTGGATGAATCACGGGGCTGCAAGCTGGTGTTGTCGTCGGTGAGAGCTTTTCTGCTCTCAAGCTCTTTGTCACGGGATGACAGAGGCGGTTCCGGCCATGAGCTGTTGAGGCGTGATACGGCCGAGGGAATGCCTAGGAATCGCTGGAAGGCCAAGGCAACGTGGTCGTCGACTTTCTGTTTGAATCGGACGAAGACGTTGTCGGAAGAGTTGCCGTTCGACATGGTTGAAATAAGATGGGTTGTTTGATGTGTTTCGAAGCTATAAGTCAATGACTTTTGCGCGTGAGTGTCTCAGTGGATGAGACGTGTTGTATGTGAGTATGCTGCCGTGGTAAGCAGTTCGCGGGTTTGCCCTCGGATGCCAGTCAAAGGCTCGAGGCCTACATGGGAGGAGGTGAGATGTTGCTTGCTGGAACAAAATTGACAAAGGAACAGTTGATGAATATGACGACGTTGGCAAGATCAGGTCACCCGGCAGTGGCGATCGGGGAACGGCGGGGTCTCCTAGCAGGTGTGCGGTCGATTGATAGGCCGGAGACTCTGAAGTTCCGACAATTTCCCAACAACCTGGGATTCCATTGGTGGAGAGCACGGTGACGGCACGGCTTGACGGTGCACGGCGGGAGGAGCCCACGCAGTAGGGTATAATCGTTTAAACGGGGCACTAGACACCTCGATAACGGCTACGAGTACGTCGGCCTAGCAAATGCGGATACGCTGATGGACCCCGAGGCTTGGCCCGGTTGCCCCGGCCGGTTGCGTTCCAAGCGAGCCGCTGTCTCTCGCGACTCGGCCAGTACCTGAGAAAAGGTATCCGTACCTCCCACTTGGAGCTGTGGCTAGACTTAGTTACCTTTGGTCGGTGTGGCTGCTCGATGAAAAGACGAGACTAGGTAATCCAGAGGCACCATAACAGATTCCTGCAATACTTTGCTCTCACATGCAAAGGCAACTAACTACCTTATTGTTCGAAGCTCTTTCAACTCACTGCCTGCAATTTTCTCTGTGTACCGTCTGCGAAATGACAGCATTGAGCAGCAGATGCTGAAAGCCTGGAAACCCCCACATGTCGCCTGAGCCACACTTTACATTTAATAGAATCAACCCTGGCCCCACCTTTCCATGCTGGTTGTCTTTGATTCTTTCAGGGACCTCCTTTGAGAGGAACGTCGTTTTGGTGGCTCTTTGACCGGGGGATTGTTTCCCCCCCTTCTGATTGAATGTGGGAACGTGCTTTCACTTTCATGCTCCAAAAATGCCCAGACCCGCGCGTCAGTGTCGGGTCGGGCCTGTATTGTCGACCGATGTGTCGAAACTGAGTGTCGGACCCAGAAGAGGAGAAAGTCGCGGCAGGAGGAGCGTCACCCAAGTAGTAGTACTTTGACATCGTAGCGGCTGCTCAACGCCTGTACTTCGTACTAAAATCTTGATTGATCCATCTTATTCCTGTCCAGTACCTAAGTACCTTCTTACTGCCTACCTACCTTACCTTACCTTACCTCAAGCTATCTTTTACTCTTCCAACGTTACAACAATACCTTGAAATCCTCATCTTCTTAACGCAAATCCTCATGGCCGGCTACGACGATTTGCTTTCCCTCAGAGCTTGAGGTCCCTATTCCCCTCATCGTTTGCGCAGTCCAGATGATACTGCGTCTTGGCCGTGTCCAACCATCCGTCGCGCTTGGATGACCGGCACTCAATTCGCGCCGTCGTCATTATCTCCAGCCTGCGCCAAATTAGCACCAAAATCCCCCAGCTGCTTCGAAAAAAATAGCTTGTGATCCGACCGACCGCGATACGACTTGTCCCCTTCTACCTCGCCTCGACATACACGACCCAGCGAGTCGTCATGACGGTAGCTGATGCGGTCATCGCCGCCGAGCCAGCGGCACGACCGGGCGACGATGGAAAGGACCTGCAGAACTGGTCCTCCCTCATCGGCATCATCACCGCCATCGTCGGCAACGTCCTTATCGCACTCGCCCTCAACGTCCAGCGGTACGCCCACCTCCGACTTCACCGTGAACGCATCCGGGTCCGACGTAGGGCGAAAGAGGCTCTGAAGCATGCGCCGAACGAAGGCCAAACGGGGCCCTACGGAACCGTTGGCGGAGGTGGAAGAGGAGGAGATACAGATGGAGACCTACCAGAGAATGGACAGAATGCGGACCACGATGCTGGCGAATCCGAGCCTCTGCGAAGATCATTCCGTTCCGAGGAGTCCGCTGGCTCCGACTACTCCGGCGACGAGGACAAGGCCCCCTCGACATACCTCCAGTCACCATACTGGTGGGCAGGTCAGATCCTGATTACATTGGGCGAGCTGGGCAACTTTCTGGCCTACGGCTTCGCGCCCGCCTCTATCGTTTCGCCTCTGGGCGTCGTTGCCCTGATTTCCAACTGCATTATTGCGCCGATCCTGTTCAACGAAAAGTTCAGGCGGCGCGACTTTGGGGGTGTCATCATCGCCGTGGCGGGTGTGGTCGTTGTGGTTTTGAGCGCCAAGCAGGAAGAGACAAAACTTGACCCCGACGATGTGTGGGACGCGATTACGACTTTGGCATTCGAAATATACTTGGCCGTAACGATCTCGTTGATTATCATCCTTATGTGGGCGAGCCCGAGGTATGGCCACCGGACTATATTGATTGATTTGGGTCTGGTGGGACTATTTGGTATGTGCTTTCTGCATTGGACGGACGTACAGACGAAGATGAACTAACCTTTGCTCTCTTTAGGCGGTTTTACGGCACTTTCAACCAAGGGCTTGTCTTCGATACTATCGACAACTCTCTTGGCTGCATTCAAGACCCCTGTCGCATGGGCACTAATCTTCATTCTGCTCTTCACGGCGGTGATGCAGGTGCGCTACGTCAACAAGTCGCTGCAGAGGTTCAGTTCAACCCAAGTCATCCCGATTCAGTTCGTCCTCTTCACTCTCAGCGTCATCATTGGCAGCGCCGTGCTGTACCGCGACTTTGAGAGAACATCAGCTGAACAGGCCGGCAAATTCATTGGCGGTTGCTTGCTTACCTTCTTTGGCGTCTTCCTCATTACTAGTGGTAGAGTTGAGGAGGACATGGATGATGGCATGTCTGATGTGGATGGCGTGGAGGAAACGATCGGCCTGGCTGAGCAAGACGGCTACAGTCCGACCCAACCACTCCCGCCTTCTTCCACCTCTATTCCCTCGTCAACCTCACGCCGGTCGTCTCGAGCCTCCAACGGAAACAACACGAACAACGGGTCAAAGCCGTTTAGTTTGCAGCGCGATTCCGGCATTCCATCCCTTCGCGTTCCTACAACAGCTTCGGCGGGTAACATTACTGGCGCCGAAGCCGAACCGCTGTTGGCCAACCCCTGGAGCAATTCGGCGACAGAAGAAGTCCTTCCTCCGCCAGGCACCAGGACCATTTCAGACGAGTCTATCCACACTTTCCCCGGCTTCGGCTTCGGCTTCTCCCCGTCAGAGCCGACAACACCTTACTATGACGGACAAATCCAACCTAGATATCCCACAAATCCCACAGACAGACCCGTCACACCACGCACATCACTGCCGCCCCGGCCTCACAGCCACAACTACCCGGGGCCCCTCTTCTCCCCGTCCCCCCTCTCATCCACCGTGAGCGCGGTCGTCAAGGATACTCTTCTTAGGAACGCAGAGAGTCCGCTCCTGCGTAGGCCGTCGGTGCGTCGGCTGCGTTCCAGCATCAGAGCCAGCCTCTTCATGCCCGACGACAATGGCGAGGGCGCCGACGTCGACGCCGAGAGGCAAAATCTCGCAAGCAGGGGGGACGATCAAGACGGTGGCGTCGCGGAGCGCAGTCGCACGGCGGGCGAGGGCGCCTCTCGGGAACAAATCCCTGGGAGACAGCGGAGCCTGAGTGATACGCTGGGCGACTTTTTCAGGGTGAAGAAGAAGAGGAGGGACGGCGGTACAGATCCGGAAGAGGAGGTATAGGATGTTTTTTGGGGGGTTTCCGAATGGGACTTTGGAGGGAAGGAGGCGTCATTTTAATCGTTCCGCCAAGCAAAGCATTGCATATCGGCGTTCCTGGTAGAGAGAGAAAGTTTGCAATTGGGAATAACTGTGGTGTTACACTCGCAACACACCTGTCCATCGTTTTGAGGCGCGTTTGGTAGGAAATTGGGTATTGTTTTTGGGTTTGCCCGTGTATATAGACACTTTGTTAATAAGGAACCACGCGCGCACTGTTTGTGCGACGAACTCTACTTTCAATGTTAGGTTCCTATACCGTGATCTACGCAATTGTAGGTTGCCCTCTGCGTAGTGGGTAATGAGGAAGAGGGCCAACTACCAGAGAAGGCGAGCACGAAGCACGATGGGACGGATATTGTTTGCTGTGAAGTAGAAATTTGATACTTTTGAATAACCTTGGTGATGTGCATAACACATACTAAATAACAAGTCGCCCATGATTACCTTCCCACACAAAGATATGCCCCTCGATCAAACGAGCTAGCCTCGGGACGAAGCCTTCTTCTTCCTCATCAGTCGCTTTCTCGCAATGAGCAGCGGCTTGACATCTTCGCGATCAACCTTGCCCGCGGGCGCCTTGTCACCACCAGACTTCTTCTCCCCCTTCTCCTCCGTCTCCACCTTGGGTCCCTTGTTCAAGTTCCCCTTCTTGCCCTTCTTGCCCCCCTTCTTCTGGTCCTTAACGGAAGCCATGTTGGGAAGCTCCTTGCCGCCGTTCTTCTTGTCAAACTTGCCGCCCTTCTTTCCGTTCTGCGCGGCCTGAGGACCCGCCTGCGCGTTGGGCTTGTTGCGGTCCAAGTTCTTCTCGTTGGCCTTGCGGCGGGCGACGACCGAGGCGTTCTCAATGGCGAATTCGACAATCAGGCGCTGCTTCTTGCCCTGCTCGTTCTCCATCGAGTAGCCGTTGAGGAAACGCAGGCCCATGAGCGCCCAGCGGTGGGACGAGTACTCGATGAAACCGTATCCGCGGGACTTGCCGCCGCTCGTCTCGGGAACCTTGGTGCCCTCGCGGCTCTCAAACTCGATCTTGGCCTGGCGGACGATACCCTTGCGCTTGAGCTTGCGGTCGTGCTCGGCGTCCTTGTCCTCCTTTGCGCCTCTCACCTTCTCCTCCTTGGAGAGGGGCTGACGTCTACCCTCCTTGACATCTGTGGCGAACTCGACGCAGGCCTTACGGGCCAGCTCCTTGAGCTCCTTGGCGCCAATGTTGCGGGGGATGTTGCGGACTGCCAAACGGGTGAGACTGATGTGCAGCGAAGGGTTGCCCTGAACGAGCTTCTTGCGCTGCTTGGCGCTGTCCTCTCTCATCTTCACCTCGTTGGGCGTGAGCTTGTGGTACAGAGCAGATCTAGTGTCGAGCTGACCCTCGTTGAGCAGGAAGAGACGACGCTTATCCTTCTCCCGTCTCTTGGCACTGCCGTCGGCAGCCAGGCGCTCGGCGTCGTCTTTGCTGACTGCTTGAGCAACCTGCAACAGACGGCCGTCCAGAGTGTAACGGCCGTCGGAGTCTGCGGATTCGTCCTGCAACACAGAGTGCTTTGTAGGCAGGGTGTTGACTTGTGTGCGTGGCGCGCCCTTGATGCAGGCTTTTGAGTCTTCTTCGTTGACGAAGCAGACAAATCCGGTACCCGCAGGCCTATCAGTTGCTCGATCCATAACGACACGAGCGTATCTGACAGGACCAAACTTGACAAAATGCTCCTTTAATTGGTCGTCCGTAACGGTGAATGGCAGGTTTCTGATGAAGAGTGTTGATGTGTTGTCGGTTGATGTTGGCGCCTTTTTGACGGGCTTCTTCTCTTCCTCGTCTTCGCTGTCCTCTCCATCGGACAGCTCTTCATCCTCATCCTCGTCTTCGTCTTCATCTTCATCTTCATCCTCCTCGTCCTCGAGATTCATGATGTGGTTCTTCATGAAGTTCTCCAGGTCTGCGTCAGCTCCGGTAAGTTCCTTGCCGGCATTTTCATCTTCGGCTGGCTCCTCCTCGTCATCCTCCTCCTCCTCCTTCTGCTTCTTCTTCTTTGGATCTCTTTCCTCTTCCCTGCCGCCGTTGGCCTTTTCCCATTCGTCCTTGCCCACAGCCCAATCAACGGCAATGGTTCTTCCGTCAATGGTCTTTCCGTTCATCTCCAAAGCCTTCTCGGCATTCTTCTTGCCGCGAAGGGTAACGAAACCAAATCCTTTGAGCTTGCCCTTGTTCTGGGGAAGATCGGCAAACTTGACAATTCCGTAAGCGCGGAAAAGAGCACCCAGCTGCGCAGACGACTTGATAGACCAAGGAAGGTTTCGAATGATCAACTTCGGGGCTTTCCTGGATTCCTCAAGGTCGTCCGCACGCTTCTGCTTTGCGCTAGATGCGGCCGCGCCGACGGCACTCTCTTTAGAGTCACGAGTTCTGGCTTCGGCAACATCGACTTTGATGCGGCGTCCCTCCCATAGAATGTTGTTGAGCTTCTTCTTGGCCTCCGTGGCATCTTCGGCATCCATCAACGTAACAAAGCCGTAGCCTCGGGAAGCTTTGGTGGCCTTGTCGAGAACAACGGTCGCATGCTTGACAGGGAAATGTTCGGAGAAGAAATCGGTGAGGGATTCGCTGGTGGCGGTCGCAGGCAGAGATCGAACGAAGAGAGAGCGATTGGCTTCTGTTCGGGCCTTCTTGGCTTTCGGTTCTGATACAGCGTCTGCGGCGATGTTCTCTGCGACGGCAGCTGCGACGAGGGCATCGTGCTCGTCTTCCTCCGCTCGTGACCGCTTCAACGGCTTTCCGGGAGACGACATGTTGCGTAGTAAAATCCGGAATACACCGCACTGTTTACGATTGAGTTCTAAGAAAATGAATGAGACAAGTTCAAGCTGAAAACCTCGACTGTCGTAGGAGGTTGTGGAGAGACTTGGTACTCTATTCTGCTTAGGAAATGGCTGGCAATTCGCTGCTGCCAAAATCTTCGATAAGGATTTTTTTTTCTGGGCTTATCACCACGTGCGGGCACTTGGAGTCGGGAAGCGGGGATGAAGTTGACCGACCCCGCGCTATACCTCTTCCGGAAGTCTATTGACTTGCCCGTTGCAGACTGGATGAAAACAAAAACGCGCCGGGGGGTCAGTCACCCACTGTAATTGTGTGCGTTGGCAGCTAATTCGCGAACAGGGCGCCTGTCATCCATCATCCAGACTAATCAACAAACACATCATTTTTTGGCTTCATTAACAACGACAACTTTTCCCGTGTTTCACGCGGTCTCGACCGATCCGCTGCCATACAACGATAATACACGACGACAAACCTCAATATGCCGGCACGAGTATCGACTAGGTCCACGAGGACCTCAGCGGCAGTGTCGCACAAATCCTCCGCAGCGACCCTTGGCTCCCGAGCTTCAACAGCATCCCGCTCCTCATCAATCGCCGCAGATATCCCGACCGAAAGACCGGACAGTGAGCTTCGCGGCCAAGTATGCGCTGTATTCCGCGATGCGCAAAGAAACACAGCATCGCACCGCAAGTTGGTCGTCACATTGCGCAAGATCCAGGAAGCTTGCGCATACGAGCCGACCAGCGTGAAGAAAACGGCAGCAAACGACTTTGACGAGGAAGCCTTCAACTCCGAGTTCGTTCGATGTGTCCTGAGAGTTATGCCTATCAAGAAGGCAGAGAGTGTTGGAGAGAAGACGATTCGGTTTGTCGGATTCTTCCTACGACATGCGAACGACAAAGACAACGAGATTCTTGGAGAGGTCGACGAGGATGCTAGCATCATGCCCGAGACCCCCAGCACCAGACTCACCAGTTATCTCATGAGCACGATCTTGCCCCTGATGACGGCCAAGGATAAGTTTGTCCGATACAGATCCACCCAGTTGATTTCCCACATCATCAACTCCCTCGACGCCATCGACGACGACCTCTTCCAAAAACTCCGCCATGGGCTTCTTAAGCGTATCCGTGACAAGGAGGCAATGGTTCGTGCACAGGCGGTCCTGGGTTTGGGACGTTTGGCTGGCAACCAGGTTGACGCTGCCGCGAATGAGGACGGTAGCGAGGATGACGAGGCTAGCGGCCTCCTCGAGAAGCTGCTTGAAGTTATACAGAACGACCCAAGCGCCGATGTGAGAAGGTCACTTCTCGTCAATTTGCCCATTCTCCCAGCCACTTTGCCATACTTGCTGGAACGCGCTAGAGATCAGGATGCCCTGACTCGCAGAGCGGTGTACTCGCGACTGCTACCCGCCCTCGGTGATTTCCGACATCTCTCACTCTCGATGAGAGAGAAGCTCCTCAGATGGGGCCTTCGCGACAGAGACGAAAATGTCCGCAAGTCAGCGGGAAGACTCTTCCGCGAACGTTGGATCGAGGACTGCGCTGGTGTTCCGCCGCCCGAGGAGGGGGCACCGCCTGCGGAACCTGCGCCGCCAAACTTTGATGGCCTTCACGAGCTCCTGGAGCGTATCGATGTCGTGAACTCTGGCGTTGAGAATGGTGTTGCCCTCGAGGCGATGAAGGGATTCTGGGAAGGTAGACCCGATTACAGAGAAGCCGTCACATTTGATAAGAACTATTGGGAGACGCTTTCTGCAGAGTCTGTCTTCACGGCTCGCAGTTTCAACGACTTCTGCCGAACCGAGGGCAACGGCAAGTACGAGTCTCTAGTTGAGGAGAAACTACCTGAAGTGACTACGCTCGCGTTCTATCTCGAAAGATACCTCGGCGTCTTGATTGAGGCTATTAAGAGGGTCTCTCAGGCAGGTAGCGAAGAGGACGAAGAAGAGGACACGGTAGAGCAAGAGTTCATTGTCGAGCAGATGCTCCACATCGCCATCACTCTTGACTATTCCGATGAGGTTGGCCGTCGCAAGATGTTTGCTCTCCTCCGCCAATCCCTCTCGGTCCCTGAGCTTCCCGACGACGTAACTAAGCTTACGATCAGCGTTCTCCGAGACATTTGTGCTCCGGACAACGCTGGCGAGAAGGAGTTCTGCTCGGTGGTATTGGAGGCCGTTGCCGATGTTCACGATACTATCGTCGACGACCCAGCGCCCGATGACCGCACCGATGATAGCTTTCACTCGGCGAGGTCAGAGGTCAGTGGTGACACCACGCCCACAAGAAGTGGGAGCCGAAATAAGAGCCCCGAGCTCAGTGAAGAAGAGGCCAGGGCGAAGGCGGTCAAGGAAATCATGATCAACATGAAGTGCCTGCACATTGTGCAGTGCATGTTATCAAACGTCGCCGGCGACCTGCAGCAGAACGACCACCTGGTGTCCATGCTTAACAATCTTGTCGTCCCAGCTGTGCGAAGTCACGAGGCACCCGTCCGCGAGAGGGGTCTCGTCTGCTTGGGTCTCTGCTCCCTGCTCGACAGGTCACTGGCCGAGGAGAACTTGACGCTCTTTATGCACTTCTTTACCAAGGGCCACACTGCCCTCCAGATCACCGCGTTGCAGATTCTCACCGACATCCTCAACGTCCACGGCTCTCAACTATTGAGCTCAACACCAGCGTTGCTCAAGATCTACATCAAGGCTCTCAAGTCGGGAATCAGATCACCCGAGGTCCAGGCTGCCGCCACCCTGGCGGTTTCCAAGCTGCTTCTGGGACGTGTCGTCACTGACCCAGAAGCTTCAGCGGAAATGCTCAAGACGCTGGTTGTTCAGTACTTCGACCCCGTAACTGCTTCCAACCAGAGTGTCAGACAGGCTCTCAACTACTTCCTGCCCGTGTTCTGCTACTCCCGAGCAGAGAACCAGGATCTCATGCGCACCGTCGCTCTGGACGCCCTGCATGCGTTGTTGAACGTCCGTGAGAACTTGGAGGACGATGACGCTGATGTCAACGAGGAGATGGAGAGTCTGACGACTATTGGTGCTTGCCTAGTGGATTGGACTGATCCTCGCAAGTGCTTCAACCCTGCTACTGGGCTCGACTTGGAGAAGAAGACTGTCAATGGCGATATTCACCTGGAGTTCGCCCTGGACATTCTGGACCGCTTGGGCGGAAACTTGAGCAGTAAGTTATTCCATTCTCACCCACCCACATCGAGGCGATCGGTGCTAACACACATTCTTAGAGGAAGAGAAGAAGGTGGTCGCACCCCTCCTCGGAAAGCTGTACATCTCGCCCACGAGCACCGAAGAAAAAATCAGGGAAGTCTACGACGAGATCACCATCGCCGTCAACGACAAACTCGTCACCGACACCATGGGCCGCAACGCCCTCAACAAGATCCACGTCAGCCTGGGCAAGATCGTCGCCAACCTCGGCGAGCAGCAGGACGGCGAGCCGCGCCGCATGAGCAGGAGCGTCTCCGTCGCCGCGTCGCGTGCGGACTCCGTCGCGCCGTCTGTCGCCGGTTCTGTCGCCTCCTCGAGGCTACACGACGCCGATGAGGACAAGACTGTCACGTTGGAGCCTGATATTAAGGAGGAAGACGAGAATAGCGATGATACCGTGATCCAGAACACGCGGCAGGGCGACGGTGACTCTATCGTGAGCGAGCTGCTGTCTGATGAAGAGGGCGCGTGAGGATCAGGGCAATGAATGGGATGGGCTCTTTGAATTCGGGTGGTATGTTTTTGGCTTGACGGATACCTATCCCCGGGTCTCGGGAGCATTGCGGAATGGTTTTCTCTACAAGAATTTATGATCTATGTACTAGTAATGATGAAACTCCTTGCAGGATTGACAATGTCTTTGCTTTTATTTTTTCTCCATGTCCTGCGTAGTGTTACAAGTCTGCTACCTTTGGTGGCAGACAGTGGTGAATGCTTCGTCTATCAAGCCGATCCCAATCGGTACAACAAACCGGCAAACACAACGTTGACGAGGAGATGCTGTCCGACGGTCCAGGCCATGCAGTACAGGTACTTTGGCGAAAACACCGTCCAGACAAAGAGGTGCGTCCGTAACGCCTCGCACGCCACCATCACGAACGCGACGCTGCACGCCGTGAACAAGGTCATGTGCCCTACATGCCGCAAAAACACATGCCTGCCCTCGTCGCTCCCGGCCCTGCGGCCGCGGTATTGCAGGAGGAGCAGGTTCGTCGCGGAGGCCCAGTAGATAGGGCCGACCCAGTTGCTCACGAAGGTCAGGGCGCCGACGGCGACGACGTTGAAGCCCGCCACGCCGTTGTAGGCGCTCGAGAGGTCGACGGAGGAGATTGCGTTTGTGCCGCCAAAGGCGAAGAAGGAGGCGTACTGGAGGAGGAGGGAGGTTGTGGATAGGAGGGGCAGGGAGAGGTCGAGGGAGGCGAGGAGGGGTAGTTGGAGGGTGAAGAGGAGGAGGAGGGGGATGTTTGTGACGCGGGATTGGGTTGCGAGGAGGAGGGTGATGAGGTGGTGGAGGAGCGGGGAGGTGTGTCGCGCTTCGGTCTTTGGGTTGGAGAGGGCGAGGTAGGATGAGTAGAAGGCTGTTGTGCCGATGCCGACGAAGACGACGCGGGCTCGGGTGACGAGGGAGATGCCTTGGGTGAGAGTGCTTAGGGTTGCCAGGGGCCCGGTCACAAGCTCGGGGGCGTCTTCGTTGGTGAAGGCGAGCTTGAAGGTGAGAGCAGAAAGGATCAGGATGGCTGAGGTAGTCGCCACGGCGGCGCGGGGAAGGCCGCGGAGCTTTCTGAGTATTTGTGCAAAGAGGAAGAGGTAGGTTACGCTGACGAGGGTCCAGAGGATGGGGGGGCTTGTGACGATGAAGGTCTTGGCGATATCGGGCTCGCCGGCGTGCTTCTGGCCAGTCTGGTTCCATCCCCGGATCAGTCTGGCTGCTGTCAGGGCGATGAGGAGAGATGCGAGTGTTCCAAATGGTGACCGGGTGCTGTAGCTGATGTCAGTTTTGTAAGTCAAGGGTATTAGAAGTGTGCTTGGCACTCACGACTGCATCTTCTTGATGCCGATGACGCCCAGCCAGGCGGACGTGGCCCAGTACCAGAAATGGTGTTCTTCTTCTACGTAGCTGCTCGCGAACATCATGATGCCGTATGTGACTGAGATAGCCAGCAGCGGCAAGAGACTAAGTCGAGCACCGATGATGAGCGAGCCGGTAACGAGAACGACGACTGCTTCGCCAACGTGTAGCCTTCCCATATCGTAATTGCTGGCCATGCTGCTCATCAGATCTTGAGCTCTGCTCAGCCACTGTTGAATGTCAACACATATCCATGATCTGATACACCAAAGTCAGAGTGTTCACGTACCTTGGACATAGCTTCACGCCAAGCTGGATCTAACTCTGCCTCGTCATCCATGGTTTTGAGTGCATCGTTGACGCGGTGCCATTCACACGCTAGCTCTTGGGCATCATCTCGAGGGCTTGAGCAAGTCTTTTGGTCAAAGGTAGACCCTAAGTCAAACATCTCGGAGCCAAAAGTTGCCGTCACAATATTCAATATCTGTCGAGCATTGCGGACCAGTAATTGAATCTGATCATTTTCTGCCAAGCGTGAGTAACAGTACAATCGAAGTTGGGAGCCGCACAAACTCACTATTGGGCCAGAAAGGGAGGAAGTCGGAGATGAAGGCGCCGAGGTTGTTTTGCGGCACCGGGAAGCCCAGCAGAGCGCCAAGGGTGGGTGCCAGATCCGACTGCTCAATCTTGGTGTAGTAAGAAAAGTCCTCTCGAAACGGAACAGGGGCCTGGAGGTTCCGTTGCAATGATTTCAGTTTGGGAGAGATGAAAACGAGGGCCGGGGAGGTCTCTCCAGGGGAAGAAGCTCCGTGATTGCCGGCGTCATTCATGCCGTGATCACCGCAGAGAACCATCAATGTGGAAGACATGTGTTCTCGTGATTCCATGGCGTTGTATATACGTTTCACGATACCATCCATCTCATGTTGTTTCGGTACCATGTGCGAGCTGACTATAGTCAGCAAGGGGGACTTGGAGGGCAATCCAAAACCGATCTTACCTTCGCGGTCCTGATTTATGCCCGATGTGATCGAGGCCGAGATAGTGCAGGACTAACGTGCTCCAGTCGTCATTCTTCAGTTCGGTATCTATGTGCCTGGTGACATTATTGTCCACCTCGGTGAAGTCCTTGGAACAGTCAGTCAAAGGATAGGAAGGATGGATTATGAAGACTTACTGCTACGAAGAAGCTCGCGGTACCATCAGCACGATCAAAAGTGCCCGGAAAGAGCTTCAGCCATGTGTCATCGCCGTACATGAGCATTTTCCCGGTCTCCTTGGCTTTCATCTGGGCAAGCCAGGTGTCTTGAGCGGCGAGAGTCGAGGACGAATCCGCCTCGTCCAGGTTCAAGATGACGTCCAGGAAAGACGGGATCGAGCCAGTGGTGATGGCTTTGATTCTAGGCATGGTGACGGTTGGTGACCGCGCGTAGGCAGTGAAAGGCAGGGCGGCGCCATCGCGGATGAGTCTATAACATGGTTAACACGGTGGGAGTAAAACGATATGGTGCTCGTCGGCGTACTCTTGAGTATATGTGAAGCCGGTACCGTTCAAGTACACGAAATCGCTGTGATTTTGTCAGCATTGTCGAAACATCAGTGGTATAATGAGCGGCATTCACCTTCGTAACGCATCGACTACCATAAAGATGAGGCGGTCGAATGGTGCCGGTGGCGGCGGGCCATATTCAAGAGCTTCATACTGAGCCAAACCTGGCAGAACCGGCTTATACGGAAAGAAGCCGGTAGCAAAAGTGAAAACCGCCAGTGGAATCAGGATGTTGGCGATTGTGAGAAGAGTTGCCAGGAAGCCCGGGCCGTACCGAAAAGACATGTTCGTCGCGTATCCATCAAGATGACGGTTGGCCGCAGAATCGCAATAAGAAGGCCACGTTTAGCTTCTGTGTGTTATTGATGCTGTCGGGGTTTTTGATGGCTGGAGAACAGGGTCATCACGTTCGGAAAGCAGTTGGCTTATTCGATCATGATGCGACAAGGGATGAACGGCGCGCAAGCCACGGTGAGTTGGAAGACGGGTGAAGTCGCCAATGCGCAGGCAACGGTGGCAGTTCCGTCAAGGTTCTCGGGATCCAGTCGTTTAGAACCCAAATGGGTAAAGTGAATGTCCAGCAGGCGGAGCAAATAGCTAAATGGTATCCGTAAGGTATCCGTAGGGATGGTAAGGTATCTAGGTACGGAGTATGCAGAGAGCTAATTACCCTGGTACATCGGTAGGTATGATGGACATGACAGGACCTCGGGAGCTGAGAGGACACTGTAACAGCTCTTGCACAGGGATGACATGCACCGAACTGGAGGGAGTCGCGCCCGGGCGGTGATTGGTCGAGAACATACATAGTAGGAGAGTCCGAGCAGAGAGACCCCGGCCCGTTACGAGCAGGAGGTGTTCTTCCGCTTCACCCGACGCAGGACTGAGAATCAATGAAGGAAATGCTTTCAGATAGTCTTTAACGTGGAGAAATTTGGGAGTTGACAGTGATTTTTTCATTATTCGTCTGGCAAATACATGGCTATGCTCAGTGCCATGTCTATAGGTCTATCAACTTTTTGACCGCTTCTCCAATGTACTCTCTCAATGGGGTGAAAAGTGTGAAATGACCCCCCAAAATAACCGATGAAAATTTTAGTCTCCCACTATTCACAAGAACGCCGGAAAAGGAATTGGATATGGCCAGGAATGAGTCCCTCATCACGAGACTCTCTGCGCGAGCGCGCTTTGGCTTTTCGTCCATGAGCGCGACTCTTCGCCCATGATACTGCAAGAAGCGAGGGGAACCAATAGTGAAGGACATAAAGCCTTTACTTTCTCTTGGAAACGCCGCCCTTGGAACCTCCGCGACGGTCGCTGTACTTGGGGAAGACGACCTTGGAAGTCTTCTTCCTTTGCTTCTGAATTCTTCCGGAACGACGCTTGGGTTTCGCCGAGTCAACGTCCATGGCTGTGGAGAGAGTCAGTTTTCGTGAATCGCAGAGATTATTGTACGAACTCAGCTTACAGGTATCATCCGCCTTGGCCTCCTTCTTCTCATCACCGTTTATTTCCGCTATATGAAAGTCAGTTTCGACACTTTCTTGGCTCATGGAACGGCCTTGAATTGGCTGGTTGGGGAACTCACCATCGTCGTCCTGCTCCTTAACGTCCATCTTGGTGTCTGCCTCTCTCTCAGGCTTGGGAGCCTTTGCCAATTCTAGCAGCTTCGCCGAGAGACGCTCGGCTCTGGCCTGCTCAACGGGACCAAAGACATTTGCCTTGAGTCTCTGGTTGTTCTTCTTGATAACGCTGGCTCTCGCGCTCTTGGCCATTGCTGCGGATATGTGCCGGCGGCGTGGTGTTTTGAAGGATTTCAGGTGGCGACTCGCTGCGTATATACAGGCAAGGAAATAGTAGCAGGCTGAGTGAGAAACAACCTTAATATGCCTTGGATTACTGAGAAACGTCGAGGATTCAAGTCGGTGAAATTGACCTTGTGAAAGCGAACGGTCTTTACTGAGTGGTGGTAGGAAATTTTACACAGGTGGTCGCAGCCGTGCCCCGCCTCCCAATCCAGTCGTCCACTCAGGAAGGGTACTCCGTAGGCAGGTCGCAGCGCTGATTTGGACGGCAGCAATCCTTGGGTCTCACATGGGCCAGACCACTTCACCTCAGTCAATGGGCCGTCGCGGGGACTGCCGGCTATTGGCACCCCCACATTCGTCCAAACACCTGGAAGGCGGCTCTGGCTGGTGGTGGTTTCCACGATGGCCCAGGTATTTTCGTTTCTCACCTGCGTTGTCCGCTTCTTAGGGAACGCAGATGCCGAAACAACGGCGGACCACCCACTAGAGAGTGATCGGTTCAGGCTCTGACGGTAGGTACACCTCAACTGCGAACCCCCGAAGACTACAGAGTGAAGGGCCACCATTTCCTGCCTCTTCTCGGCCAATTTCAATCTCACCTCAGCCGTTCACCTTCACCTTCACGCTTCACTTGCCTTGGTCTAGGCCCACACCCAAAGTAAGGGTTGATTACCGCTGCACTCGCAAGCCATTCAGCTGTGGTGGACTCCTAGCCGTTCAGTGACTCTCGCAGAGCCCCAAAAGCGAATGACATTAAACTTTTGCCGACCCAATAAATAGCCCGCGACCTAGTTTGACCTCACTTCATCATCACGCTCGACTGATGCCGTTGCTCTTGCCTTGGGTGTCGATGTGCTATCCATCCTTCTACTCGATGCAATAAAGCTTGTACCGGAAGACAAGCGCACTATTTCGCGCATATCAAGGTCGCTATTTTCATTATTGTCGCAGTTGGGAACAAATCTCCCACTCTTCCTCTCTATTGTCGCAAAACAGAGAGTGGGAAAGGAAGGGAAAAAAAGGACGGGAAAGGCAGCACAGCACCACCACAATCACTACTCAGGCAGCACAGAGCTACCTACCTACCCTGCCCTTGCCTTCCTCGACCAACCCGACTGCAACTTCCCCACGCACTTTTGGCTCTTGCCTGTCGGCGCGCACCACGAGCCTCGTCGCTCCTGCCTCGTGTGGTCGCGCCCATGATTCTTCTTTCCATTTGAGGCCCGTCGTTCTTCTTCTCTTCTTTGTTTTTCCACCCATTCCTCGGCCGACGAGACCTTGACGCAAAATAGTATCCGCCACATACACCCACGGCCTGTCGACGTCGTCTCTAGGTACCAGCGACCCAAGTCGATCCGACGTCGCACCTGCGAACCTTCATGAGGCTGTCACCGAAGACACCACCACAACCCTTCCACCTCGCCCGAGAACCATGACCTCCATTCAGAGGCATGAGCTCCAGGCTCTGGTCAAGCTGGTGAACAGCAATCAGCTACTCAACCGTCAATTATCCCAAATCTGCCAGCTCAACGGGCTCACTAGCAGCGGCGTTAAGGCGGCTCTGCAAAGTCGCATCGTCAGTGGTGAGTACTTTCCCTTCTTCTTCTTCTTCTTCTTCTTCTCCTTGCGCTCTACTTCCTTGACTCTTTCTATCCCACGGTCACTATTATGTCTAAGCATTGCCCTATGCGGCAGGATTGCTTCTCAGAACCACCCAAGGCTAATATCTCTCGTCTCTCAGCTATCGAAGAAGCCTTCAAGAACAGCGACGCGACTCGCTTCCAGCAAATACAACGAAGCATCGAGACCACACGAACCGGCTCCTCCGCTTCACCCGCCTCTCAGAAGGGTGGACGTCCTGCCACAGCAACTCCGCCAGTCTCAATGATGCGGCAAGACCAATATTGGGGCCGCAGCGCCCGTCCCGGCGGTGCGACTGGTCCCGCGCTCCCCGGTTACGGATCAAGCGGTGGACTTTCTTTCAAGAACAGTCCTTTTTACGAGATCCAGTTCCGGGTCGGCGATGTACGCTTATGCGACGGTAGGTCGCCATTCGTTCCTCATCTTGGCCGTTGCTAATTTCCCAATCAGCTATGAGCCAGCATAGGAACATGGTCTCGATTCCAGTCAAAGTCAGCGAACATCCCCAGATCAACAGAGTTCTCGAGGACAAGTCACTACGCATCATGGTCTTTTGCGCCGGAGACAACAGTGGCGTCCAAGAAATCGCGTTCCCTCATCAGTCGGAGATCAAGATCAATGGCAACGAGGTCAAAGCGAATCTCAGAGGCTTGAAGAACAAGCCAGGATCGACGAGGCCGGTCGACATTACGAGTTACTTGCGTCTGAAAAATGACAACAGAAATCTCGTTGAGTTCACTTATGCGTTGACTCAAAAGGTGGGTTGCCTCAAACTTACTAGTCCGAATTTTATGTTCCGTTCCTTTTCGCTGACACTCAGTTTGTCTGTAGAAATTCTATCTTGTCCTCAACGTCTGCCGAATCACCTCGGCGCAGGATCTGGCTGAGAATATCAAGAAGGGGCAGAAGATCCCCAAAAACAAGGTGATTGAGGAGAGTAAGTTTCGTCGATTCATTTCAAGACTATCTATCAACAGGGGACTAAAATCTTTCAGTCAGCAAGAAAGCGGCAGACACAGACATCGTCACGACATCCCAAGTACTGTCTCTCAAGTGTCCTCTGTCCTACATGCGTCTCGATGTCCCTTGCCGCTCTGTCAACTGTTCACACATCCAGTGTTTCGATGCAACGTCGTACCTTCAATTGCAAGAGCAGGGCCCTCAGTGGTTGTGCCCGATTTGCAACAAACCGGCCCCATACGCACAGCTGGCCGTTGACGAGTAGGTCCCATGTCTCGCTCCCACGATTTCTAGCTAACAGTCGTCAAAGATACGTCAGAGACATCCTAGCAAACACATCAAAGTCCCTCGACCAAGTTACCATTGAACCAGACGGGCAATGGCGAGTGAACCCAGGACAGGATGAAAATAGGCCTACCAATGGTGGAAGCGGCCTAGTTGACGACGACGATGATGATGACGACGATTGGGGTATCGTGGAGGTCAACCCCGTTCGCAGTCGGAACTTCGAAACCCCCAACCGGTCAGTCGCCAGCACGGCAACTCCGACGACAACGGTGATGTCCCGAGAAAGCTCGACGATGCCGCGGGGTGTGGCCACGACGAGTGCCAAGAGACTGCATTCGGATAGGGTGACAATAGATCTGACCCTATCAGACGATGATGAGCCAGCCGCACCGCCTCCGAAGCGGCAGCAGTTACAGGGCCCGGGATCGAGTAACTACAACAGCAATGGTTACAGCAGCAGCATGTTCTGAAGAGGCTGCTCTAGCACTTCCTAACAACGAGCTGCGAGATACGGCGCATGAGGTTAGTCGCCTCAGTTAGCACGTACATATCTCCCTAGGTACCTAATGAAGGCGGATTTGAGTCTCATGTATGCGTTTTTTTTTTCGTTTCGGCATGGGAAGGGACGGATGGATAGCTGTCCAGGCGTTTAGGAGGCAAAACATATTCCAACAGCCTTATTCAAAGGCATGAAGCAGGGCGACAACGGGCGTCTGAACAGAGCTTTACTTAGATGGTAAGGTAGATGAGATGCCCCAGAGACTTTGCCAGCTAGGTACCTTAGGAAAGCAGGGGTACAAATACCAATCACTACGCTGCGGATATCGCATCCGTACAACAAGATGACTTCCACTCTGAAAACTCTCTGCTTCGTCCATGTCTTCTAGCACCCCCCCATCATTGACTAGCTGTGACCGCGTAACAGCGTAACGTTCAAGTTGCCTACTGTAATCCCTGTCGAGGGGGAATTGAAGCTCTGGTAGGTGGACCCTGGAGAGCTTAGAGGCCAGCTCCACAACATTGTCAAAGCAGGTACGTACCCGGCCTCGCTCTTTACCTCAGGTAAGAAAGCGCATACGTTCGTCTATCCATCCCCAGCTACATACCTACCTTGAACCGCACATCAACCTCGACGACACACAAAGTCCACAGCCATTCCTGCGATTCTCTATAAGCGCCATTGCCCCCACGCCGAGCCGATTTTTACAAACTTCGTCGTCCAATCTTGACTGCCTTGGAGTAACGACAAGCTTTCATCGCACTCGGTTTCTAGACAAGTCAAACGAACCACACCTCACGAAAAGCAACAATTGCGCGAACCCCCTTCCTCGACGAGGCCAGGAAGCAAACCAGCTATTCCCTCCACTCTCCCCACTACGAACAGAACCCCCGCAGCAAGAGCCATGTCCTTCGAAAGCGTCATGCCGCCGTACAACGCCACGGACCCGTCGGCCTCCTTCCTCAACTCCTCCTGTCTAGACTTTCTCCTCATCGAGCTCGTGCCCATGGCCTTCCGCGTGACGAGGGACCTCGAAGCCGCGCCGACTGATGCGAATGGGACTGGGTCTGGTGCCGCGGTAGGAGGCGCTTCGGCTGATGCGCTATCGACCGTGAGCCATAGCCAGGGCGGGGGAGGAGACGGGGGTCCCGCGCCGTCGAGCGCCGACGGGGCCGCGGGCGGGAGCACAGTCAGGAAGCTTGACGAGGATGAGGAGCGGGACGCGGTGTTTTATCGGCTTGAGACGCTGGGCTATCGTGTTGGGCAGGGGCTTGTTGAGAGGTACGTTTCCTTCGTCTCTTCCTCCTTCTCTCCGCGGCCGTCTTTGGCGACGGCAAAGGGGGAAGAAGACACAATATTAGGGTTTTACAATGATTGGAAGCTGACAGTCTATCGACTTGGTGTTTAGGTTCTCGAGAGACCGGCCGCGATTCAACGATACGCTCGACGTGATCAAGTTTGTCTGCAAGGATCTGTGGTCGCTTGTGTTTAGGAAACAGATTGACAACCTCAAGACGAATCACAGGGTACGTCGGCGAACACCCCCTACCTACTGGAAGTTCTGGCCGAGGGCGATACTCCAGGCGAGCGAAAGAATGGGCTTACTAACCTGGCGCATTGGAATAGGGCGTCTACGTGCTAACGGATAACTCGTTCAAACCGTTCTCGAGGATGAGCACAGAGGCTGGCGGACAAGCGGTTGTTCGGGCACAGCCGGTACGTTCGAACTTACGCCCATCTACCAATGCCACAACTTCACGGATGCTGACTTGTCTGACTACAGTTCCTCTGGTTCCCGTGCGGCATTGTGCGCGGGGCGCTGGCGGCGTTAGGTATCAACGCTACCGTCCAAGCCGAGACCAACGAGCTACCGGCAGCTATTTTCCAAATCAAAACACTGCCGTCGAGCTCATAAAACCCAGCTTCACATATTACGAGTTCTCCCTGTCCAAAATCAACGGCGCGTGGGAGAGAAGCATATTGAAGTGTCAGTTCACAGCATGCAAGCGATGAAAGATTTAGACTTTTTGCAGAATATCGACCAAAGATCTGGTCGTTCGAGTTGATGCCCAAGGTGTCTAACTCCAATTATAAACCAGCAGCAATTATCGCCATATCCAAAATTACCGACGCCGTTGCCCTACGTACCGCGGACTCAAGAGATCTCAACTGGTGTTATACGCTGGTCAACTATACACTTGCGAGACCAACAACACCTCACAGCCTAGGAAAAAGAAGAGTCGATCAGCCATAATTCTCCCTCGGTTGTATTTCATCTATCACCATTTTGGCTACATTGTTGGAAGCTGTCGTCATGCGGCTTCCTCGAGAGGGGGTCGGGGGCTGTTGCTGAAAACAAGTGTACAAAGGGGGGAATCACTTTTGGGGGGCCTTGTGGGCGAACTCGACACCCTTCTGAATGTTGCCCTTCAATCCCGCAACCGCAGCCTTCAGCAGCTCTTGCTCCTTCTCTGTGATGTCGCCAAGGATATCGATGGCCTTCTCGGCACCGTTGGGCTGCAAGCATGTCAGTGAGTTCGTTTGGTTTTGGACAGGGGGCAGGCTGCAATGCTGCGCAACTTACGCCAAGCTCAATGGGAACGGAGAAGAAGTCGACACCGGTCTTCTCGGCAATCTCCTTACCGCCGGGAACGCCGGGGAGGTAGACGTAGCTAGGCTCAACAAGACCCTTCTCGCCCTTGAGGGCCTTGAGGACCTTCTCGGCGAATCTACCACTGTCAGTCCCAAACTTTCAAGTTACCAGGTGTCCCATTTCTTACCTGTAGCCAGCGTAGGCCATGGAGAGAGTGGCGGAACCAGCGCCGTCCTTGGCCTTGACAACCTCGTCACCACCGAACTGGACACGGTTGACGAGAGCATCGTACTTGTCGTCGGCGATGGACACGGAGGGCTTGACCTTGCTGAAGAGAGGGACAATGGTCTCGCCGGAGTGACCGCCAATAACGGGAACGTTGAGCTCGCTGGTGGCCTTGCCGGAGATCTCGGCAACGAAGGTCTCAGCTCTGACGATGTCGAGAGTGGTGACACCAAACAGACGCTGAGGGTTGAAGACGCCCTTGGCCTTCAGAACCTCGGCGGAGATAGGGACAGTGGAGTTGACGGGGTTGGAGATGACGAGGATGAAGGCCTTGGGGGCGACCTCGGCCGCAACCTCGATGAGGCCCTTGACGATACCGGCATTGATATTGAAGAGATCGTCGCGGGTCATGCCAGGCTTGCCTAGAGTGGATCTGCCGTTAGAAGAAAGCAGCGGACGAGGCTCCGTGGTTGTAACTCACGGGGAATACCGGCAGGAATGACGATGATATCGGCACCCTTGAAGGCGGCCTTAGCGCCATCATCCTTGGGCAGGTAGCCGGCGATCTTCTGTTTGCGGTAACTTTGTTTAGCAAGCAATACTACGGGTACCACGAGGCAATTGAGACTGCGATGCAACGTACCGCATTGGAAGAGATGTGAGAGAGATCGGTGGCGACGCCGGGGGTGTTGACGACATCGTACAGGGCAAGCTCATCGACGAGGGGAGAGAGCTTGAGGAGGAGGGACAGAGGCTGGAGTAGAAAGATTGATGGTAAGCCAATGCGCACGTTATTTGCTGACCACGCGGGGTTCCGGCTTCACTGTACCTGTCCAATACCGCCAGAGGCGCCAGCAACAACTGAGACATAGTTAGATTGACGAAGCCCTGCGCGATAATCTCGAGTGGCGGAAACATACCGGCCTTGACCATTTTGAATGTGGTTTCTTGTGATTCGGTTTGGGAGAGAAGATGGATGAAGGAGGAGGGTGGCCTGAAGGGTTCTCGCGGATTAGCGGGGTGATCTTGAAGCTTGCTCGCTTAACACGTTGAGCTCTGGCGCATGGTACGAGGCCAAGTGTGGGGAGCTTCCGCAGCTTGTCAAGGAGGAGAGGGAAGAGGTCATCGTCAAACGTACAGTAGTCAGGTCAACTGGTGGGTTTTGCTTGTAAGATGGAAAATGGGTGAGAATGGAAATTCAAGAGCGGGAAGTCGTTTGTTTTAGTACGAAAGGGGAGACCAAGAGAGGAGAGAGAGGAGAGCAAACCGAGCCAAGGTTACGTAGAAGTAGTCTGAGCCAGCTGATACCTAGTCCGGAGGCTGTCGGCGGGGACGTAGGTTCAACCGCGGGGAGAATTGCGACCTTTGGTTTCCCACCCCTCGTCCCGTGGGACTTTGCCCGTGTCATTGGATGGAGGGGTCAGAAAGAGGGGCAACTTGGAGGGGTGAGAAGGGGACCATGGGGGGGGGGGGGGGGGGGGGGCTCCTGAGGCAGGCACGGGGGGTTCAAGTTTCCATTGTAGCTCTTGCCCGCTCCTCGCTCCTCGAGGTGAGGTGGTAGCGGCAGAAGGCGCCAGTGATGCGCAGAAAAGCAAACCGACAGCGAGAGAGCCCGCGACTCGACAGCAGCACTGCGGGTGTAGTTACGGTAGTGTACTTCATGTGCGGCGCCGCTGCATCCAGCAAGCCCGATCCTGTAGCTAATACTTGCGCGGTTGCGGTGCTTTATTAGCCGGACCAGTTGCTGCTTCGCTGCTTGCTTGCTGGCCCTGCTGCTGCTGCTGCTACTGTCTCGGGAATCGGAGAGCTGCAGAGAGAACAAAGACAAAAGCAAGTGCAAGGTACCTTTCGGCTTGCCGCACCAGGGAATAGCTGTCGCAGATACCTCGTCATTCGACCCAAACAAAGGCGGCCACTGAGACACGCCCAGCCCGTGGAAGCAGTCGCTGAAGGAAAGATAAAGATACATTCCATAGGTACCTTCTTAGGTGCTTCCAACCAGTGCTTGCTCACCTACCTACCTTACCTGGCACCGAATGCGCTAATCCCCTGCCACCCACGTCCTGCAACCAATTGCAACACCCGCCGTCAACCCGTTTCGTTCGCCATTCACCTCCGGTCTGATGCATGTGAGAGAGAGACGGACGAGGCTAATACGGCAATGGAGGACTAGGTATTGGAAGCTCGAATCTCCCCCGTCAACTCCCGGCCATCTCGACCAATGCCTTCCGATGTTTTCCTGCTGATGAACGGTCCCCCGTCCTCGTCCCGACGTCCCGAGCTCCAGGGGTAGCTTGTTCCTATGTATAGCCAAAACTCGGGTGCGGGAACGGTAGAAACAAGAAGGCAAGGCGGCGCCCCGTTATTCCTGTGGAACGCCTGTGACGTGCTGGGCTTCATACCGTGATACCTATCATTATCCTTGGCGATGAGACAGCTCAGCACAACCTTAGCTGCGGACCCTGTCTGTCCTGTTTGGGCGGGCGAGACAGCTCACTAAAAATACATGCTCACCTGTCGTTGCGTCTACGAGGTGCGGATATTGCTCATGTAGATAAATGTAGGAATTACCTACACAGCGGCACGAATTACTCACAATATCAAGAGTACGTACCGATGTGTTCAGAAATGCCATGTTAAGGGCAATTATGTAACCCCGGCTGGCAAAATTACCCCGCCATGTATGCGCAAAGGTGCCATTCCAGGTATCTCAATCAGGTCAATGTCGGCGAAGACTTACTCCGTGTAAGACGTAGAAGCGTCCTCGTCTGCCATCATCCATCAATACTCCGGCCATATTCAATGATCGAAGACAGCTCCGCTTCATGCATTTTTGGAGGGTAAAATAGGAAGACGTTATGGACAAAGCCGAACGGCACCCTCGACATCCCGATGCTTGCCCGTGTTCCCGAGGTTCAGCAGGAATTCGCTCTCTGTTCTAGTCGGGCAACTCCGGGTGATGGCCGAGGACCACGGCATCGACAATACCACGACCCGTAGTCCGGCTACTGTGCTGAGGTGCTCTCTTGACGTCGGCCTGTTCGACCACTATCTCTCCACTCCCGCTCCGACCTTTTCCTTTCCGTGTAGGCGCATGTCATGGCACAAGATAAGGTAGACTCAAACATGCATCATCATCATCCTCCCAAGTCATTGGCCAAGAGCCTCACGAATCCCTCCCACGCACGGCATCAAACGAGGAGAGGAGGACAACACTCTTTTGGAGCAAAACGAAAAACCAGTCCCAGTCATTATTTTGTGGCCTTTGACTCAAGCTTTTGATTTGTTTCGCCTGTGTCCCTCACAAAAAGGTATTCTCTATTTGCTCGACGTAACGCCCAAACCAAGCCATGTGTCTTTCTCTTTTTTGTTGTCCAGTCCGCCCGCTTAAATCAGCATTTCAACATTTATGCCTCAACATCGGCAGCGGCGGCGGCCTTGGCCTTGACACCGCGGGACTTCTTCTCGGGGGTGGCCTTGACGGCACGCTGGGAGCGGCGGATGGCGGAGACGCGCTGGACGGCGGCCTCGCGGAGGTCGCCACGGTAGCCGCCGGCGGCAGCCTGGCGGGCAACGGCGGAGTAGGTCCTAGGGTGAACCGTCAGTATCTTTTGTTCCCTCGAATCCTTGGTGCTTTGCCCGTGCAATGTGTCGCGATACGACACAATGGTGGCGGCCGCGGTGGTACAAAACTCACTTGCGGGAAGACTTGTTGCCGCCGTAGGTGACCTCGGTGTAGCCCTTGGAGGGCTTGTTGGAGTTCTTCTGGTTCTTGCTGATCACCTTGACACCACCCTTCTCGTTGGGGACAACGCCGATGGCCTAATCGTCACATGTCAGTCATCTCTGTGCTATGTGGTGTTGTGAATTGTCGAATCGTTCGAGCGAGGGAGGGAATAATCGAGTTCCATCGGTCTGGGGTGTAATCGTACCTTGTCGTTGACGAAACCGGCGTACTGCGATCCAAATTAGCCAAAGTTGCCCTTAGCCCCGCCAGTATTCTGACGATTCGATCCCAACATACCTTGCGGGAGTGCTTGTTGACCAGGTTAAGGGGGTCGCGGGAGAGCTGGAGACCGCCGGCGTCGTTGCGGTTGACCAGGAACGCATTCTGGGCGCCTGTATCGGGAAAATCCAGTTGTGAGCAAATTGCGCAATCAGGCCGTGTTCGGCATCGTTGGCAGCCGGGCGCCGTGGTGAAACTTACGGACGACCTCCCAGATCAGGTCGGCGGAAACGTTGGGCAGAGTGGCGGCCATTTTGACTGATTTGAGGGATCACGGAATGGTTGATGAATACCTTCACGATTGCTCTGATGCCGGTCTGCGTGTTCGTAGAATTCAATGGCCTGAATTGAATGTGTGGGCTATCGCTTAGCAGTCGCTTTGCGGACTAGCGCCTCTTGGGTCCACTTGTTCAATCGGCGACGCCACACCGAGTTCCCCTCCGGGGCACAAAAGCCCTCCTCGGCGGGCCGGTCTGGATGTGGCTGGTGATGGCGGTGCAGTTGACCCCCGAGCCGGACAGCGCGGGCTCAAAGCACAACCTCGTAAGCTTGGTGAGACGAAGGATCTGGTCGTGTAAGTCGATCACTTTTCCGAGGCTCTGGAAGTGATTTCTGTGTTCCAGGAAGCTTTCAACACGCTGTCGCCAATAACGCAGTTCTGACCACACGAGCTTAGGGCTCCAATGTACTAGCATACGGCAGACTCAGGCTCCTTCTCCGATCCATTCAAGATCTGGAAAGTAGAGTCTTGAGTCTGATACAACATCTGTGTGTAGGCTCAAGGATTTGACAGCCGCGAGATTGCATTGCCATAGCATGGTTCTAGATAATCCCTGCTATGTTCGGCCTTCGTTTTCACACTCCTTCTGGGTTGCATTGCTTCCAAGGAAAGCAGTTTGTTCGAAATATGGCCTATGTCGAACGATCCAAAGGGCGATATGTCCACGATGCTTAGTTTGACGTGGAAAAGTCTATCACGCTTTTAGAAATGACGCAAGTCTATACTGTCTGGATGTCCGGCATTCAAACATATCTCTAAGCAAGTCTTGATGACTCCCAATGTTTCAGTAAAGTGTAGCCATTGTTTACCGTTCAAGATCTCGATGCATATGAATCATTCGGCCTGAGGTGATTCCACTGCGCCTATTCTAGACATCGAGTCAAGTTATCCCAACTCCAAGATGTGGAATCATCTACCCCTTGGAAACAAAACCCTTGGTCTTCTATGGGATGTGTCTCTAGCCTCTTGTGGGTGTAATACTTGATTACCACAGGTCTAGTACTCTGACGAAGGGGCCGAGGCCAACTTGAGCTGCAAATCCTAAGGTATCTAAGGTAGGGTGTTCAATCCATCTATCGATCATCTTTCACATGGCAGAACACGTGTATTCGTCAGAGGCACTACGAAGGTAGGTACTTTAATCCGCTTCACCATCTCGCTTAGCATATGAAATCGCCTTTATATACGTCCGCAATGCCAAGCAATTAGAAGCCACCGGCTTGTGTCTTTGACTTGTGTCATTGTCTTCTTTCAGAGTTTATTCCGCGCTGTTATATCATATTGATATGTTAGCCGGTAATGGTCTTGTCTGTGAGCCATTGGAAAGACAACGGTGACAAGAAGCGTTGCCGCTTGAGCACCTTCGAGAGCTTTTTCACTCTCGATTGGTCAATATCGCTATGCTGCAAGACGATGAAGATATACCCAACGCCGGTACCGTGTCGGGAGACAGGATCTACTACGTCTGGAAATCTCACGTCCGGAAGGGTTCTCGCCTGGAGTATGCCATCGTCATGCTATCCTATCAATCTATCGTACAGACATAATGTTGTTTCCAGATCGTCACCATGGGGTACACGGCCCAACGGTAGATTGCGTCTTTATATCCGAAAACCACTGGTTGTCTCCAGGAATTGATCCGTCCCATGTATGTCACAATAGTTCAAGTGCTTTTCGAAGGCTAGCTCCCCGCACTCAGGTTGAAACGGGCAACCGATGGAAGAATGTTTGACTTAGGTATGGATCCTCTATCATCGAATGTGAAGACGACACGGCGTTCAGAATATGTACGGATAGTTCCAATGTAGATGCCGAAGCTGAGTCACATTCGCTGCTCAAAAGCAAGCCGTCGTCGGGGGCTGCACGTCTTTCTCGGGCCGGACGAAGGTTTTCAAGTTGCGAGCACCGTTCCGCCTCCGCTGCCGGGGTAATCAAGTCATCAGGGGTCGAGCTTTGGGGTATCTCCTAGGACTTTATCATGCGAAAGCGTTAGTTGCGTGTGTCATGCAAATTACCTTCCATCTCCTCGTTGCGCGCCGGTCCCAACCACGAAGAGTGTAATTGTAGAGCATGCCCACAGATAGTTGAGGTGGCTGGTCTATAGTCATCAACAAATCCTCGATATACTTACCTCCGGTGAAGACCAGGGACGCAATGTAAGTACTGAGCCAGCCCTCTTGGATCATCTAGTGGTCTCTGTTCGCAAGGTACATAAGGTAGCAGCATGCAGCACAGGTGGTCCGGTGGGTAAGGGGGGCCCAACTGGCGGGGGTGAAACCTCTCACGTGATGCAAAGTTTGCCCGTCGGCATCCGTAGTGGCCTCCTCCCTTGCGGCCCTGGCCCCTGCCGTCGGTACCCTGCGCCCTGCGCCCAAGCCTTACGTACGCCCTCGAATGCTCCATGCCCGGCCGACCTTAGTAAGTGGATCCCTATGGAAATCAAAAAGCTGCAGGATCAGACGGGAATACGGGGGGCAGTGACAACACGAGTCCACCTCCAGCGATGCTGAGTCCCTGAGAGCTCTCTTGCATTCCCAAAAGAGGCCAACTGGGGGCCTGAGTGGTGTTAGTGTCTAGCGCACTTACGCAGCCCGCACCACTGCACCTCCACATCATCGTACGTCGGTCGGTACGCCTGGCTGCTCGCCGAACTTCACCACTTACACTTCCATTCCGCATAACCTCACTCTGCCTGGAGTCAAACGCGACCGTTCTCCTTGCAGGTCCCGACATGATCGTTTGATCCTTTCGAACGGCAGTTCCTGACCGTTTGCGCCAAACAACCATTTTCTTTGTGACTTCTTTTTCCCACAGTCTTCAGTTTCCTTGTCTTCCGTTCTATTCCATTTCAAAATCACCAGCACTACTTCTACAAGCTTTTCGGAGCGAAGCCACCGAAGCAGCCGACGATCGCGAAGTAACCACACCAGCGCATCGGCCAACCAGCCAAACATCATTCAATCTCGACTGCGCACCCTCAAACCCGAAAGTCGCCCAAAATGTCGTACCTCCTCTACTCCGTCTCCTTCCTCCTCCTCGTCACCGCAACGGCTCTCTACTTCACCCGCGGCCACTGGCTCCACCACGTCCCCGACCTCCCGATCCCCGGCCGCGACTACATCTACTCCCGCCTGCCCTCCTCCTTTACCGGCGACATCGACGCCGGCCTCTCGAGCTCGACTTTTGATCTGGCGGGCAATGTCGAATCCGGCGACAGCCGCGCGGGTCTCGACGATCGCAGCAAGAAGGAGATTCTAAAGATCATGAAGAAGCGCCGCATGAAGTTTGACGACGCGCGCAGGGTGTACATGGAGCAGCGCTTCAAGGCCAACGGTATCGGACCGGACGGCAGGCCTTTGGATCCCAAGGCTGTGACGTTCAGCTAGGCGAGATATGCGCAAACCAGAGAGAGCGAGAGCGAGAGGAGGGGGGGGGGGAGGGGGAGAGAGACGAAAAGGGGATATCCGACATGAATCGGATAGGCGGGAAACGTCGTTTCCAGCATATATTTGCACTAGACTGCGATACGGATCACCCACTGCTATACCATTCCATCTTGTTCGAAAGGGAAGGGCATGGTCACGACAGGCCTATAGGACTGCCTCCGAACGCTTTGCCTGTGCAAAGCACTACTCAGCATTCTCGAGCGATCCCACCAGCAACCACCAAACTTATCCCACGCCAAAACAGGCTCCGACTATTTTCCTTGCTTTTCGACATTCCATTACTTCTAGGGGCAATCAGGCGTTGCAGCGGTCCCTTATTCCTCTTCTTTTTTCTCTATGTTCTATGTTTTTTGGGTTTCCCGGTGGTGGACGTTTCCAAGGGTCTAGTTGACAAAGCCTTCTTTGCGCCGGTAAGGATCGGCGTCTTTGTTGGTACTGTCTATCGGCGTAGAACTTGCGTGATGCAGTTTCAATGGATAATCACTCTTGTTCCCGATCTTCACCCTCTTTCTTGACTTTGTGACTCAACTTTTGACCCGGAAGTCAGTGTCAGTAGGATGAATACATTCAAGCCCCGGCTTCTCTTTGACTGCTTCCACAATGTTCTCATTCGAACCTCATACCATTTTGGGGTTGGCAATCTGGAACATTTGATAGAGTCCAGATGCGCTACTAGCAATTATACCCTAGGCCCATCCTCACCCACGAACCGCCAGTTGGCTTCGTTCCCATTATATCTCTCCATCATCCGCCCACCCGTATTTTGCCCAGCATTCGATACTGCTGATTCTTATATGTACAGTCACAGATATGGCAACAAGCCAAGTATTACAAAGGTCTAGGAAGTGGCTCTTCAGCCGTTCGCTCGCAGCCGTCATGTACTGAAGCGCGTCCAGCACACTTTGGACCGGCTCTCTCAGTTCGTCTTCTTCGCCTCGGCGGCAACGTACTGGCGGTCGTCGTCGCCCTCGACCTCTTTTTGGATGTCCTCCATCTCCTTCATGTTGGATGCCCACGTCTCCTTGGTCATCTTGGTCTTCTTGTTGAACCAGGCTAGGTCGGGCTTGCGGTAGGTGCCGCCGAGACGGTCCCAGAGGGTGGTGAACTGGCCGTAGTTGTAGCTGCGAGGCTCGTTAGAAGCAGGAAAGTCTCTCTCTTTTGCGTTGTCAGAACTTACTTGAAGTACAAGTGGTGGGCGGTATGGCACGCGGAGCCGTTGATGATGGGGTTGTCGGTAATGTACTCGCCGTCGTGGATGAGAATGGTCCAAAAGTTGATAAACACAAACAGAGCCACGTATGCCAGCTTGTTGAGGGGGAACAGCATCGGGTATACGTGGTAAGGGACCGACTGCGCGAAGCCATCCAAGGGGTGGAAGGCGTGGCTGGCGTAGGGCGAGGGCATGATCCACTTGTGGTGAGGCTTGTGCAGGTGCTTGTAGACGAGCGGGAGATGCAGCCACCGGTGAGCCCAGTAGATGCACAGGTCGGTGAAGAGGATGAAGAGTGGGAACTGCGCGTAGTCGTACCAGCGGCCGGGACCCTCCTCGGTGGTATCGTAGAGCTTGCAGTAGCCGCGCACCTCGGCGACGAAGGTGAGCGCGGTGCAAATTGCCATGACGGGCATGGCCATGTT